TAAAAGTTGCAATCAAAAAACCGAGACCTCTTATTTAAAGCCTATTTTAGCTGCTTTCCAAAAATGAAAATACTTATGCAACAAACAGTATCAAGTAGCCATATGAACAGCCTCTGAGCAGTAGTTTAACTTTGCAAAACTCAGTGGAAATGCATTTTAGGCACATAAAATGTATGTATGTGTGTGTGTGTGTATATGTGTGTGTGTGTGTGTGTGTGTGTGTGTACTATGTGTATTAGGGACAGCAAAGAACTCTCAGGCTCCCAGGCCTCTGGTAGAGGACCCGAGCTGAGTGAGGGTGAGAGACCAACCACCGTGGAAGGTGAGAAACACATTTTTTTTTTTTTTTTATAAAAAATAAAATAAAATAAAAAATATTTATATACACACACACACACACACATATATATATGGTTATTAAGGTCAAAAAAGAAAATGTAGTAAACATATGCTTCTTTTTTTGCCTGAAATCTCTTCACTTCAGATCAGCAGGTTCCTGGTCCTCCTCTTCATCTCCTCATTTGAGGCATCAGTTGGTGTCTGCTGGTTTTTCCTAGTGGTTTGTTTTGAATTTTTCCTGCAGTATTTCTCTTCACTCTCCTCCTCTCTGCTGGTGTCCTGACTGGGGCAGGTCAGATGAGGACAGCTGAGCTGGTTTTTCCTCCACTTGAAAGGGGCTGTGCTCTTGGTCTTTTGAAACTGTCTGAGTGGCTGTTGACAGCATCTCATTCGAGGAGGTCTGTGTGCCAAGCTTTGTTCAGTGGCTTTACCATCCTCCAGCTTCTGAATCGGACCAGCCGAACAGACTTTAATATCAAAGCACAAGTCCTTCTTGTCTCTCTCTGTATTGACTTGGCCTGGAGCCTCTCATTCAATCACAAACTTCACGAACTCCTTTCTCTCATTGTTTTGCCTGCCACCATGTCTGCCATACAGGGCTTTTCCTTGCTTCTCCCACTCTCCTGCCTTTAACATTAAGTGAAACTTTTCGTACTGTTACACATTTACAAAAATATTGTAGGCGTTTAGAATACAATTACAGATGTATTTTCACACTTCAGTACTGCAGATTGAAAGCAATAAGATAACTTAGCAAAATGTGTATTTAGTTGTTCTTTTTTCCTTGTTCAGGATTCTAATCTGTTTGTTGTATTTGTTTTGTCAAATCAAATGAGACTAATTCCATTTTAAAACAACCAGGAGCTCTGTTTAATCCCATCCAGGGCAGGACATCACATATCAAAAGGACATAGTCAACCAAGTCTCAAATTTGTAGAGAGTAGGCCTGCACAAAAGCAGGAGACAGTGATTATTCAATATAAAATAGGCTATATATTCACGCGTGCCCTGGTTTGTTCAGGGCGGGCCATGGCTGCAAGCTGTGCAGATAAGATAAAGAAGATTGATGCTGTCTAAATGTGCTGTCAGTCTGTGTCCTTTGGGAATCCTTATCTAATGCTGCAGTTTCAGCCTACAGCCTCCAGGGAGTGATAGACTCATAATTACGGCACACTTTAATGAATAGATTAGTGTTAAGTGGCAAGGTCAAAGGTCACCTGTGTTTATCTCTACACACACCTGTGGATAATTGACAGTTTAACCTTTTCAGCTGCGTGACTACAATGAATTTGAATTAATATCAACTCTGATACAGCCAGACTGTGATCTTGAAATATTGTTATAAAAATCTAAATTGGTCTATACTCTCGATACTACTACTACTACTACTACTACTACTACTACTATTGGATACCACTGGATATCACTACTACTAATACGCTGAATAAGTAATTTATATGCCTTTTCTTCTGATAAGACAAATGATGTAAAAAGCTAAATTGCTTATTTTCCTGACATGTTTCTGTGTCAGGACTTCCACCTTCTCCTCTTTTTCTAAACAATATAATAAATGACTATGCAGCGACCTAGTGTTTGGACATCGCACTAGAAATTTGACTAATTAATTAAATTAAATGATCATATATTAACTTGAATTTTTAATAAGACCAGGTTATACGTTTTTATTTAAAGAGATCAGGCAAATTTACACATATTTAACACATTTTAATATATTTCTTATTTTATTCAGGCTCAGAAAAATCTAAACTTCAGATGAAAACAAATGATCACAATCAGAAAAGTTTTATTGCTATTGTCATTGAACTGAATTGTCATTACTTTGGCATATTTGTACATATACATATAACAGAGACAACTATAAAATAAAGTTTCACTCAAAAAATACAATAAAATGTTGACTAAATTCTACTACAAAAGCCCAACTTAACAAGAATTAAAGGTGCATTGTTTAACTTCTTTTTTCTTTTTCACCATGGAGGCGTTATTGCTTTGGAATGTTTCACAGTATGGCATTAAACATTTATATCTCCATGGAGACCAAACCAGACCAAGTTACAGGTCAGATCTGTGACTAGGCAACTTCGCTCACCATGGAGATATAATTGTTTAACTTCTTTTTTCTTTTTCACCATGGAGGCGTTATTGCTTTGGAATGTTTCACAGTACGGCATTAAACATTTATATCTCCATGGAGACCAAACCAGACCAAGTTACAGGTCAGATCTGTGACTAGGCAACTTTGCTCACAGTCTTTTTTCTAGGTATTTTTGAGCTATAAAATCACCTGTAATTGCATAAAGAGACGTTTAATGCCATACTGTGTAACATTCGAAGCAGACCAATATGTCCATAGAAACAAGCAGGTGATGGATCTTCCACCAGAAAAGTTACACGATACACCTTTAACAGTTGCAAACCGCTTTGGAAGGGGGACGACATATTGAAATTTAACATTTATTCTTTGTAATTTATTTGCGTTTCTCTTAGATAATAAACAAAAACACATTCTGATGACAAATAAAGAAACAGAACCGAACCTTCACACGTGCACATTCCTCACATGCCCTTAAACGCAGTCAGGATCACCAGTTGAACATCAGTGGACGTGTCTTGTCTCCACTTGTCTCTCATCTCCATAACCTTCTAACTGCTGGAAGTGACCCTGTGTCCGCTCACCCGTGGCACACTCCAACATTCAGACTGTGGGAACGCCCCTCCTCTCCTCCAGGGGTCACTGAAGGTCAATGAGCCTGACCCCGAGCACACAAAGCAGCCTTTTATCAGCTCACGTCTGTCCTTGCTCCACGCGGGATTTTGGAGGGAGAAGCTGCAACACACATTTCTCACATTCTTCACTTCGAACAGCTGCCTTAAAATACCCCAAAGACATGAGTGATGGATGAGTTTGTAACAGGGCCAGAAAGAACTGAGGTGCCCATAGTGGATTGTGCCACATGTTGCTGGGTAATGTATTAATTGACCACATAATTAGAGCGTCCATATTACGCTTTTTTCTGATCTATATTATATTTTTTTACATTTACATTAACATTTTTATAAAGCACTTTTCCACCTTCAAGACACTACTCATCCATTCAGTCTTGCCCAAGGACACAACAACAACAACTTTCATCTGTGGGAGCTGGAATCACACCGCCAACCTGTGTGTCAGTGGATCTCTCTGCTCAACCAATGAGGTTTATGTCGAGAGCGGGGTTCGAACACCAACCTTCGGACTAATGGACAAACACTAAACTGAGCCATTGTCGCCTCTACTGAGTTCTTGTCTCAATCTGAAAATCTCAGATCCACTGACCCACAGGTTGGCGGTGCGATTCCAGCTCCCACAGATGAATGCTGTTGTTGTGTCCTTGGGCAGTACACTTAACCAACCTTGTCCCTAGTGTCTGCACACACTGGCTTATGTGAAAGGGTGAGTGGTTTCTTAATGTAAAGAGCTTTGTGCCTCGAAGGTGGAAAAGCACTATATAAAAATGTGACCATCTATTGTGCCATGGTAAGAAATGTTTTATTTTCAATATGACAAAATGTGTTTAAATTTGACCTAATCATACACATAGTCAGAGTTTTCATGATCTTTTCTGACCTGCTTTCCAAGATCTCCCTTGACCGTAGACGCCACACACAAATGCTGCTTAAACTCCTTACGATTCCTTTTTTGTTCACAAACTTTCAACAACTAAAATACTCTACTATATTAATATTCATCACTCTCTGAAATTAGGACAAGACGGACATTTTCTCAGTCTTACAATGATGTAGCAGCAGTGATAAACATGCAACGCCCCAAACCTGAAGATTTTCTCAAATGCAAAGTTCAAAATATTTTGCATAAATAAAAGGTACTCATGTGCTGACCCCTAGTGGCTGAAGTTAGTACTTACACTACCAGTTCAAAATTATGGACCATCTCTTTCAATGTTTGTTTTTATGTTTACTACTTTTTACATTTGATATACATAAAGAAGACATCATATATGAAGTAAGATGTATGTAATAATGTTGAAAAAAAAAGTTAAACCAACCAAATCCTCAAATTACCCACTTAAAAAAAAAATTCTTCACTAAATAATTCCATACATCTTCATATATTCCATGTCTTCTGTATGTACCTAAAATGTACAAAGCAAAAAAGAAACAAAACATTGACTGAGAGGGTGTGTAAAAACTTTAGCTCAGTATATGTCACAGCGTATAAACTTTTCTAACTAACAAGCAAGCAAACTAAAAAAAAAACTAAACTAAACAATACAAGCTAATAAATATTGTATAGGGATGGGACGAATCAGATTTCCCACAAGACGAGATAAGACTCTTGAGTGAGTTGAGACAAGACAAGATATAGGGGAAAAAATCTCACAAGATAATTTGTTCCATCCCTAGTAAATAGATTACCTTGGTTGGTAATAATAAAATTGTGAATCAAGTGCGTAATTAAGGAAAACTGTTAAGCAGAGACCATTCGTGACAAACATGTGAGCCAGTATAGTCACATTTTCTTTGTGTTTTGATAGTTTTTAAGGAGATTTTTTGAATTTTCACTAAACAAATTAGAATTTATGCCTCTCTTTACTGTTAGTAGCTATCAAATTGGTCCAAAATAAGGACACCTGGGACATTTCTTGTTTAAAACTGGGACAAATCACTGGTTTTGGATAAATCTGCTGGGACAGGGGGCACAGGACTCAAAACTGGGACTAAGATGATCTATTTTCATTGTTTGCTCATGGTGTACATTTGGATACAATTCTGAAAGTGTGCGGTGGTGTTCAGCTCTGGTTTAAACATAATAATGTATATTTTAGGGAGAAAATAACCACCATAAAATGCCAGGACGCTAAAGAGAATCGCAAAGACGTGAGCAGCCACTGTGAACGGGCCTCTGCTAATCAAATACAAAGTAAAGAAGCTAATCCAGGATATCATATACACCATTAAGCTGAAGGTAACGCACTTAGCTTCGTTGTAATTGGCTGGAAGGTCTTTACCGAGATAGCTCAAGAAAAAACACAGCATGCTAAGTATAGAGACATATGCGACCTCCACTACTGACCCGACTGATAAAGTATTGCTACACTCCAGGACTATGCTATGGTAGTAAAATGCAAAATCTTTGGATGGTTTTGGAGGATCTACGGCAACACGCAAAACAGAAATGACAAGAATTGCAAAAGAAACAATGAAAATAGTCCACTCCGGCCCATTGTTTTTAGCCCACCTATCATAAATTGGAGGAAGCTTGGAGGCAAATTTGAAAATGCAAACCACTTGGAAAGCGCGGACCGTAATGGCGGCTAAGCAAACCGTAAAGCTGAATATAAATAAAGGGTGTTTTAGCAGACAAGCTATCTGAGACGGGGGTCCAAAGTGGCACAGTGAACTAAGAGCTGCTAAAGTCAACGCGGCGAGCATCACGAGGCATGTTCGACCGCCGGCGGATTTGGCAACCGGCGTGGTGATGTAAACGAGGAGGATGATGGCGGAGCTGACAGTCATGAAGAGACAGCAGGCCATGAAGAAGAGAAGGGCGATGGTCAGAGGGTTGTCCCAAGTCAGGAGTAAGACGGTACGATCCAGGCAATGTTCGCTTTTCTCAGGGGCCCATTTCGCAGCAGGACATGGCTGACATTCAGTCGGATCTGAGGAGAAAGATTAGGAGTAGAAGATTTAGGCTATGTTGAATACAATTGTTGATTCAAGAACTTAACCCCTTCATGTTTCGGCCTATTTTTCGAAAAATGCCTGACTGAAATGACTCTCAGTTCAGGCTACGTTTGTGGGATGACTGTCTGGACAGAAGACGCAAAAGTGGTGTCACGTCTTCACTTTTTATTCCGCATTCAGACAAGCGTTTTCGGGAGATAATCTGTGTGCATACGGTGACGCAAAAGTGTGTGGAACTCAATTGGATATGCATGCCAAGCGGCTTGGTAGTGATGCTAGGTGGTGATGTATGTGACGTAAACGCATACATGACGTGAGCAGATCTGACCAGAGTTTTGCATCTTGGGCAGTGTAGAGTGTTGCGCATATTTAACTTTTCCACTCTGGAGGGTGGTTTCAGATTTTTACATTTTTAAGCCCCAAAAACACCGTCACCGTCTAAATGTAAGGCACTTCCCATAAAATATTTTGTCGTTCTACTCGCAAGCGTTCTCGTGTAAACAGACCCTCAAACTGAATCTGTTTCCAAACCCTTTGGAGCACAGATGAATGGCTGGACTCTTTGTGAAGCTGAGGCTCTGGAGTTTTGGCCTCTGTCTGATCCACTCTCATTTGAACTGGGAGCAAGCTCTACACAAAGAAATGTCAGATCTCAAACTGATTTTTTGGGGGTAAATATAAGAGTAGATATAGCTGGTGTTACTGGGGATGGTCTGAGAGACAGCAGATTGAGCTTTTGTTGGGTGTTGACAATTCACATGTCAAAGCTGAAGCAGATCTCACTAAACATGAGATTTAGGAACTTGTAATGAGACATAAAAAAAAAAAAAAAGGCCAGATGGAATTACATTTTAGTGATTTTTTTTTTTTTTTTTTTTTGTATTTGTGGGATTGGAGTACCAACTGGTCCAGATTCTTCTCAGAATAGTTGATTTGACAAACAGAAATTAATTGAGAAAAAGTACAAGGGCTCGTATCAGGGCCCTCGGAACATGAACAGGTTAAAGATGCACTATGTAACTTTTCAGTTTGGGATCTGTCACCTGCTTGTTTATGAAGATATGTCATTTCTCAGCCTGGAATGTTCCACAGTGTGACATTAAACAGCTCTACTTTACATTTATTCAATTACAGGTGGATTTATAGCTCAAAAATACCTAGAAAAACACACATTCTGACTGTGAGCGGGGTCGCCTCTCCGCAGATCTGACTTGTAACTCTGACCTGTCTGGTTTAGTCTCCATAAAGGTAGAAAGTTTTAATACCATACTGTAAAATATTCTAGACAAAGCAATAACATCCTCACAGTTCCATCAGAAAAGTTACACAATGCACCTTTGAAATAGCTCTACCTGATTTTTATGTCTTAAAAAGTAAAAGTAAAAAAAAAAAAAACTACTTTATTTTAAATAGTTTCTAGAGGTCCAAAGTTATTCCTCATTTACCATACGCATTCTGAGCATCCTAATTATTCACCGTGATGAGTTTATAAGCACGTTTCACAACTTCCAGAGGCCACAGTGGTAAAGCTAAGTAGCATACTAACCAAGTACTTCCTGATTCTCAGACAATAAAACTCTTTTTATATAATGTATAAATGCAGACAGTACATGACAGACTTATTTTGACTTCAAGACGGCTTATCCGATATATCTGTTCTACAGCAAAGAGGAAAAAATTGTGAATTATCTGAAAAAAAAAAGGCTTTGCTGGCGGTTGCTTCCTTTCTAAAACCAATTAAGTGAATGAATTTTGTACTTAAGGTATTAATTTCCAACACCTCTTTGTTTTGTCATAAAGGTTACCAGATTTATTGAAGAAGTGGGCGGCGGGACAGGCCTGGCAGTCAAAACAGCAGCTGTGTTGTCCGGACAGAATCTTCTTGTATCCCGTGGGACAGGGGGGAGAGCAGATCGATAACGGCACCTGAACACAACCAGAAACACATAATCATCTCAGTCTTTTGGTACATCTGCCTCCAATTTCTAGAATTAAACAATAAAACCTCTTGTTACAGAGTTGATAATTATTTTGTATTCACCCTGTGTGTCTGTGTGTCTGTGTGTCTGTCCACCGGCGATAATTCCGCCATTTATGGATCGATTGTCACCAAATTTGGTGAAATCTGTCCCCGATGCCGCAAAAAAAGTTTGGTGATGATACGAGGTCATTTGAGGTCACACGGGTCAATTGAAAGGTCACGCCATTATAAAGGACAGGCAATTTCAACAATTTCTGAACCATCTGCAGGCTAAAGTATTCACCCAATCATCACACAAGTTGACACACACATAACCGGGGTACACTGGATGTTACAGTAGGAAACCGGTCAAGGTCATTTGAAGGTCAAGGTAACCAAGGTCAGATATGTGTTTTTGGTCATAACTCCGTGAAGGATCGAGCTAGAGCGACGGGAGTGGTCTCAAAATCTCAGAAAAATTCATATCTATTTATCTATGCATTTGTATAGTCAAATATGAATAGTTTTATTTCTCTTTCAGTGTATACCTTTAAAATTCTAATTGGAACTAAAATAATTTCCATTTCTTCTTTTTCTGGTGATACACAACACACTGATCTACAGTCACACAACTAACATATACACAACTCATGAAAAATTACGTTTTGGTTACACGCCAGTAAACACAGACGTTCTCATGTGTGACCAATATCACACAAATATTCATGGGCCTGTACAGATACACACATTGCATTGTGGATGTAATGATCATGTAATATGGGCTGGGCTCCTCATAAACTGCTTCTGTGGTGATGAACTGCCCCCACCGATGCCTCATGGGCGACCAGGTTGCTATCTCTGATTGCACTTGTTTAACTAACAGGGACATGACATTTTCTTGTTAGCGTGCCAGTCCATAGTTGGCAAGGGGAGGTGCCTTATTTCAATTTTAAATGTGCACAACGTAACTTCTAAGGTAGACGGTCTGTTTCTTGCTTATTTCCATGTTATTTCTTGGAATGTTTGCCTGGAATGTTCCACAGTGGGGCATTAATCATATCTCCATTGCATTTGTTCAATTATAGGTGTTTTATAACTCAAAAATACCTTGAAAAACATGAATTCTTACCATATGCAGGTTCGTTTCTCCTTAGATCTGATCAGTAACCTGTCTCCATTAGGGGTTTGCAAAAAAATATCAATATATCATATTGTTTAATGTGATGATACAGTATTGATATTGTTGGCTGTTGTATCGATATATCGCCAGAAGTATTTTTGGTATATTTTACAAAATTATTTTGTGCCACAGTTTTGTAGCTTGTTCAGTGGAAGGAAACTCGTTAATGCAACACATTTGACATTTTCAGTTTCATATGAACTTTACAAGAAGTGGTTTAACAAAGACTTTTACTATCACAGCCATGATTTAACCTTTATTTTTTATTGAAATGTACAGAATCGATTTGAAATATATCGAATCGAAAGCTCACTGTCTCGAGATATGTATTGTATCGTGGCCTGTGTATCGAGGTATATATTGTATCAGCAACTTCTTAAAGTTACCAAGCCCTTGTCTCCATTGTGATTGTTAAGTTTTTGCATACTGTGGGATAATCACAGCAAAAGAGTAATATCTCTAACTCAAGACAAGCAGATGCCGAACCCTTCACCATAAAAGTTACACAGTGCACCTTTAAGTAACAGGTTTGCTAGTAAAACGTCCAACCTGTGTCATCATGTCCTCTGCTCCAGTGTTGTGCCACTCGATGAGATCTTCATTTATGACCAGTGAGACCGGGTCTGGACTGAAGGACCCCACCAGCCTCAGTGACCACGCAGTGCCCCTCCAGATCCAAGTCACTATGTCATATCCTGTGGGCGGGTCTCCATTCTGATCAAAGTAAACTGAAGTGTTGTCCACAGAGAATCGCACCCTCTTCAACCAGGTCAGAAGCTATAGACCAGAGAAACAAATCAAAATCAAATTATTCTGAGCATCTCAGAAGAACTTTTTTTTTTTTGCCTGACAAACTCCTCCCTTAATACCATCATTCAGGAAAAGTGGATGAAGTCTTACCAATATTTTGCAGAAATTGAACTTGTGGGTAAAAGTTTCCATTTACTAGACTGTGGTAACCGGATGTTCCATAGTCATCAAATTAAATATGCATGAATTAGCCACCCATTTCACATAAACTTTATAATGATACTCAAATATTTGACTTAGGGCACAACAAATGAAATGTTGCAGGCTACCAAAGAATTTATAAATTGTTGCTTTCCCATCAAAGTGCATTTCAGCCTATGGATCAAAATTTGCAAAATGCTATCAAAATTATTCCTGTATTACACAAAACTGACTCTTGTGTGTTTTAAGGTTTATTATAATGTTACCACCTCACACCTGCACCTGCAGTTGTGTCTTGTATTCACACATGTTTGAGTAAAAGGGCGTAGGTTTTTATAGGGACGGTGGGGATATGTCACAAACAATATTTGGGGAAGACAAAACAGTCCCTACCAATATCTGCCATTTTATTTTAATAAACAAAAATATGCATTTATTCAGATATTTTTCCAAACTCAGTAGTATTAATTTAACATCTTTTAGTTCACATTTTGTTTATTAAACGTTCTGAGATGTATTCAGTGATATGACGACAGGGTTGCTCCTGCCGCTATTTCACTGTCTGCAACAGAGCGACGTCATTAGTGGAGTCAGGAGTCTAAACTGGGGAAGCGGTCGGACAGGGCCGCACCTGAAGATGGTGGCTTGAGCAGGTGTGAGTGAAGACGCTGCACCAAACTTTGAAAAACTTTTCAAAAGGAACTTACTTGGCTTCATCTTCAATTAAACTTGCCTTATAATGAGTTGCCGTGGAAAAAGAACGATTATCACCACAAGTGCACCTCGTGTGCTGTCAGCAGCTGGACTCAATTGACAATATTCCATGAAAACATTTTTGGACATTACCTCACAAATATCTCATCACCAACAAGCAAAGAGAAATCTGCTACAGACTTCTACATCACTGTTATCTGCTAAAGAATCGTCTTAGAAGGGCAATGGACACAAACTGTACATTTTGCGACCTGAAAAATAAAACAAACTCTCACTTATTTTGGACCTGCCAAGACTGTGTGTTTTTGGTTCATAAAATATATGGGGGGTAATCATTTATTATTGATTAATCATTTATTATATATAGTGTTAGTGTTCAAGTTAACAGCTACCTTTTACCTTTTGTTCAGTAGAAAATATTAGCAAATCCTGAAATTATGAGCTGAAATTATACAAATGATTGGAGTGAAGATGTTTAAAAGCACTGTGTAGCACTTCCTCTATTACCACATGACATCACAAAGTGGAAAAGAGCTCAGAACTCAGCTTAAATATACAGGATTTGTGTGTTAAACATGTGTGAATGAAACAAAACACAACTCCAGGTCTGTTCTGGATGAGGAAACAAAATTATAACAGAGGTCAGGACATAGCGTAATATTTGCTTTAAATAAAATTGAAATAAAACCTTCTTACCTCCCAGGGCTGCACGGTCCTGTTGCTGCAGTTTCTTGAATCACATTCTAAAAGTCTACGAAGCGCGTGGGCCACTGCATACACCGCTTTGTACACATTAAATGAGGAGGTCCGGTCGTATGTCTCCAGTGAATAGTCATTTATGGCCATACTATACAGATCAGTGCTTTGCAGACAAACGTTTTCCAAACTCTCACCATTTTTGCCTCCATTGTATTGCATGGACTTCTCAACATCTCTTTTCTCAAACTCTGCAAACCCTTGTACATCTGCATTCTTCACAGATATTCCTATAACTGTCCCAATTGTGTGAGCTCCCGGTATGCTCGAAATTAGTGTAGCCACTGACCAATCTTCAGTTCCTATCCACACTTTGTTGGTTACGTTTTTCTCTATAACGAATGGCATGAACCCACTTAATTTACTCTTGCTTGAAAACGCCACTATTGTGTTAACTTTAGTCGTGAGTATACCGTCAACCATGTTTCTCATTTGTTGCGCTGTCTTGTCTGAAGCAGTTGGAATGATCCCTTGATACGCGATGCAGATGCCATAGTAAGGAGCTTGTTTTGCTAAACTGTGCATTCCCTGGAGACCGTAGTCATTGTCACTGCCCAGAAGAGCAATCCAAGTCCAGTTAAAATGAACCAAAAGCTGAATCATGGCCGCTACTTGGTTTTTGTCGCTTGGAATGGTCCTGAAGAAGGATGGGTACAGGTTCTTGTTGCTAAGTAATTCGTTTGAAGCTTCATAAGAGATCTGAAATGAAGAGGAGATAATGCGACAGAAGATTCAGCTACTGTATTGTTCTCTTCTTACAGCCCCAGCAACAAAACCGACTGCCTCCCAGACTCTCCATCTTCTTTTCTTTACCACTACAACTGTCCTTTTAAGTAGAAGTATTATTTATGTAAAGCAATGTTCAACTTCACAGTTTTTTTTCTCTTATCACTGTTGTAAATACTGAAGTCCAGTTCCCCTGATGATATTTATTTTTACCCATTGACTTCTTTAAGTACTTTTGTCTTCATGGAAATGTTATTATCTTCATCTGTGGTATTCTGATCTGTGGTGATATTGTTTCCATAATATTGTTTCAGCCAATACCCTGATTCAACCTTTAATTGGATGTAATAAGACTATTTACAGGCTGATTTTAGCCCAGGACATGTCACATTTTTTGAACTTCTATTCATACAAAGCTGTTCCAGTATTACCTGCAGGATAAATTTACATAACACAACTGGATTAAATTTGGAAACTGCGAGAGAAGAAAAAGTTTAATATTCAGTTCCTAGACTTGATCTGTTAATATTGGATATCGGCATATAGTCAAGGCCATAGTATCGATATCGGTATAAAATCTGGCTCGGTGCATCCCTAGTTTATGGCCAAACAGGGGTCATCAAACTTAGGCCCGCGGGACAACTCCAGCCCTCCAAGCCCCTTTGATTGGCCCCCCAGCCCCTCTGCCCCCACCACTTGAACTGGCCCTATGAGGCAATCCTCAAAAGTTGTCAAGGCCTATTTTTTTTAAATACTTTTTGGCAAATAATAACACATCTGCATCAATTAAAAATGATATTTGTATGAAATATTTATATTTAAATAATTATATGACGCACGTACATTTGGCGCTGAATTTTCGTCACCCGACAAGCTCGAAATCACACAGACAGACAATGTACAGAGTACTGTAGTGCAGTTAAGGACCAGTGTACAAAAAGTACAAAAAGTTGACAGAGAGTGCCGAGTTTTCAAAAAAATAGTGGGCAAATGATTATTTTTTTGTCCAGTGTAAGGACTGTGCAGTTTCTCTGATATGTATAGAAAGTGTGGTGGTTTTCAAAGAATATAATCTACGTTGTCAGGGTCATACAATTCTGTTATATGGCCTTCCCGACCCCGGCCCTCATTACAATCAGGAGCGATAATGTGGCCCCCAGAGAAAAAAGTTTGGTGACCCCTGCCATACAACAATAACTATTCCATTGAGACAAGCACTGAATGGACCTCCCAACAGAAAAGTCACATAGTGCACCGTTAATCACTAAGCTCTCTGTTTCTCACCTGTGGCATGAGATTTGACCCCAGAAAGGCTGCTGGAGTGAAGCTCTTACTGCTGCTATCCGGTCCTATGACAGCCACAGACTCCCTGCTCTCGCTCCGGTTCACCTCCGCCTCGCCCTCTTCCTGTTGGGGCAGCAGCAGGTCCAGTGTGGCCAGGATACTCGCGGGGAGAGAGCAGATGTCGTAGATCTGGTATCCGAGCGTCACACCGGGGAGCAGGGAACTGTTGTTGATCTGCTCCACAGCGAAGCGCATGGCCTGCATCAAGTGGAAGCCATGTTTGTTCGGAGCCCCTCTGGATACATCAAGTCAAGTTTATTGTAACGAAAACATCATTCTCAGCTGTTTTCATACTACAGTGTGTTATATATAAATCCTTAGCCTCTTCAGCAGGCCTCAAACAATAATAAGAAATACTTTTTCAGTTAGTACAGATTCCTGCTCTCAAATATAATGAAGTCAAGTTTATTGTAAAGAAAACATCATAGGAAGAGGGCAATAAAATAACTGAATAAATGAAGGCTGAAATGTGTTGAGGCTCAGTGAAATGCCATTATTAAATGACAAGATAACACCTTGATTTTGTATTTTTGTACACTGACAGTCCCTTAATTTCTCATTACTGTCTGGAGGTCCATGAAGCGTGCCTCTTTGCCTTTTGTTTAAGAAAAGTACTTGACAAAAGGTTAACATAACATAGTCTAAAACAGTATGAAGTACATTGTCTAAAAATGATAAAGTATAGAAATAAAGTGGTACATGTGTAAATAAAGCAAAACACAACTCCAGGTATGTTTTTGATTGGGTAACAGCATTCTAACATGACTTAAAGCTCACAAAAACCTATTTTGTTGAATATAGGATGTTTAATATTTGTTAGAGCAGGAAAAAAGCATAGAAATAATCCAAATTCACAGAAATGCTTACAGTACAACTACTGTATAAAAGAAAAAAAAATAATACAGTACAAAAATTAAACCCAAATGATTCAGCTTTGTCACAATATGGTACTTACTTGTTGCAAGGCTCCAGAGCAGGCTGACCATTAGTGTCATCACTGGATTTAAAGAGAGGAAACATGCCTGCGATGATATGGTCTCCACTCAGATACATGCCCTGTCCTTTAGAGACATAGTCCAGCTCAGCATCTGTGAACCGGACCAGGAACCAGACCAGAACCAGGATCTCGAAGCCCCACATGTCCCCCTCCAGAGTCTGCGTCTCCTTCTGTGTATGTTCAAATGCATCAGGTGAGTTTGTTTACCTGCTGCTGTTGGACGGATGAGGGCTGCACATTTGCGTTGTGTTTTGGTTGAGTAAAGTTTGCATTTACATTTGCAAATGTTTCTGACAGTCGTGTCCACCACATCAGGAAAATACACAAACCATATTATTTTGGTTAAGGAAATGTTTGAACAAGGTGGATACTCTTAATAAAAAATAATGCACTACCATTTACATTGTAGGTTTTCACTGAAAGGTCCTATATTACGCAAACTGACCCCTGCGAGCTTTTAGCCATGTTCGTTGTACATTACCTCATCACAAATACCTGGAGTTGTGTTTTGTTTCATTCACACATGTTCGAGTAACCCATTATTATTAGTCTGTCTACATCTCCAAAGCTCAAAATGCCCTGTTCTGCCTTGTGATGTCAACAGCCGCTCTTTGCTTTGATCACTGCTGAAAGCTTTTGGCATTTATTACCTGGTCCCCGAAGGATTGACCAGGTTTTGTATTCACCCGGTGTGTCTGTGTGTGTGTGTCTGTCCACCCATGATAATTCTGCCATTTATGGACCGATTATCACCATATTTGGTATGTGGTCAAGCCCCCTGTGCCCAATGCCGCAAAAAATGTTTGGTGACGATCCGAGGTCATTTGAGGTCACATGGGTCAATTGAAAGGTCATGCCATTATAAAGGATAGGCAATGTCGGCAGGTTTAAACCGGTCAAAGTCACTTGAAGGTCAAGGTAACCATGGTCAAATATGTGTTTTTGGTCATAACTCCGGGAAGGATCGAGCTAGAGCAACGGGAGTGGTCTCAAAATTTCAGAAAAATTATTATCTATTTATAATTCTATGCATTTGTATAGTAAAATATGAATAGTTTTGGGTTAATCACAAATTATAACAGTTTATGTTGTTACATTTCTAATTGGAATGAAAATAATTTCCATTTCTTCTTTTTCTGGTGATACACAACACACTGATCTACAGTCACAGAACTAACATATACAGAACTCATGAAAAATTAAATTTTCATTACACACTAGTAAACACAGATGTTCTCATGTGTGACCAGTATCACACATGTTCATGGGCCTGTACAGATACACACATTACATTGCGGATATAACGATCATGTAATATGGGCTGGGCTCCTCATAAGCTGCTTCTGTGGTGATAAACTGCCCCCACCGATGCCTCATGGGGGACCAGGTTGCTATCTCTGACTGCACTTGTTTTTTTCTGTATTTAACTTTTTTTTTTCTTTTAATAATAATAATTCTATATATCTCACATAATATATTTGATGTTTTCATATGTATATAAAATGCAAAAAGTAGTAAACATAAAGAAAAAAACACTGAATGAGACGAGAGAGAATAATTTTGATGGGTAGTATATAATTAATAATAGTAGTACAAATATGTATTTGTTTTGACAACGCCCTTGTTTAAGTGACAGAATGAGGTGGGTTTATATTTTCACAGGTGTTTTTACATAAAGTATACACATATAAGATCATTCCAGCAAATAACTTACTGTAAACACACAGCCTGAAGAACAGTGATACATAACAACATAATAACAACATACTTTATCGATCCAGAGGGAAATAAAAGTTTCTTTTTTCAGCATCTCAGTGGCTTTTGTGTCTCAGTCAAAGGTCTCGGTGCAGTTTAACAGGAGGACTGGTCAGGGAGGGTCAGCAGGTCTGTGTCAGGGCAGTTTGAGGAGAAGAAGAGCCAAAAGTGGAAAGGCAGCATTATTACTCTGCTCTGGTGTGTCATTTCATGATTAAATGGTTCATTCCCTCTAAGTATTTCTGCTGGAAGGTCTTAGATGTTCTTTATGGCTGCTTTAGCCATATTTCTTACAGTATTCTGCACCAAGAAACCAGGTGAGATTTTCCAGTGTAGGCTTGAGTTCAAAGAATCAGCATTTTTGGAGTAGTGATCACCAGAACCTAGAGAACCATTAGATAGATTGTAATGAGTAAAAAAGGGTGAATTTGTAATCAAGTACTATCCAAATATTTATATTTTCTATGGAAACCTCATCAACAGTAATGTAATGTGTTTTGTAGTAACTCAAGTCTAAAGGTCCAGCTCATCACAGACCACAGTGGAGCCTGGATTTGTTTATTGGTGTCATTTGAGGCGGATTCTGTCAAAAACACCTGTAGTACATTTGCATACGTTTTGTTTTGACAAGATTCTCAACTAAGCAAATTATGAGTGATTCCATGCAAATGTTCTGCAATGACTAACACTTGAATTCATCCATTTTCCTCCCATTATGAATGTGACAGTGTTAGATTGTAGAGTTATACAGTAGACCAACTTGCTTCTAAAATTCTCATGTTTTATTTTTAGTTCTCAGGGTGGTATTGTGACATACCACCATATGTTTAATTTGTGTTTTTATTTAATGTTTTCACAAGTGCATATTACTCTATTGAATATATACAATAAGTGTAGCACGTATATGTTTTTCGGCAGCGACTGTTTTAAAACACAAGAGCACACTTCTAATACATGTGTCCGTGGGATGCAAGTCACTGTGCCTTCTCTGAGTTCAGGCTGAACACACAGTTTGTATTGTGTAAAAGATTCAATGTGGATGATAATTACAAATGACAGGATCAAGAGTGGTGCAATATTCTCAAATGTCATCTATGTTTTTATTGCTATCCTCAGCAACAGCAGTAAAATGTGATATTTCAGATATTATTACATATCATAATTATTTATCCATGACAGCATTGTCGAATGAGAGTTTTTTTGCAAGCACTATAATTTGAACAAATTTATTGTCTAAACTGTGTTTCTATTTTCATATTGTTCTGAAAAGCAAAAGTCCAGTTTGGGAGCACATGACCGGAGATCTTCGTGTCACCCACTGGGGAGGGGAGAGATGAGCAATTTGAAGGATTTCTGTGTTTCGAAATCCTATGTGTGTATATATATATATATATATATATATATATATATATATATATATATATATGTATATATATATATATATATGTGTGTGTGTGTATATATATATATATATATATATATATATATATATATATATATATATATATATATATATATATATATATATATATATATATATATAGAAATTATCTGGCTCAAACTAAAATAATAAAACAAATAATAATAATGATAATATAAAAAATACAATCTTAAAACGTAAAATAACACAGAGGACGTACTCTTACGTCACTTCCGCTACACCCCAAGTTCCGTGTCAGGAAAAGTTGTCAGCATTTAACGCTAACTTTGAGGTAATAAAATAACACTTTTCTTTCATTTCCCTTGACGGTCTGCTTTACGTAATGCTCATTACTTTCTGTAAGTTCAAAAGGTTATGTCGGATTGTATTTCGGAGTTTATTTCGCTTAAAAAAGTGAACCAAAAGTGTCTAAAGTGGGTTTTCGGTTTTAGCCTAGTCACGGGCTAACGTTAGCATCGGGGCTAGCGTGTGGAGATAGTGGAGAATATTCTGCGTTTGTTTTGTCATTTTAAAGTAATTCTCAACAAATTACGATAATACTATATGAGCGTTTTAAAATATGAATCTTCTTATTGCATTGCGTGAGTTGTTTTAGGTGAAACTACATATTTTGGCCGTAAGGAGTGTGTTTTTGTCTGTTCTTAAACAAATGTTTTTGTTATAAATCAAATGGTTTTATTGATAAATCTCTGCAGAATCCCAGGAAGACTTAACAATGGCCAGTAGTAAATAACTTTCTTTTAAATACCAGTAATTATCAGCAGGTAAGCAAATAGATTTAATATTTGCATTTGTCCCCTCTATTTTTACTTGTTCTCCTGGGTTTTTAGAACTTTTTTTTCTATCAAGTAGCATCTGTGTAACTAAATGAGACCAGTTTTACTTAAAGTGAGACTATCAAGGCCAAAACTCGGATTATTGATACTTGGCATCTGATTTTATCCCTATTTATTGGGGGTGTGCTGGTAACTAAAGGCACTACTCTTTCAGAAGCTCTATTAGACTTTAATCTGAGCTTTATTTTAACACGGTCTTGCCAGAAAGAGCTGATTTAGTTGAAACTATATCACCCGAGCTGATCTGTGCTGTTAAACAAATTACTCAAATAAAACAAGAACAATCAGAGATACCAATCTGGTCCGCCATGAGGCATCGGTGGGGACAGTTCATCACCACAGAAGCAGATTATGAGGAGCCCAGCCCATATTACATGATCGTTATATCCACAATGTAATGTGTGTATCTGTACAGGCCCATGAACATTTGTGTGAAATTGGTCACACATGAGAATGTCTGTGTTTACTGGCGTGTAACAAAAATATTATTTTTCATGAGTTCTGTATATGTTAGTTCTGTGACTGTATCAGTGTGTTATGTATCACCAGAAAAAGAAGAAATGGAAATTATTTTCATTCCAATTAAAATTTTAACAACATACACTGAAAGAGAAAGGAATTGTTATAATTAGTGATTATCTTGAAAACTATTCATATTTTACTATACAAATGCATAGAATTATAAATTTTTCTGAGATTTTGAGACCACTCCTGTTGCTCTAGCTCGATCCTTCCCGGAGTTATGACCAAAAACACATAATTGACCTTGGTTACCTTGACCTTGGTTACCAAGTGACTTTGACCGGTTTAAACCTGTAACATCCAGTGTACCCTGGTTATGTGTGTGCCAACTTGCATGATGATTGGGTGAATATTTTAGCCTGCAGATGTTTCAGAAACTGCTGATATTGCCTATCCTTTATAATGGCGTGACCGTTCAATTGACCCGTGTGACCTCAAATGACTTTGGATCGTCACCAAACTTTTTTTGCGGCATTGGGCATGGGGGCTTGACCCATGTACCAAATTTGGTGACAATCAGTCCATAAATGGCGGAATTATCGCGGGTGGATACACACAGACACACCGGGTGAATACAAAACCTGGTCAACCTTTCGGGGACCAGGTAATTACAATCCTTAATAGAGCTGGGTATCATTCAGAAGTTCACCGATACGATACATAAATCGATACCTAGACCACGTTACGATACACATGATGCAGTGAACTGCAATACTATTCAGTACTATATATTTCAAATCAATTCCATACAGTTCAATAAATCCATATCCAATTTATTTATACAGCACAATTTTACAAAGCAGTTTCTAAAGTGCTGCACAGAGAGATCATTAAATGAAGACAACAAAAATGTAAATTGCAAAAATTTGGTTATACCAGTCCTAAAAGAATAAAACCAGTAAAATCTAATATAAGTGAAACCATAAAAATCATAAAATGGCAATAAATGAATCAATAATTAAAGCCAATAAAAAAATAAAGGCTAAATCATGGCTGTGATACTAAAAGTCTTTGTTAAACGACGCCTTGTGCAAAGTGAATATGAAACACACCTATTTTAATCTTCAGAACAGTGAAAATGTCAAATGTGTCACATAAACGTGTTTCCTTCTTCTGAACAAGCAACAAAACTGTAGCACTATAACAAAATTATTTAGCAAAATATACAAAAAAATACTCTTGGCGGTATTTCGATCGAGCAGTCCATGATATCGATACTGTACTATCAAATTAAACAATTAGATATTTCGGTATTTTAATATTTTTGCACACCCCTAAAGGCCAACAGTTCAGTTTCAGTTTGTCGCTCTCACCTTTTTGTTGAAAATCAAACTCCTATGAGTCCTTGTGTTGATCTTGAAAATGTGTTTTGTATTTTTTCTTGAGTTTTCAGACTATCTTCCAACAGTTTTCCTTTGTGTTTGCTAATACATTGTGTCACCATGGTAACCGCTGAACATTCCTCCAGTTGAGATACATGTAGAACACCCCTAGCGATGTCACTGCAAAGTATCAATATCGTGATTATATATGCAGCTCTACAACAATTTTTTTTTTTTTTTTACGTTAAGCGTTTCTGAACACCATGTCCTGATGTGTTTGTTTTTCTCTCTTCCAGCTTTAGTCCCTGGTGTTCCTAAGATGTCTTCCGGCGCTCTGTTCCCCAGCCTGGTGAGCGGCTCCAGGGGCAGCTCCAGTAAGTACCTGGTGGAGTTCCGGGCTGGAAAAATGACCCTGAAGGGAAACGTGGTGACTCCAGACAAACGTAAAGGAATGGTGTACATCCAACAGTCCGATGACTCTCTCATCCACTTCTGCTGGAAAGACCGGACCACCGGCAACGTGGACGATGTGAGTATCAGCCACCACAAAGGTTACTTATTACTACTTATTACTACTTATTACTTTCTTTAGACAATAGAATGTGATTTTCAACATTAAATCATTCTTTTCTATTCCCATGTGGTCTTATATCTGTGTAATCCCTCTGTGGCCCATTGGTGTGTACTAGGGATGGGCATTCGATTAAATTTTCTTAATCGATCGTCGGGAGAATTAATGATCGATTAGTCATTAACGTTTTTATATTAAAATTATCATCATTATTATTACTATCTGCATATCTACTAATCTGCATAAATAAATTCAACTTTACGACATATAAACCGTAACCACTCTAGAGCCACATCAGCCCGTTTGAGATTCTGTTTAATGCAGCTTTGCGCAACTCTCACAGAAACAAAACTTAAAACCGCATGGCTAATCTCCATAAACTAAGCGAAGGGAAAAAAAAACAGCTCTTGTGCGGCACGACTCAGTGGAATACAGGTTAGTGTGACTATATTTGCATTTGTCAAAACCGGGACACTGTACGGGGGGTGGGAGGTGGAGCGTCGTCATCCACATTGAGCTACTCTCACCCGGTAAAGCTTTTTCATGTTTTCGTTGTCCTGGTAAGACACCGAAACATATGTGCTGCTTTGTACACTGTGCACATGGCCTCCCACTTGTCCCGACCGCAACGGAAAGCGTGGAATTTCTTGCATAAGTCATCGTTAAGTACACATTTGTGCTTCGGCACGTTGCAGACTGACCGTCTGTTTGTGTCTCGCTCCTTCTGAGTGCAGAGAGCTACATGTACGGACCCCTGTTTGTCCCCGGACACGGACGTTTGGTCACCCTACGCTACGCACAGCAACCTACATTCGGTTTGTCGATTAAAATGAACGTATTCGATGAAATTCTTAATGATCAATTATCGATTAATCGACTAATCATGCCCATCCCTAGTGTGTACTAGTTTATGTGCTCTTATACTTGTTCTGAAACAGCTCAAGATCATTTTAAGGTTCATTTCTGTCCTGTGCATGTGCCTCTTTTTCTTGATACCTGCCCAAAATGAGTATCTAGTTTTGATACTAGTTTTAGTTTCTATGAAGATATAATGGTCATGTTATGTTATCAGGGTAGCTGCGGGGTCTTAAAAGTCTTAAAAAGGTCTTAAGTATGGTGTTTCTAAATTAAAGCCTTAAAAAGTCTTAAATTCTGTTGTCCAAGTCTTAATTTTTTCACAAAGGTCTTAAATTTCATTAGCCTTTTTTTTGTATACTCATAATGGGTATACACATAATGGGTGTGATGTTGGTCTTAATTTTAATTTAAGTGGTCTTAAAAAGGTCTAAAAAAAAGTCTTAAATTTGGGGTAGTCAAACCTGGGAATACCCTGGTTATGTGAAGATGTTAATACCCAGAGTCACGTGGCCCCACCTTTCTCATGTCAAACCAGTAACACCACTGATAATGATGCCAAATGTTGTGGTAATCCTTTATTGAATTGTGACTTGTGTGTTCCAGGATCTGATCATCTTCCCTGATGACTGTGAGTTTAAGAGAGTGTCTCAGTGCACCACAGGTCGAGTCTACGTGCTTAAGTTCAAGGCCGGATCCAAGAGGCTCTTCTTCTGGATGCAGGTCAGAACACACAGAACAGATGAGAGGGGAGGCACACACAGGGGAGAGGGGAGGGGCTATCACCTGTCACAAGAACATGTTTTGAACTAAGATATATTACTACAGAAAACACCACATTTAACTATAATATTGAAACATCTGAATGCCACAATAACCCTAAAGAAAATCCCAGTAAATATAATATAATTGAACCATATCATTAAAAACATCAGCTACATCAAATAAAATGGAGAATTAAATACTTAATCAACCCCAAATCTGATCATATTACAAACAAATCAAATAATTCATAATAAAATGACAGTCTTTTCCCATTCCTTTTGTGTCCAGGAGCCAAAAACTGACAAAGACGAGGAGTACTGCCGTAAAGTGAACGAGTACCTGAACAACCCTCCGATCCCAGGGGCCCCAGGCAGTGGAGGGGGCAGCGGGCATGAGCTTTCTGCCCTGGGAGGAGAGGGCGGTCTGCAGAACCTGCTGGGAAACATGAGCCACAACCAGCTCATGCAGCTCATCGGGCCCACGGGCCTGGGGGGACTGGGTGAGGGAGTGCTCCTACTAAACCTTTTACTTTTCAATTTAGATCCTTTGTTTAATTTAGAATATCTGTGACAACTTGTAATTTGTCATTGGACTTTTAAAATAGTTAATTACTAAATTATAGGAATTATTTAAAGTCAAGATGTATTTCTTTTAATTTAGTAAAGTATAAACTTTAACCATTTGCTAGTGTCTCTTTTATAGTTATATTAAGGATAATGCAGTTGTTTTTTTTAAATAGTCATATTGTAATCTGTTTTTGTGACTGTATTTGCTTTGTCTCTGAAGGTCTGGGAGCTTTAGCCGGGCCAGGACTTGCCAATCTCTTGGGCAGTGGTGGACCAGCGACCAGCAGCTCCTCCTCCAGGTCGTTGTAGGAACTGCACCCTAGTTTAAAATCCCTGTTTAAATCACATCTCATTTCTTGTATCTCTTGTGCTCTAGCTCTCGTAGTCAGTCAGCCGCTGCCACTCCTTCCTCCACCACAGCGCCCAGAGTCAGCTCCACTCAGGCCACACCCTCTGTGACCCCTGCTGCTGCTCCAGCCGCCACCACCGGAGGCACTACTCCCACTACCCCAGGTATTTGACTCATCGCTTCATTACATATACCTGTAGTAGCACTAATCCCTGTAGTTTTCCTAACCATCAGTGTCTGTTGTATGTCGTAGCCTCAGCGGCGCCCCCTGTGGCCCCGGCCTCTGCGGGCAGTCCCCCTCACCAGCCCATTCAGCTCAGTGACCTCCAGAACATTCTGGCCACTATGAACGTCCCAGCGGGCGCTCAGGGATCTGCAGGTGATTAAAGCTCATAGATGATAGTTAATGGGACAAATTAGAACTGTCTTTGCTTCTTTTGTGCCTCTAAATTACACAAAAATACTATAAACAAAGCACAGTGTTCCACATAAAGTCAGGTCTTCCTCAGTTCACTCTTTAACACCAGACTTAAATCTGCACTGATGTTGTCCATTTGCCAATGCAACTCTCTTTTGATGAGGTTGACTGACTTTTCAACTTAGTCATTTCATACTAATTATACAAAATTATTTACCTGCATCATTTAAAATCTTCTAAACATTAGAGTTTGAAAGCTTTAACTGAATTTGATTCATGGAAAGCCTTTTGAAATGTAGTATCTCGTTTTCAACGAGGGCCACTACTAGTGGGACTAATGTTAACCTTTTGACTCTTAACAATTTAGTGAGAATGGTCTTGCTGCAGCTGATGGGGAGAAGCTCCACTTCTTTGGGGTTTAATACTGTTATTCACCCATAACTCCTCACCTTAACCTTTTCCAAATTAACCATGCTGTCATGATTAAAATGTAGTTTGACGTACTAGAGCTCTCTGACATCCTGAAAATACACAAATAAGAAAATCCCCTGTGTGTGCTGCCCTCTAGTGGACCTGGCGAGTGTGTGCACCCCAGAGATGATGGCTCCAATCCTGTCGAACCCGGAGGTGCAGCAGAGGCTGTTGCCGTTCCTCCCGAGTGGAGAGAGTCTCCCCCAGAGCGCCGAGCAGATCCAGAACACACTCAGCTCGCCTCAGTTCCAGCAGGTACCTCCTCCCCCATTTATACCACTGTAATATAGAAATATTATTACTTTAATACTATGTATTATGTATAATATATGTTATATATGTGTAGTATATATGTACTGATTGTGCCTGTCCTGTGCAGTCCATGAGCATGTTCTCCAGTGCCTTGGCCTCGGGGCAGCTGGGGCCTCTCATGAGTCAGTTTGGGCTGCCCGCTGAAGCCGTGGACGCTGCCAACAGAGGAGGTAAGGACATCTTTATACACATACACACACATCTGTTTACACTACATTCACTGTAAAAAGGAACAGTACTTGATTTATATTATATGATTATAGACTTTTTAAGCACACTGCAGTTTGTAGATGGATACAAATATGTCTTATCATTTTACATTCCTCTGTTTGAAAATTCAAATGGATATTTTCTACATGACCATGACAACGTAAATTCTCAGTGTATATTCTTTCATCAGATGTGGAGGCGTTTGCCAAAGCCATGCAGGACAGCAAAGGAGATCCCAAAGACAAGAAGAACGACGATGAAGACATGGCCCTGGACTAGACCTCTGCTCCTAGCCTTAAATACAGTTCATGTGATTCAGCAGGGTTTTCTGAGCGTTTGTGTGTTTATTTAGTTGTCTGATTCTGTGAAAATAACTGTTCGTTTCACTTTAAAAAATCATTAGTATAATTAATAAGCCTAATTCCATTGTTGCCTTAAATCCTTCTACACCGACGGCAACTCTCAAACTCAGGACAAACTGTAGCAGACGCCTGTTGTTTTGTCCCTGTGCCCAGTGTTGTGTCCGTTTTCTACGACTCGATGGAGAAATCAGGCTCACAGCGTTAGCGTTTCTTCAAGTTTGAGCCTTAAGTAAAACAGTATTCCCATGTTCTGTTCACTGTTTCTGAGCCTATGTCTGTAGTTAACTTTGACAGGGTATTCTTTATGTTTGGGGATTTTGGTGATTCATTTAATAAAATTAGCAAAATAAACGTGTTTATTTTTTTGGTGTTATGAAGAAGCTGAAATGTCCAGACTATGACTCAAAACTAAAAGTGCATTTACCTGAAGTCTTTCAATTTGAGAAATGTTTTTTTAAATTATTATTTTGAATTTGTGAAAGATGTTTTTTTTTTCCGGCACTAGTCCGAATTTGCAAGTAGTTTTATGCTTAAGGAGGGACACTGCAGGCAAAACTTATTTTTCAGTTTTTACTTTTTGGATGTTTTAATATTTAATTTAATCGACACGCCTCTATAGTTATATGGGACATTATATATTAACTTTAAAGGCTGTTCTCTGAAAAAGCTTTTTTTTTTTTTTCCCCTGATGGGGACATAAAGAATCACTCCTTAAATAGCACCTACATAGACCAAATTTTACAAGATTTTGAGAAGAGGTACAGAAGAATTGACAGGCGGATCGGTGCAGCTTCGGCAGTGATGCGGTCGCTGTATCGGACCGTTGTGGTGAAGAGGGAGCTGAGCCGAAAGGCGAATTTACCGGTCAGCCTTCGTTCCTACTCTCACCTATGGTCATGAGCTCTGGGTAGTGACCGAAAGGACAAGATCGCGGATACAAGCGCTCGAAATTAGTTTCCTCCGCAGGGTGGCTGGGCGCTCCCTTAGAGACAGGGTGAGGAGCTCAGTCACACGGGAGGAGCTCGGAGTAGAGCCGCTGCTCCTCCACGTCGAGAGGAGCCAGTTAAGGTGGCTCGGGCATCTGTTCCGGATGCCTCCTGGGCGCCTCCCTCGGGAGGTGTTCCAGGCATGTCCCGCCAGGAGGAGGCCCCGGGGAAGACCCAGGACACGCTGGAGGGACTATGTCTCTCGGCTGGCCTGGGAACGCCTCGGGGTCCCCCCGGAGGAGCTGGAGGACGTGTCTGGGGTGAAGGAAGTCTGGGAGTCCCTGCTTAGGCTGCTGCCCCCGCGACCCGGCCTCGGATAAGCGGACGAAAATGGATGGATGGATGGATGGATGGTACAGAAGAATTTTTAATATCTAATTCCAAGTCTGATTTATTAAAGCTTTAACTTAAAAAATTTGGTGAAATAATTTGTTTTTGAGATTTTTTTCAGCCAAATTTGCTCATATACTAAATAAGCTATCCAAAATTTCCTCTGTATGTTTTTTGTATCCAATATGTCAACAAAATTTCTGGTTTAAATGCCCCAAAAATGCAAAAAAATACACATTTCTTAATTTTCACTTGATAAGAAAAAAAAAAAAAAACTAAAACAATCTGTCATATAAATATTTTTACATTTATTTAAGTAAACTACAGGAGAAAATTTATATATCTTAATTGTTGAATTTTGAATTTGTGTTTAATTTTGGATGCAAGGGTTTAAAGTTCTTTGTATGACATTCTAATTATAATTCTAGACAGATAAATATATTTGAATAATGTCATCTTGAGCTCAAATCTTTATAAATAAATAAATCAGAACTTCAGCCAGAATTTTATATGAAAACACTTTTATTATACAACATGTAGGGGGAGGGGAGTGAGGGGAGAAGACAGCTTATTTTAACTGTGAGTGGTTACATTACATACGTTCAAATTTGGTATAAAATTGTTTAAAAGTTTAAAAATTAAGATGCTGTTTTTCACCAGAGCAATAGCGGAAATGGGACATGAATTCAAAGTACATTCAGTTAAAATCAGCAGAGGGTAAAAACAAATGAGCCTCACACTGTAGAAACTCTAGCACAGATATTGACATTATTTACAACATTTCCTGCCTTTACAATAAATTTGGACCAGAAAAAGTGACCTAATACAAGTATAAATACAGCTACTGCAAATAAGGGTCTGAAGTTCTGAAGCAGAAGTAAAAGTACTGAAGTAAAAGTATACATATCTTTTTTTTATTTTTTTTAATTGATTGTAATTTTAACTACTACTACTACTACCCTGCCACCAATTGAATAGTTAAAAGTAAAAGGTGCACTGTGTAACTTTCTGGGTGTCTGAGGGTCTGTTACCATGGAGATGTTGTTGCTTTGCCTAGAACATGATATTAAACTTATCTATTTCCATGGCGATAAGCAACAAGCCAATGTACAGGTCCGATCTGTGGAGAGGTGGACAAAAAAAAAAACAAAAAAACACCTATAATTAAATAATAAGCAAATTTAATGCCATACTGCGGTACATTCCAGCAATCTCCATGGACACAACCCGGTGCTGGACTCTTACCAGAAAAGTTACATAGTAGTAATTAAAAGTAGATTATTTTAAAAAATATTTTCCAAAAATGTACACACCGACATAATAAATAAAATACATGAAAGAAACATTTAGTTAAAGCTAAAAGGTCAAATTCCAGGTCACTTTAAACTCTTGTGTGAAGTTCTGAAAATGTCCCAATATATAAAAAAAAGACTTTAATATTATTTTCTATATTGCTGCTATTGCTAAGGCTCAAACAGAGTTCACAGTGCTGAGACTAAGTTTTCATACATCGTCCACAAGAGATGCAACAAAAACATTTTACTACACGTGACTGTGAGGAGTTAAAATTTTGATTAAAAAATTAAGATAGAAATACAAAATCATAAAAGTCGTATGGGTTTCTGTTTTTTTTTTTTTTTTTTTTCAGTTTTGTTACATAAAGCCAGATGTAGTTAGAGGTTTGAACATTTTATACAACTGAAACAAAATGTAGGTTCTATGTAAGATGAATAATTGTTAAAGTAAGACTAAACACCTAAACTCCACCCACAATCACATTTCAAAAAGAGCTAATAAACTGGGCGTAAAGAACTAAAGAGAGTAACCCTGCATTCAATTATTTTCTGACTCCCACTTGGACCTCGGATTTGATGTCACATCCGAGCTTGAAGCGAATTATTTTGTTTCACGTGTCGGACTACATGGATTATGATTATGACTATTCCCTCATGTTATGAAAACACCACTTTAATTAATTCATTTTTAAAAATTTCCACTTCATTTTATGTTATGATTTCTCTCCTGTTACAACCTTAGGGACATCAACACCCATTAAATCAAGTATTTGTTCAAAATTGGCCTCACCACAACACCAACTTCCAGACCCACAGGCAGTGATATGGACGCAGTAAACGCGGTTGCAGTGATACGAGTGACTGGTGGTTTCAAAGTGTCAAAACACAATGAAATCAGTTCATATTTACACACAGCCACAGCCATCTTGGATTCTGACTCAGAATCCTTGCTTGGTCCACTTTTACCGAGGTCTGAGTTGCACCGTCCCAGGAAAAGAGGCGAGTCACACATGTTGCTAGGTATTTTCCCTGGAAAACCAATTCAGAAGGATAATTGAATGCAGGGCAAACGGGAAAGAGGGGCGGGGTCTGGAGGTATAAGGAACACTGAGGTATCCACACTTCAAACTCCGCCCCTGCAGCCAGGTGTTTGCATCAGAAACGCCTGTCCTGAGTGCTGTCACATAGTACTTGAAAACGCAGGTCACTGGAGGCAGCGCTAGCCTTTTAATTTACTTATTTTACACTAAAGTTGATGCTGTTAAAACACCATATACCAGGGTTCATACAGAGTCAAGTTTTCCTTGACTTTTCCCCAGTTTTCTATAACTTTAAATCTGCTGTTTGAGACAAAATAATTATACTTCACAGCTTACCTTTGTGGATTAAAAAGATAAGCAGCAGTTCCCGATTTAACTTTTGATTAGACATTTATTTTTTCAATGTAATTGTTTTTGTACATTTCCAAAAACAGGAGAATTCCAAAACTTTTAAATTAGAATTTAATCTTTCATGACTTTTCCAGGTTTTCCATGACTGTACAAACTCTGATCTGAGTTGTGGATTTATTTAGTGTTTAGCTCGACTTCCACAAAATCAACCAAATACTGTACGTGTTCAACCAAGAGGAATATTTTGAATTAAACAAACATGCGAATTTACTATAAAAATCAACTATTATTTTTTGCAGAAACCCAACACATTTTCTTTCATTTATTTACACAACTGTACATGTTTATTCAATCACAGTGGACGCATCTCATTCTCTTTCCTCGCTTCCTTCTCCTGGATTCCTCTCCTCGATCCTGCACGAGCTGAAAGTGAGTGGGACCTTTCCTAGTTCCTTAGTTTTAATGTCAAATTCAGAATTATTTTATAAAGTTTTACAGCATCCTTTGCTTCTGTCCCTGATCTTAAGTTGTTGTAACAAAATAAACTCCTGATACAAAGACAAATATGCCTCCTCTGAGCTTTGGGACATTACTTAAAGGTGCATTGTGTAACTTTTCTGGTGGAGGGTCTGTCAGATGCTTTTTTTAATCCATAGAGTTGCTATTGTTTGTCTGGAATGTTTCACAGTATGGCATTAAACCTTTCTATCTTCATGGAGACCAAACCAAACCAAGTTACGGCTTTTGTAGGTATTTCTGAGTTGTAAAACCACCTGTAACTGAGTTTTTTAATGTCATACTGCGGCACAACCTAAGCAGAACAATGATGTATCCATGGAAACAAGCAGGTGACAGACCCCCAACCAAAAAATTACATAGTACGCATTTAATGTTGTATATTTTCAGGCCCGTCGACAGAAATTGAGGGGGCCTAGGGGCAAGAATCCTCACATGGGCCCCCCTCGATTATAAATTAATGTTTCTGGGCCCCTAAAAATACCCTGGGGCCCGGGACGACAGACCCCTTCGTCAGCTGAAAAACGGAGAATCGAGGAAAGGAACCAAGGAAAAGAAAGTGAGGAAAGAGTTGAGATGGAGCCTGTGAATATCTTACATCAGTGCGTCTCTGAGTTGTCATTGTAGTAGCACCCTGTAGCACATTTAACACAACTAGTTTTATGCAAAACAAAAACATCACGGAAAATATAAAATATACACTTCTCTTGCAAAAAAATAATAAATATTCAAATATATAGTCTTTAAATTAGCTACAGTATCTGGACACCCACCACCGTGTTTCAATTTGGGAATGTGAGAGAGAGCGTGGACAGGGCTACATGTGGGGGCAGCCTCGCGTCCCCACTGCCCCGTGCACGGACAGGGGCTTGGACAACAGCGCCGCCCGGTGGTTCACTGACGCCAGGCGGATACAGCCGTGGAACGAAGGCAGGTTTTCAGGGAGGTTAGGTACTGCGACGCCACCTACAGGAAAGGCGAAGACGAGGAGGAATTAATAATGAAAATGCTACTACTACTAACACTGGATACTAGTACATGTAGAAAGAATTGTAATGTAATTTTTGGTAACACTTTAATTTAGGGATCACATATTAATAGCTAACTAAGTGGTAATTGGTATGTTAATTAGTAGAGGTGTAACGATATCAAAGTCTCATGATACAATATCGTCACAGTATGAACCTCACAGTACGATATATTTCTTGGGAAAGCTCATGAAATGGTGTGGAGGTTCACGATAAGGGATGTAACAAAATCCAAATCTCTCGGTACAATATTTTCACGATATACATCTCGCGGTATGATATTTATTGCAATATTTTGTGGAGGCTCCTCTTAAAATGCCTTGACAAGACTTAATCCAAAGAACTAACACTTAAAAGTGCTTAGAACTGTTATTTCTTCATGTAGTCTGCACTGAAATGGAGCAAAGGATCATGGTCTATGTAGTTCCCTCTGTCTTTTTTTTGCTATTGCTGCACCATAACTCTCAATTTAAGCAAAGAGACATATTGTGATGATCCATGATATTATTGTGAGAACTTTGATGATACGATATCATGATATTTCGGTTATTGTTACATCATACATGTTACTTAGCTATTAGTTGGTATTAATCAAAAGCTTATTAATGCTTATTAAGATTTCAGTGTAAGCACAAACATTTATTGTAATCTCTACTACTGTAATGGGAAGAAAATAGTTAATGGGTTAGTACTCGCAAAATGCATTAAAAAAACTTTATAAATACTAACAAAGATATAATTAAGCACTTATTATGCATTTTACTATTAACTAGCTATTAATATGTGGTTCCTAATCTAAAGTGTTACCAATTTTTTTTTACTAAAGGTCCTACATTATACAAAATGATTGATCATTGTGAGCGTTCAGTCATGTTATAATGTTGTTACCTCCTCAAAAACAGACCTGGAGTTGTGTTTTGTTTCATTCACACATGTTTGAGTAACTCTTTATTATTAGTTCATCTACATCTCCAAAGCTGAGTACTGAGGACTGAGTAATCCTTTATTATTAATCTGCCTACCAAATCTCAAAATGCTCTGTTCCACACTGTGATGTCGTGAAGCGGTAGTTTTCAAGTTAACAGCTACATTTTACCTTTTGCTCAGGAGAGATGAGCAATTTGGGGTCTGAAATTGTTCAAACGATTCTGGTGATGGTGCATGGAGTTTAAAAAGTAACAGTAAAAGTAAAGTGTTTTCAGTTTGAGAGAAGACAAACTAAATATGCAATGAAACAGTAAATAAAGTACTTTTTTCACTATTCAATGCAGTAACAGCAAGAAAATGTTATTTAACAGTTTTAGGGGTTTTAGTCTTTGAGTTTTGGATCTTTTTACACACAAAATAATCAACAAGCGTTCTACCATATCTAATAATGAGAGGCAAAAAACCCCACCTGGTACTCCCCCCAGGTACACGGTCTCTTTAGCCCCAGCTGAGGCCCTGTGTTTGGGGCTGACGCGCTGCTCCGAGTCCGAGTCCACATGGAGGGTCAGGGCGTCGTTCTTCTTCATCACTGAAAATGAAACAATGACATATTTGAGATCAGATATGGAAGGTTTAGCTTGTGGCAACTGCAGCAGTGTTTTTTCCATTTTTATTGTTATATTTGTTAACACTCATGAAAAGTACCGGTGAGTGTGTGCCAGCGTCCGTTACACAAAGACTCTTCAGGAGAGAAGGAGGTGAACAGCTCCTCTGTGCCGCTCTTCATAGACACCATCACCTGCAGATATGACACACGTTAAATATATATACATACGAAGTTTAACATATGCCATAGAGGTCAGTATGAAGTCCCACCTCTCCCTGGTTTAGGACCACATTCAGATAGTGGTTAGCCGATGTCCCAGCATGCAACAGGAGTCCAGAGTATGAGACCGGGCGAACCTCCAGCTTAATAGTAAAGTCCTCTCCAAGCACCAGGGACTCGTCTGGAGAGAGAAAAATACACACACACACACATATCTAAATATACTTACGTATATTGTATACATATCAGCAACAAATACACATATACATTTATAAGATTGTTTCTAAAACTTTCAACTACAGTATAACACTGCTCTGCAACAACTCCGCTTCCCAACATTGTCCGTCACAGACTTCTCTATCAACAGGGTATCCCGAGGTTTGACTACCCCAAAGTTAAGACTTTTTAAAGACCTTTTTAAAACCAGTTAAATGAAAATTAAGACCAACATCGCACTCATTATGCAGGCAAAAAACCCCAGATCCAATTCTAATAATAACCAACCAACTACTATATCTAGAATCTAAGAGCCACTGTAGATTAAACCTGCACTTCCCCGTGATCCATCCAATGTCTTCCTCTACTCTCAAACGTCTTCCTCTACTCTATACCAAATTAGACGTTCATTTACGTTATGTGATTTCACGTTTTTTTTTTTTTTCTCCCCTCCCTCTATTTAACATTGCACTGCAGCCCAGTTGAGCATATAAAAAATGTAAGACCTTTGTGAAAAAAAGACTCGGACAACATAATTTAAGACTTTTTAAGGCCTTAATTTAGGAACATGAAATTTAAGACCTTTGTAAGACTTTTAAGACCTCACGGCTCCCCTGATCAAAGGTACCAAAGGTTAGACAATTCATTGATCTTTCACTTTGTCTTCATTGGGAAAAATAAAGTTGTTCAAATATATGTCATTAATTACACTTTATTACACATAAAGCCTGTGTCTTGTGAGTTACCTAAAGCGATGTGTCCCCCCTCTCCGGTGAAGTAGGCCCCGGGCTGGAGCGGCTGCTGGAAACAGGGCACTGTGCCCTGGCTCTGTGAGGGGAGTCCTGCAGGAGCGTCATTCAGTCTCAGGTCTCTGACGCAGCCCACAAACCCAGAGGAGCCAGGGGCCTGGACATGCACAGGAGGAGATCAGTACAGATGTAATATATGTCCTTAAGCATTCATACAGTATTTTTGTATCATAAGGTCTTACACTGAGAGTGGGGGGCAGGCCGCCGATGTACAGGGGTCCAGACAGTTTGATCTTGTCTCCTCCTGGGATCTTCTTGGACTGAGCGCTGATCCCATCCACCACCAGACTCAGCTTCTCCCCCTCGCGCTTTATGAACACCTGAGACAACAGCCAGGGGAGAGCAATGACTATGAGTACAATAAGCATGATCTGATGATGCCAGAGTTTCAGATGCAGGACAGGGGCCTCTATAACTCTGTGGGAGATGGACTGTTTATGAAAGAAACATCCAAATTACCATACACAATGATATATGATGATGAAGAATATATTATTTCCAAAGGATTAATTCAACAAACTTGCCATATTACGCTCATGGCTTAAAGTTCTTGTCACCAATAATAATGACAACACTTTCTAAAGCTATGACGAAAAAGCATTTTAACCTTATTATACATATTTTTTATTTTTAGTCACTTTGTATCTATGAAAAATGCTATGAAAATAAAGTTCCTCCTCCTCTTGTCTGTGTTTACCGTGTGCCACTGGTCATCAATGTACTTCTTGCGGCTGTGCAGAGTGATCTTCTTCTTGCTTCCGTCAAGCAGCAGCTGCAGGTGTCCTTCAGAAACACTCAGAGACAGTACCGTTTTACTGCGGCGCCCCCCGACTACGTGGAGGATCAGGCCGTCAGACGAGTTTATCCTCACAGACAAAGAGATGTGGGGCCTGGGGAAGGTCAGAACAGGAACAGGGTTATAAAGAGCACGTGTTTAAAATACACGCATTATATTACATGGACATCTGATCACTAAAAACACCTGGTGATGTGTTAAAGATGCACTGTGTAACTTTTTAGTTGGGGGTCAGTCACCTGCTTGTTTCTATGGAGATGTCATTGCTCCACAGTATGACATTAAACAGCTCCATCTTACTTTTATTCAATTACAGGTGGTTTTATAGCTCAAAAATATCTAAAAAACACCTCTCCACACATCTGACCTGTAATTTGATCTCATTTGGTCTCCATGAAGATAGAAGGGTTAGGTTTAATGCCGTACTGTGAAACATTCCAGACAAAGCAAAAAGATCTCCACGGCAAAAAGCATCTGACAGACCCTCCACCAGAAAGATTATGCAATGCCCCTTTAATTCATTAATGGATTTTTAGAATGAATGAAAAAAAAATAAAGGGAAAAAAATATATATATACTATATATTATACTTTTTCACATCTAAAAAAAGTCATAACATCAAATAAGAAACCTGGTTAAATAGCTAAAAAGGCCGAAATATAATGATAAAATTACAATAAGATGCAGTTAAAAATTTGAAAATGTAATAGATACATAGACACATTATTGATCCTAAAAGAAATTACAATGCACAAAATTATCACTTTTGTATAATTTTGTGCAATGTAATTTCCTTCAGTACTCACAGAGAGTTGAGGTTGAGGGAGTCGTATCTGTGGAAGCTGTGAGTGGATCCGCTGAAGTGAGAGGCTCCGGGCTCCACCAGCGCCTGCTCAGACTGACACGAGTCTCTGGTGTTTCTGCTCCGGGATCCTGAAGGCTTCCTGTTCTTACCCTGGACGAATATTACATTACATTATATTACATTACATTACATTACAATCACTGGAAACACATCTTTTTTTATTTCATTCTTGAAAGATGAACTCAAAATAATTATATTCATACATCAATGTGAATGAAAAGGAGCAGAAAGAAGTATAGACTTGTAATATGTGCCCCCTTTTCACACCAAGTAAAACATTTCTAACACATCGACATGACTTATAATAATTTGAGTTGCAAATATGAACCATGCTTTAATTAATTTATGCACATTTTGAGACTTACAGGGATATTAGAGCTATTATCAGTGAGTATCATTCTATTTTCTCATCTACATTATAATGTTTATTCATCCAAAACAGACCTGGAGTTGTGTTTTGTTTCATTCACACTTGTTTAACACACAAACCCTGCATATTTAGGCTGAATTCTTCTCTGAAATGGAAAAACTTTGTAATGGGGTCTGGTCAAGAGGTAACGGAGGGAAACGGGCAGATTTTTCACATTCAAATAGCTCTTGTTCAGAAACTAGAGGGACTATTGCAATAAGTAAGGTATCAGAATGTAGGAAAGAGTTAACACTCCAACAGGGTAAAGTTAAACCTGTGATATTCTTTCAAGTTGTTGACAAAAAATTTAAAAAGTCACGTCGGTAACGGAGGGAATGAAATATGCAGCACTTTTTGGGCAATAAATACAAACAGTGATAACTCTTGGTTCTCACTTACATATCCTTAACAAACTGGTTTGAATATTTGCTTCATATAGTTTTCTACCATATGGTACAAGATTAGGATGAAAAACCTCTTACTTTTTGAGTAATGAGATTTTTTATTAAGAAAGGTCATGGTAACGGAGGGAAAAGTAATGGAGGGAAAACTGTGCAAGCAAGTAGAAGGTGCATGATTTTGCATAATTTCTCAGCTTTTTTCTTCCGAATACTTTAATATTACTTCAAATGAAACGTAACTATTTCTATAAAATATGCCAGTCCTTCCAAGCTAATTTTTATCATTTTAAATACTTTTTTTTTGAAAAATCATGTACCTTCATCAACAGTTCAAAGATGGAATAACACAAGATATGATGAAATACATCCATTTATTTACATGATTTGCAGGTCTTTGAAATTTGGGAAATAATTTTTGTTCCATGTTTCATACATATGTATCTGTTATACATTTTTATATCAGATGCATTAATTTGAATTTTTGGCCTTGCTGTTTACTTCTGCTTGACCGGGCCCAATGGCATGTGTTTCAGGAAATGCTCCACTGTTTTTTTAAACTCTATATATATCTATTCTTCAGTAGAATCATTTAAGTGAATTCAGCCCTGGATTTGCTGCTCTTTACTGAACTAAAGGTCAAATGTAGCTGTGAATTTGGGAACTGCTACTACATGACAAACTGGAACAGAGCATTTTGAGCTTTGGTGATGCAGACAGACTAATAATAAAGGGTTACTCAAACATGTGTGATTGAAAAACAACTCCAGGTATGTTTTTGAGGAGGTAACATGGCTTAAAGCTCTCAAGAGTTTAAATAAAACAGCTGGAACTACTTAGATGAAGCAAAACATCAGCCTCAAAAAGCAAAGTACGTCCATTTGTTTTAGTTAAACATTAACAACTTTAATTTAATCAGTTAGACTATTTTTTACTTCAATGTCATACACACTTCTGTCTGGTTCAGGCTTGTGATTACTATTATTCTCCTCTCATCCTTTTACCTTGGGCTTGCTGGGTTTGGGGGGCGTGGCTCGGATCTGCTGAGGTTTCTGAGCAGCCGGACACTTCAGCGGGACATTCACGTTTTCTTTGGCCTTGAGCAGATCCAGCACCATCTGACTGGGCGTCTCACTGTACGAGGAGGAGCAAAGGTTTCATCCATTACAACATTTACTGACTGAGGTACACAAAACATAACAATTAAAAGCTACATTTGTGGAGCAATTGTTATAATTTTTTAGATTTTGTTTGAATTATCGGCAGTGTGACGAACTGATTCAATTCAAAAAGACGACAAAAGCTTTCAGAGGTGATAAAAGCAGATGGCCCGAACTTGAAAACGTTCTTGAAGGCATGGATTTATATTCAGGTGCGGTCTATATATGTACACTTTTTTTTTTTTGATGCGGCTTATAGGTGTGCTCAATAGCCCGGAATTTATGGTACTTGATTTCATATTTTTATTTCCATTCTAGTACTACTTTTTAGAACTGTTAACGAGATGAAACTCACCAACACGTCACCCTTTTTTTGTCTGATTCAAATGCAAATATTTGGAAAAAAAATCTCATGAGATAATTCTTCTCTTGTGTGCACGATCTTGTGGCAATTTTGTCTCACTCGATCTTGTGGCACGACATCTTGTGTCATCTCTAGCGCTTACCTCTTCACAAAGACGTTACTGATGCAGCCGGTGAGGTTGGCCAGGCTCTGGTCGGGGGTCCCTCCCAGGTACGTGATGCCCAGAGTGGCTGCTCCTCCTGGGGTTCTGCTGACGGTGATGCCCTCCTTAGCCTTCTCCAGCACGTCGTCCATGTACAGGCGGATTCTGCACACATACACAAGGTCAGACTACATTTAGACCTGTACTCTATCTGCTGCATTACATTACACAATATATACTGATATTACAAGTAAATAGAGATTTTTGTACATATTTGTGGCTTTAATAATTGTTGGGGAACACAGGGCAGCTCAATATATAACCATAGACAGTGAATGACGTTATGAGAATATTGTGCGCGTAACAACCTATAATATATTGTGCTTTGATCGATTTGTGTGTCAAACGATCCCCAAACTCATATAATCGAGTTGAAATGATAAAGCTTAACAAAGTTTATTTTGGGTTATTTTTTGTATAAATAAGTATGTTTATTTTATTTTTTAAACATAGAGATTGTAGAACAGCTGGATATATAGGTTATTTTGGATACATTTGTGTTTTTCGATGCCTTATTTCATGTTCAAGTATATTTTATAAATTAGTTTGTTTTATACATCGCTAAATTGCATATTTGTAGCCTATATTTATTTTCAGTTTGAAAGTTTTGTGTAAATTATCAATAACAATGTGTTTTAATTTTTTTGAGAGAGAGAAATGCTGAATAAATGCAACGTGCAACTAAAAAATAATCATTTAAATAATTGTGATTTTCAGTATTGACCCAAATAATCGTGATAATGATTTTTTCCATAATCAAGCAGCCTTAGCCCATATTACGCTATTTTCTGATTTGTTATAATGTTGTTTCCTCATCACAAACAGACCTGGAGTTATGTTTTGTTTCATTCACACACGTTTAACAAACAAACCCTGCATATTCAGGCTGAGTTCTTCTCTCAAACAGAAAACACTCTGTTCTACCTTGTGATGTCATGTGGTAATACAGGAATTTCTCCACTTTTTAAGCTTCACCTTCATTAGAATCATTTAGATAATTTCATCCCTGGAATTGCCAATCTCAAAACAAAAGGTAAAAGGACTTTGCTTGAAAACTCCTGCTTCGTGACATCACAAGGTGAAACAGAGCATTTGTGAACATGCTCAAACATGTGTGAATGAAACAAAACACAAATCCAGGAATGTTTTTGAGGAGGAAACAACATTATAACATGACTTAAAGCTCAGTCAATTTTGTGTACTATAGAACCTTTAAACATATTTATTTTTCTGAAAATTAACCTCACTGCAAATATTTAAATTCACTAATAAGAAGAGTGCAAATTACAACCATCCCCTTACCTCAAAATTATAATATAAATTAACATAATGCATAGTCAGTAAAATCTCCTCTTTTCATAAACCTATAATGTAAATGTAGAGTAAATGCTGAATCGTACCCATTGTTGTTATTGTACAAAGCCACGTAGTGAGTGTTGTCATCATTATAGGTTTTCTGAGTCTTCACTCCGTTGTTTCCGGCTCTGACCTCAACATGTCCTTGATTCAAGAAGATCCGGCACTCGCCCTCCTGTTTGGGAACACACAGAGTTGGTCAGTAAAACCACTACACTCTATTTGGACACATTAATTTTGTATTTAAACGAGAAATTTGCATGCATTTTTCTAGTACTAAGTAATAAACTATAACATACGTAAATCATTATTTTACATTTTGGTCATTGTAAGCTGCAAATTCGTCTAAAATTATACCTTATTAATACCAATTTCTTGTTATTTTTGCTGCTTATTTTGAATTTATTATCATTTATATTTAATTTATTTTATATGTGTGAACTACTGTGTCCAATAATTTCCCTTATGGATCAGTAAAGTTTGTCTAAATCTAAAATTTAAGACCTTTAATAGAAACAGCTTTACTGACTTCCCGTTAAAAAGGCAGATTTGATAAGCTCTTTATAGTTGGATTTCTCAAAAGCAAACAGTGGATTTTTTTATTTATTTGATTGTTTATGAAAAATTATTACACAACATTTTTAATCATGCGTGTTTACCGTTAATTTTAAGTATAAGAAAAAGGGTGGATATAGGTCTCAGGTCTATATTTTTTTGTTACTGATTATCTGTGTAAATGGGTCCAAAATAGAAATGTATACTTATCCCCGGCCTTATTTTGGCATTTTAGTGCATATTTGTTAAAAATCTGACTTTTGGATCAAAAGCCGTGTCTGTAACGGCCTCTTCAGGATCAACTATGGCCAGGGCATTTGAATTTTTGGGTTGGACTAATGACCGCCAATGAGTCAGACGCAGGTCATTACGTGACAAGCACAGCCACTGTTGTTTATGGGCGATACGTGAGGAGCCCCTCTCAGCTACGCCCCGCCCTGGCACCACCGGGCACTGTGATGTCCCGCCGTGTCTGGAGAAAAGGGAAACGGTGTGATCCAAGCACAAATGACCATCTCTTTCAAAGTCTGGAGCGCACTTGTCCACGCCATGTTTTATTGTTGTGGCGGTCAGTTGGCTGTCAATCATCGCTCCAGAGCTCTCCCCTCACCCGCTCCCCCCAAACCACCGAGCACCACCCACTCTGGAGGATTTTTCAGATTTTGCTCATGGGTGGAGTAAACCTTTGGGAGGGTATTTAATGTCTATTCAAAAGCTCATGAAGTGGATTTTTGCATAATATGTCCCCTATAAGAAGCCAAAAAGCAGTAAGATATCACAAGGGAAATTATTTGGACACAGTAGCTCACACATCACAATAGATTATAATAACAAAGAGAAAAATATAAATGGTAATAATACATTTTTAAAAAGTAGGCATAATTATATAAATGTATATGTACAAGTAAAATTAAAATATAGAAATACAGTAATACAAAGATATCGTGCTTTTTCCTTACTGAATCTTTGTGGTAGAACATGAGTCCGTCCTTCTGGTCTGTTCTGAAACTGAAGCTGGCGTAGAAGTTGTTCCTGAGACTGGGGACTGCGGGCAGGTTCAGGTTCAGGTAACTCTGCCCGGTGAAGTGAGCCTCTCGCGCCACCTGCAGGAAGACAGCACAACCGCACTCAAAAACCAATCTACACATTGTGGGGGGGGGTTGTTGTCCCAGGCTTCAGGGTCTTAGTCCAGAATTTGACCCTCTACCTATGAATTTATATTAGAGGGAGGCCCATGTGGGGGGGTCTTGATCATATGGTTGTACTTTTTGATGAGGAAGACAACATTATAACAGTAACATAATTATAACATAAAAAATAGCTTAATATGGGCCCTTTAAAATTGGGAAGGACTAAATAAACATAGAGAATAAAATAAGTTAATCACCAGGAGGTCGCTGTCACAGTCGAAGCTCACGCCGGTGGTGATCATCCTCTTCAGGTCGATGTGAGAGGTCAGAGCTTTGACGTTCCTAAAACAGCCCTTCAAAGAGCCCTGCTTTGGGAACATGGACTTCAGCCTGCACAAAACACAAACACAGACAGTCTATAGTGTGCTTTAATTATTACACAACATAAAGATTGTTTTTTTTTTAAAATAAGTTCAAGTTAGTATTAGGAGGGAAAGGGGCTATAGATGGTAGGTGAAAACAGAAATTTTTCTCAGGTACAGGACAATTAAAGATTACTTTATCTTACAATTTAATTTTCACAAATAATACTTTTGATGGCCCGACATTCTGATCAATCAAAGCCCAGTGGACCCCCTGCAATCCCTGGTGTCCCCCTCAGGTACCATAAATAAATATATTATAACATAAATATATATTGCCATATAAATGCACAAAAAAGTAAAAGTAGTATTGTCCTTAATTAAAAATTTTAGGTATCTGTACTTTACTTAAGTACATTTTAAAGGGGATATTTCTTACTTTTACTTCTACATTTGAGAGCAGGTATCTGTACTTTCTACTCTACTACATTTTTGAACAGGACTGAAAAGCAAAAGTGTATTTTTCATTACTGAGGAGTTTATTTTAACACATTCATAGTTTGAGTAAACAAAAATATACAAATAAACAGCTATTAAAAAAAAGTTATTCAGTTGTTTCTGTTGAACAATATTCAGCACTAACCTTTATAAAAATCACTACAGTTGAAACTTTATTAGACCTAAAATTCTGCAATAAATACTTCTACTTTTTACTCTTAAAGTGCATTTTTAAACATGTTATTTTATACTTTTACTTAAGTAAATTTTTTCATGTGATACTTTTACTTGAGTATTTTTTGCTTGATTGACTGAGATTCAGGAGCAGGACCACACCTCAAACTCCCTCTTCTCCTCTCCAGCGAACCACAGCTCAGCTCAACCACACCTTCAATTACCCAGAAGGCCTATTTATATGGCTAATCCCGACAACACCGTCTGTCTCTGCTCTCTCCCTCCCTCCCACCCCTGTCTCTTGTTCATCCTTCAGCCTGAAAACGTCATCTACAAAAGTGGAAGGGCCCTAAATTGGCTTGGCTGACCACCTGAATCAGAGCCCCCACCCTTAATCTCCTCCCTGCCACAACTATCCACTATCAATAAATATCTTTATCGTATTCCATTGTTCTGGCGTGGTCTTTGATAGCGAAGTGATGGTAATGCACTGCTTACGGCTCAGGCATCTTGTCCTGGGGCACTCCTCCCAGGTAGTAGGAGGTGGTGAAGGGGGGGATGTTCGTAAACAGCTCGTTGTGGAGAGTGATCCGGTTGTTCCTCACCACCACACGCTCCGTAGGAGGGCGCAGGATTATGATCTCCAACTGCAACAACAACACAAGAGCAACATCAGAGAGGACCGTGACATTCAGAGGGAGTACAGCTAAAAGTGGAATGATCCGTTTTTATATAAAGCGAAATATGGCGACATGTGACGTACAGCTTTGGAATCTCCGTCACTGATCTTGAGGAAGGGGGAGTTGGGTTCTTTGGGCATGAGCTCTTTCATTTCTCCATCAAAGTTGTAGTAGACCTTGAGGAAGCCTTGTTGTACGGCCAGACATAAGAACTTGTCCTGAAATGAGACAAATATTAGTTTTAAAAGTTCAATATTACACATAATTTACTCTATATAAGCCATGTTAGGATGTTGTTACCTCATCAAAAACAGACCTAGAGTTGTGTTTTGTTTCATTCACATGTTTGAGTAACACTTTATTTTTAGTCTGTCTACATTTCCAAAACTCAAAATGCTCTGTTCCACTTTGTGATGTCATGTAGTCGTAGTTTTCAAGTTAACAGCTACCTATTACCTTATCAGTATAAATGAGCAATTCCAAGGCTGAAATTATCCAAACGATTCAAGTGAAGGTGTATAGCGTTTAAAAACACAATAGAGCACTTCCGGTATTACCACATGACATCACAAGGTGGAACAGAGTGTTTTCTGTTTGAGAGAAGAACTCAGTCTAAATATGCAGGGTCTGTGTGAATGAAACAAAATCCAACTCCAGCATTATACCCTGACAAAGACCATCTAGCTGGTTGAAACGTGTTGGCGTCCCTCCATGTAAAAAAGAACTTTTAATATACTCAGTCAGTGTGTCTCGGGTTTGTACCTTGTCCACTTCTACATTTTTCAGTAAGGGGTTGGCTGGCGCCACCTAGTGCCTCCGCTCATTTTCATTTCTCTCCAGCGACTAGGTCAGGAATCAAAATACACTAGATGGTTTGCAAGAACCCTGGAAGTGCAAGTCCGGGCACATGCCAATCAGCGAAGAGCCATATATTCTGTGTTGACAACGATTCCCGAGATCGATGATTTAAAGCCGGCACAAAGAGAATGTTTGGTGAATTCTATCAAGGGGAAAGACGTTATTGCCCTTCTTCCTACGAGATTTGGGAAAAGTTTAATATACCAGTGAGCCCCATTAGTGGCTCATTACATACATCACGACCAAATAGCAGCAACTGGTTAAATAAAAAAAAAGTACCTGCCTACCGTCAAGCGAATGAATCCTAATGCTGCGAGGTCAGATGGTTTCCACGAAGTGAAACCGGCTGAAGAACTAACATTCAGTTAAGATTACAAGTTTAACCCTCATAGAGCACCTGTACTGCTATTTTTAAACTTTTTTATGACCTAATGAAGCACTCTACCTCTTTTCTTCATCTGACAACTCCAGGTAAGTTTGTGATGAGGAAACAACATTATAACAAGAGATCAGAAAATAGCGTAATATGGGCCCTTTAAGTTAGTAAAAAAAAAAAAAAGTCTCATTATTATTATGAAGACCCCATCTGTCTTCTCCCCTCTTTCTCCCAAATCTGGTCTCTCTCGTTTCTGTCGTTGTACCTTGTTGAGAAGCAGGAGGAGGATGCCGTTGTGTGAGACCAGCCTGACTTCCTGTTCGAAGCGTTGCATCCTGGGTACTTCACTGGAGAAGGCGACCTGAGCGAAGCCGGTGCCGTCAAAGTACGCCGCATCGTTCACCCAGGCCTGAGTCAGCAGAGGCTTCAACCTGCAGAGTACACATGGTTTAAAAAAGGCATACATAGAGTGATTGATTTGTTCACACATCATCTTTACGTCGTGTAGAATACTGTTACCTCCTCAAAAATATACCCGGAGTTGTGTTTTGTTTCATTCACACATGTTTGAGTAATTATTTATTTATTATTAGTCTGTATACGTTTCCAAAGCTCAAAATGCTCTGTTCCACCTTGTGATGTCATGTAGTGCATAATAGTTTTCAAGGTGACAGCTACTTTTATCTTCAGTTGAGTACAGATTCACAATTCCAGAGCTGAAATCATCCAAATGATTCTAGTGAAGGTGTGTGGAGTTTAAAAACACAATGGCGCACTTCCTGTATTGCCACGTGACATCACAAGGTGGAACAGAGTGTTTTCTGTTTGAGAAAAGAAGAACTCAGCTTAAATATGCAGGGTTTGTGTGTTAAACATGAAACATGTGTGAATGAAAACATGAAAACACAACTCCAGGTCTGTTTTTGATGAAGAAACTTAGAAAAAAGATGAGAAAACAGCGTAATATGGGCCCTTTAAATATATATTTTTTATGTTGCACTATGTTAACTTGGTGGTCTGTCATCTGCTCTGTCACCAGTGTTGGGAGTAATGTATTATAAAAGTAATGTATTACAGTAATGCGTTGATTTTTGCTGTAACGCAGTAATGTAAGGCATTACAGGGGGAGAAATTGTAATATTTTACTCGGTACAAATGTGAGTAACGCGCGTTACAATGCTTTTTTAACCTGGATTGAAGTGGTGGGTTTTTCTTCATAGAAATTCGCTAAAATCACCGTGAAATCAGCAGCGGTGAAACGCCGGAGACGCGGCCGGATAGACCTTCAGTTAACCACGGGTGAAAGGACCAACCCGCTGTTTAGACCTGGTTTAGACCTGGGTCACTTCTGGTTTAGACCTGGTTTACAGTCATCCCTCGCTCTAACGCGATTCACTAACGCGGTCTCGCTGTTTCGCTGATTTTTAGAATTTTTTTTTTGTGCAATTTTGCATGCCTTTTGTTTTTAGTGTATGAACACGTATTGCGTTCCTCCGCTGTGTCCTGATCGGCTGAGGGACTCCTGTCTCCTGTACAGTACAGTACAGAATATGTTCAGCTGCCAAATTTAAATAAATGTTCAATCTGTATCAGTGTGATTCTGAGGTGCTGTATGTCTGCAAGTTTTCTCTCCGACAAAATCCACAACGTCGACGAAATGTTCTGCACCGACAAAGTCTCCTGCACTCACACCCAAAAGACAGAGGACGATGCAAACCATCGCACAAAAAGTTGGACTTCTGGACACGCTGAAGGAAGGTAGAAGTTACGCGCTGTAGCAGAGTTTTGCACCGGGTCTTGTACCCGCAAATAGTTGCTGAAATCAGGACCGTGAGCCCGCGCAGCAGGGTCCATAAAGCGCGATCGGGCGACAGCCGCTCTTACCTCCGTGAGGTGCGGAGCCAAGCCGGTCCTTTCTCCTGCGATCACCTTCGAGCCCGTCCCTACAGTGAGTCCTGTTTTAGTCCTAGTTCAGTTCTGGTTTAGTCCTCCTCTTCAGTCCTGGAATCAGTCTGAGGTTAGTCCTGTTATAGTCCTGGTTTAGTCCTGGTTCAGCTCTGGTTTAGTCCTGGTTTAGACCTTGTTTAGTCCTGGTTCAGTCCATATACGGCTCAAAAGTTTAGCTTTTTCGCAGTTATTTTGGTGAGAGAAACTTAAAGTAATGCAATAGTAATGTAATGCCTTACATTTTAAATGCAGTAATATTGTAATGTAACGAATTACTTTGAAATGACAGTAATAAGTAATAAATAACGCATTACAGTTTTAAAGTAACTTGCCCAACAGTGTCTGTCACCATGGTAATACAGCTGCTTTGTTTGGAATGTTCCACAGTATGGCATTAAACATACTGTATCTGTCTTGCATTTATTCAATTAAAAGCCTGATCTCACCAAGAAATATTTGAGATGTATTTTTGTGTTACCATGGTTAACCTGTTACCATCCACCTAATTTTGGCGTGTGCACAATAGCACTACATACCCAAATGCCATTGCTTATTAAAAGAAAACCTTAGAATCCACATGCTTGTGTGAGGCACCATTTTAAAGCTTAGGCCTTCTAGTTTCTGTAGATATGTATATGAAGACTGTGAGTGCTGCCTAACCTACAGTACAGTCAATTAAAAATTTTATTTTTTTTATTTTTTTTGCTTCGAAAAAAAAAAAAAGAAAAAAAATAAAGGCCTTAGCTTGGGCATACTTCATGCTAGGCATTTGTGACTCGCTACACTCATTGTTCAAGTTGTTGGCAACAACTGTGTAGAATTTCAGATCTCTAGGACAAAGGGTTTTGATGCTGTGAGCCTTTGTGTATACAAAATGACAATTCGGCACAAGATTGCCAAATTTGTGCCAAAATAATAATAATATAATAATAATAATAATAATAGTTATTATTATAATACAAATTTTTCTGATCTTTAGGCATGTTTTCTCAAGAAAAAAACCTAAAAGTAGCCAAAATTGTCTTCCAAGTGGCAGATCTGCCCACTATGGCCCCTCCCGCACTGCTTCTCTGTGTCTCTCTTGTTGCGCTTGTAAACACAGCGCCCGTTTCAAAGACTATCTGCATGTCACACCCACCGTTTGAAAGCTCTGGTGATAGGCTAAAACAATATGTCAATCACTTTCTGGAAGATCCAATGACTGAAGAGATTTCCCGTAAACAAACTGATGATGCGTGCGTAAAGCCAAGAAGTACGTGGGTGCATTAGCTTCTTCAGCGGCTTGTCCCAGCTAAACCCCGCCACCGACAACAGCGGGGAGGGCTTCATTTTGAAGCTAAGAGTGTGAGGAAAACAAGCGTACCCAAGAGCGCCAAGAGAAACAGAACTCAGAGAGGGAGAAGGCTCGGAAAGGCAACATAATATTTTCATTCAGGCATTCATCCACTCATACGGACGAGGATTTTCTAGATTATTTACCCACATGGAATTATTTTATGGAAAAAACAACTTGATATTCTTTTTCTGTGGATTATTACGGACTTATTGAGTACAACTTTTCATGGATTGAATGCGTTTTGGACCGACAGAACCGGCTCAAAGGTAAGAAACGCGTATCTTATTCTTTGATTATGATGTGAATTTTTAAATGATAGCGTTTTGGGCTCGTTGTACGGCATAAAATGAATGATATGGTTGTTTTATTGATAAATTAAGCTTTCAAACGATGTATGGCATGCCAGTAGTGAAAACAATAATGAAGGTGAATATACAGAGTGAACATTTTTTACTGGAAAATCGCCCGCCGGCGGGTGGATGGTAAGTTAAAGGTTTGTTGGTTTGTTGGTTGTTTTGGACACTGACCTGCCGCAGGGTCGGTCCTCAGTCGTGTTGAGGTTGAAAACATTCTCAAAGTTGTACAGACTCAGCACCTCCTCGTTCAGAGTGTCCAGTTCGATACAGCCCTTGAAGTTGGGCAGAGCCAGTTCTGGAGGAGGCTAGAGAAGATATAAAACACACAATCAGTATAATGTCTACAGAATATTTAATAAAGAATGATTTTTTCAGCACAAGGTAAGCATTACATTTTGTTAAAATATGTCAAATTAAAAGGCCCATGTTATGCTATTTACTGATCTATGTTATAATGTTGTTTCCTCATCACAAACAGACCTGGAGTTGTGGAGTTTTGTTTCATTCACACACACATGTTTAACATACAAACCCTACATATTCTGGTTCTTCTCTCACCACAAAAACGCTCTGTTACACCTTGTGATCTCATGTGGTGAAATAGGAAGTGTTCCATTGTGTTTTTAAACCACATACATCTTCCCTGGAATAATTTGGATAATTTCAGCACTGGGCACAACAGATCATTTTGAGCTTTGGAAATGTAGATAGACTAATGATAAAGGATGCGTGAATGAAACAAAACACAACTCCAGGTTTGTTTTTAAGGATGTAACAGCATTATAACATGAATTAACTGAGCATAATTCAGGACCTTTAATTACCAGAGTGCAATGAGATCAGGTCAGAGAGGAGTAAACCAGGACTAGAGCAGAAACTCACCGTAAAGGAGCTGGGGTACCCTCCCACGTAGAACACAGTGTCATCTGTTAACAGGCTGAGCAGGCCCTGATCTCCTCCGGCCTCCACATTGCCTTTGGTCACTCTCTGCTCTCTGTCTTCGGCCTCAGAAGACATGGACATCTGACCGTACTGCAGGATCCTACAGACACACACAAGAGACCGATCAGACGGTCACTAGAGCTGCCAGATTAACTGCTATCGAATCAAAATTGCGACTTCAATGGACTCAGTTAGCAAATCTAGACAATCTAGACAAATTAAACAAAAAACCTAAATATCCTTTTGTGTTATTCTGCTTAAAAACAGTAAGTCCTGTAGATCTGCACAAGCATGTTCTGAAATGTGATTCGTGTATTAGTCCAGTCAGTTTGTATTTCCGTATTTGTCAATTCTTCTGGACATGTTTAAAATGTGAACAGAACCCTTTTGTTAATTAAAAGATTAAAATCGCCTGTTGTTGTGATTGTGTTGTCCGTACCTCTCCAGCACCACTCTGTTGAAGTTGCCATCGGCCTTGACGTCTTCGGTCATCAGAACCTGTGCAGTGTCTCCTCCGATGTTGAAGTACCAGCGCAGCCTCCTCCCCTCCAGAGTCATGCCCAGGAACTCCTTAGAGGACTGACAAAGAAATACATTTTTGTAAGAAACTGTAAGAATGATAAATTAAATCTACTTTTCTATCTACTTTTGTTGAATAACTTGAATTTCACATATTCATATTCATTTAGATAGTTCAGACCGGAGTTCTGCACCGGGTCGAGTACTCGCAAATAGTTGCTGAAACGGGAGGGTATCCGGGTGGGTAGTGATTACACATGGGCGGGTCAAGTGAATCAAATGAATAACGGACGAGAGAAAAACACTTGATGTGCATCCACGGTGTCCGTTGCCCTGGAATCAAGTGCCATTTTCCCAGAACGATGGACCAGGCTGAGAGAGACTTTAGTGTATTTATTACATAAAACCATCTGAGATGAACCTGGTTCAGTCCTGGTTCAGACCTGGTTTAGATCTGGCGATCAGCTCTGAGGTTTGCGGAGTGTATACATTTATAATTCCCTAATGACAAGTTATAGGATCAGTCCTGGTTCAGTCCTGGTTCAGACCTCGTTTAGTCCTGGTTAAGTCCTGGTGTTGTCCTGGTCCAGTCCTGGTGTAGTCCTGATTTAGTCCTAGACTATTGGGCTGTCGTATTGATCCCGATTTATCACAGGCACGGGTGAGTAACGGGTGGAATGTTAACGGGTCTGGACAGGTGCGGATTTAACTTTGGTATAATCACAGGCGGTTCTGTACTGCGCAGGTGCGGTCAGGTGTGGGTCTCCAAACAGGGACCCGTGCAGGATTTTGGTTCAGACTACCTAGAAGTTAATCCAATAGTCCAAATGTTAATCCTCACTTTCCTTATACAATCTGAGCTCACCATGATGAGTTTATAAGTGCTTTTCACAACTCTCAGAGACCAATGTAAAGTTAACAATACTTTTTAACGTGCATTGTCTAATTATCAGACCATAAAACACTTTATAATTAGACACAGCCTGCACACAGTGGACTTATTTTGACCTGAAGAGCTGCTTATGCACAATATCTGTACTGGAGCAAGGCATATTTTACTGTGATACATGTGAAAAAATCTAATACAAGGCCTTTAAAGGTGCATTTCTGGTGGAAGGTCCATCAACTGCTTGAATAACATTGCTTTGCTTGAATGTTCCACCGTCTGGCATTTAACTTTTCTATCTCCATGGAGACAAATGAGACAAGCCCAATCTAGTCTCGCTAGTCTCTTGTTATTTTTGCTACACATTTTTTAGACTTCATTATTAACATTTATAGTTTTACTTTTTGTTATTATAATATGTTGTCCATTATCCTGTGTCCAAATAACTTCCTTTGTGGACCAATAAAGTTTGTCTAAATCTAAGTCAAAGTCTAATGCCGTACTGTGGAACATTCCTGGCAACCCTAACCTCGGCAAAGAGGTAACATGCAGTAGTGTAACCTCAACCCTTTAATAAACATCTTTAGATACTACAGTATTTTTTCTGTGTATAATTTGCTACACATTTCAAAACATCTCCAGTACTCACATCTTTGTTGCCGAGGTAGAAGACAAACTGCTTGGTGGCCTCGTCCTGGCGTCTCTTGCGGACTGTGGTCTCGGGGAGGGTGATGTAGAACTTGAGGTTGTTGTAGGCTGCCAGGTCTGCCAGGTTCGACGGGTTTCGGACTTGGACTCCCGAGGTGCCATTGAACTTCATCGGGACGCCCACCTGTAAGCATAAACAAGCAACGTGACCTCCTGTATCCCTGCATATTTAGGTGTGTTTTTAAACTCCACACACCTTCACTAGAATCAGTTGGATAATTTTATCACCTCTGTAAATCTCAAAATGTGCATTAATTAAAGCATTTTTGTGTATGGGCCATGGACATATTTGTACAGACACAGTATAATGGGACACTAGTAGTTTGAATCCGTGTACCTTGCTGGCGGCGTTGCGGGCCTGCTGGATCAGCTCTCTGATGCGGGTGATGCTCTCAGAGATGTTTGGCATTTGGGCCGTGTGGTTCTGGAGTTTGTCGAGTTTCTTCAGGAGCAGAGGAACTGTGTCTCCCAACATCTTCACTACAGACAAAAGGAACAAAAACATTCAGTACAATATGACTTTACATTTCTGTTCTGTCAGCTCATTTAGTTTCGTGTATTAGACTTTGAAATATTCTAAGTTAAGTTTGTTTGTTTTTTTCTAGTTTCAAGTACAATTTTCTTACCACTTAATTTAGCTTGATTTTAAGTCACAGTATATAACTTTTCAGCCTAAAAAATAGGCTAAAATAAAACATGTTTTTGCATTTTGGTTGTGTTTTTTACACTGAAAAACTGATTAACAAGTCGAATACTCTAAGCCAGGGGTGTCAAACTCAAATTCACAGAGGGCCAAAATTAAAAACTGGGACTAAGTCATGGGCCAAACTAAATATTTATTGAAAAATTTAACCAACATCTTAATTTTTTCTCTTCTTTCGAGATATATAATGTAAAACCTTTTCTTATTAAAATAAATGTTTAATAATAGTTTTGCTTAAACATTGAATCCAGAACAAATATAATATAAAATAGTAACACATTTTTAAATAAATAATGTCTGTATAGTCTATCTGTAGCCGGCGGGCCAGCTCTAATACATATGTGATATGACCTCGCAGGCCAAATATAATTATATCTCGGGCCAAATTTGGTCCCCGGTCCTGAGTTTGACATGTCTGTTCTAAGCCTAATATGTGAACACACTAAGTAATTTGAGATAATCCTTTCAGATAATTATAAAAATACAAAAAAGTCTTGTGTTACCTGTCATGTTGGCGTCTGCCAGGGCATTGTTGATATCCGTGTTGGTGGCGTTGGCGTCTCCGTACGTGTCCTGCCATTTGTCCAGCTGTTCTTTGATTGGTTGAAGAGCGTTGTTCACATTTGTTGCCGTGGTGTTTGCCTTTTCAGCCAAGTCTTTAGCCTCTTGGATCTCCTTAGTCACATCTGTTCAGCACAATAATAAAATGTACAGTTTAAATAAGACCTGTCATGTAAAACAGACTTGAGATATTAGTGATGTGACAACAATATTCAATCATCTTTACTTTACAGAGAGTTACTATTTCAATTGATTCATGCACATTTAAATAATCCTGTGTTGTCCTGCACTGGTTTGAGAAAATTTCTGTTTCCCCCTACACCCTAGAGTTTTTAGAGAGTTTTTAGAGAGTTTTAGAGTGGTAGTTTTATATCCAGAAGATTTTCAGTTCTGTCTACAAAACAAAACAAACACTAAAATGATATATGCATTTCGTACTTGTGGTGAAGTTCAGGTTATTTAAAATCTTCTCCAGCTCCACGGTCACATTTTTCTGTTTGTCTTTGACGTCGTCCAGTCTCTGCTTCGTTTCCTCCAACTTTGGGTTCAACTCTGACAAAACACAACAAAAACAGACAATAAACATAAGAAACATGCAGCTTTAATTGTGATATGGTCAAATTGTGATATAAATCAAAGTGTATTTTACCATTGTTGAGTTCATCTCTCAGTTTCTCCACCTCGTCCTTGAGCTCCAGGCTGTGGTTCTTCAGTGAGTCTGCGACCTGACCCAAGTCCTGATTCTTCACGTGCTGACAAAACAAAAAGATAAATGGGTGAACACTGAAGTATAGTATATACAGTATAGTTGGGGAGAGTCCTAAAAATGTTCTCAAGGACAGTACAGTTATATTGCTTGCAAATCATGCTCAGGTAAAAGTACACATTTTTATTAATAATTACAGTGATCAGAGGGCAGTGGCATTAGGCATTCTTGTTTAAATATAGAAATGGGCGATAATACTGGATGATAACGATTTTAATGGATTTGAATCTAAGTCAGAGGAGGGACTGCGTGTCTCTCAAACAGGGGAAGCTCTTTACATTTTCAATTTTATCATATACTATAATTTAAGAAATTCAGTTACATTTGTATAAATATCTAAATGTAACTACACAATAACCCTGCTCGGCAATTAAGAAAGTTAGGAGTAAACTTGTTTCATAATAATTAGTTAGAGTAAGGGTTAATTAGGGTTAGGGTTAATTCAATTAATTGACAAGCACCATTGTAATATAATAACGGAAGTACACTTACAATGCTAGAATTATACTCTTTACAAAGACAAGTTTGAAATATCTAAAAAAACAATCAACTAAAACATTTTCAGAAAAATGTATTCAATAACAGTAACTAACAATTTAAAATGGTCACCCTGAAGTAATTCTTAAAATGTAAACATTGTCAAGGACTGCTTTAGGCCTAAAATAGAAATATATAATAAAATTGTACCTCCAGTGCTTTGGTGGCAGCCTTGTCGGCCACGTTGGCTGCCTCCTCCGCCTCTTTGACACTGTTGATGATTTTATTATAGGCCTGAGTCACATCCACAAAACCATCCTTCTTCGTGTCTTCAACCAAACTGTACAACCAAATCACAAAACAGCATTTTAGAAAAAAAAAATGCACAAAATACAAACAGTGAAAGAGTATTTTGTATCACCTGGAGATATTCATGGCGAGTTCGTTGAGCATCTCGGCGTGTTTCTCAGCCTGTTCCACCAGGGGAATTTTGGATTCAGTCCAGGCAAAACTGTCCACTTTTTTAGCCAAAGGTGTCCTGGCTCCATCCAACTGGGCGGCCAGACGCTCATACTCCTGGAAAATATGATTGGTCACAATATTTAAATCTCCTATATTATGGTATTTTACGGGCTATTAGGCGCTCTGGATTATAAGACGCACTGTCATTAAATGGTCTATTTTCAAACTTTTTTCACAAATAAACACCACCGGACTTTAATCAAAACACAACAGTTGGATGGGTCAGTGGTTTTGTTTGTTTGTCACGTTCACGGTGACTCTGGGCTTTGTTCAGCTGTGGTGTGTAGGGAGGGTGCTGTCTGGGACCGCTGGATAGTTTGGCGTGTTCGCAGTGACTCAGTTGTTCAGTTGTGACTCAGAAAGGTACATTGGACTCGCTTTTTCGTTAATTCATTCCATTCCTCGTCCACGTGGAGTGATGAGTGTGGCTGCGGGTGTTTTTCGCTACCCGGTTGCTGTCTGCTCCGTGTGTGTTTGCGTGCTCTGCGGGTGGTGCGGCTTTATAGTTTACTGAAGTCACGATGGGACACCCGAGTGGATTCGTGTATGGGGTGCGCTGGATTGCGGGGCGTGCGGTCGTTTTTTGATGCGGTTAGAGGCTTAAGAGCGCGTCTAATAACCCGGAAAATACAGTACACAAAATTTACTCTTTTGAGCTTTAAGTCATGTTAGAATGTAGTTACTTCATCACAAACATAGTTGGGAGTTGTTTGGTCTGTTTGTGATGATGTAATATGGACCTTGTAAACATGTACAAACACTTCTGTTAGAGCCATAATTTAATTTATTAAATAGTTATTTTATATTTTACCATAAATTCATATTTTATTATACCTTAAAAACAATTATTAAAATATTATTCTTAAAATTATAGAAATGTTAAAATGATTTATTTTCAGTCCCAATTTAAGTTACTTCAGTCAATCTGTCTTTTGGTTTATAGCGTAAGAGGGTGGGTCCACGTAAGAGGGTGTGTCCTAGGTAGGTAAATTAGGTCAAATAATCAGGTCAAATAGGGAGACAGGTGTGTGGGGAGAATGGCATTGTGGAGGGCGACCGACACGGTCTTTGACCGCACCACACCGCACCGCACTGAACTGCATACGCTGAAAATCTGCAAATAAAAGAAATCAAACGAACCACAGACTACGTGAGTTTTTTGTACATTTTGTGTGAGTCAAGAAGCGGACGCCCTAAGGATGGCTATTTACATGTGTTACAGCTCATGTTAAACTAGAAGCCATAACAACTTCTATATGATATAATATAAAGTAAACAGGGTCCAGACCTCTTTGGAGTCCTGGAGCATGGACAGCAGATCGTTGACTGCAGCGATGTCGTCTTCAGCCATCTGCAGCTGCTCGTTCACCTCCTTCTCTTGGGACACCAGCTCGTCTACTCTCCTCTGAGGAAAGAAGTTACATAATTATAATTTTTATGATTTATGATGATTTATGACTATTCTTATTATGAACTAAGGTATCAGCTGCTTGTCCCAGTGAAATCTATTAATAATGTAAACTGCTAAACTAATACAAGAAGCATAATACAATTCTGAACATTTTGTAGAGATCTAAATAGTGTTTAGAGTGATTTTATAGGAGTTGTGATGTGGTGACAGTGTCAGTAGCTGCAGAGTGGTTGCCTTGTATCCAGAGGATTGTCAGTTCTATCTATCCCTGCCCAACTTGTCCAATGGTTCTTTTTTTATTATGTTATTTTTTATTTTTATTTTTGCAATTTTAAAATTATACATAAGAAAAACATAATGTATGGAGTAAGAAAGCTTTCAGAAATATTGGTGTGCATAGGATAGAAATTCCTGCATACTTGGCTGTAGTTGAGCATAAAATAAATATTTGTAAACTATCAAATGAGTCCAGTCGTACATAAAATGTATTGTGTGTATTTCATCCATCAGAATACGAATTGAAAAGTTACGACATCAAGAATTACAATTACAAAATGAAAATTTACGATTACACTTTCTTCAGTACAAATACGAATTCACAGATGCGACTCTACTGTCAGTTATGGTTTAGTCGTGGTTTAGACCTGGTTTAGTCCTCTTGGTTCAGTCCTGGGATCAGTCCTGGTTTAGTCCTGGTTTAATCCTGGTTTATCTACAGAATAAAATCCACACTCTTACCTGCTGGTCTTCAATGGCCTTCTCGTTGTTAGTGTTGATCTCTTCTGCTCGGGCCGTGTTGTTCACTGCTTCGTTCAGAGCGTCTCTCAGGTCCATCATCTGTGACCTGAACTTGTTCAGATGGTCTTTGATCCAGTGTGTGGTGTTCTCATTGCCCAGCTGTCTGTCTGCCAGCTCATCATACACACGGTCCAGCACTGAGGAGAGGAGGAACAACTTTAGTTCTAGTTTAGATCTAGTTTTGGATCAGTTCTGCTATAGTCCTGGTTTAGTCCTCATTTAGATCTGCTTAAGTCTTGCTATAGTCTTGGTTTAGGTCTGGTTTAGTCGTGCTTTAGTCCTGGTTTATATCTGGTTTAATCCTGCTTTAATCTTGGTTTAGATCTGGTTTAGTCGTGCTTTGGTCTTGGTTTAGATCTGGTATAGTCCTGCTATAATCCTGATTTAGATCTGGTTTAATTCTTCGTTAGTCCTGGTTTAGATCTGGTTAGGTCCTGTTATAGTCCTAGTTTAGATCTGGTTATGTACTGCTTTAGTCTTGGTTTAAATATGGTTTAGTTGCGCCTTAGTCCTGGCTTAGATATGGTTTAATTCTGCTCTAGTCCTGGTTTAGATCTGGTTAGGTCCTGTTATAGTCCTAGTTTAGATCTGGTTAAGTCCTGCTTTAGTCCTGGTTTAGTTGTGCTTTAGTCCTGGTTTAGATTTGGTTTAGTCCTGCTTTGGTCCAAGTATTCTTCCAGCTCTTTGTAAAATCCATTGAACTTACACTTCTGTGCCTCGGTCTTCTCGCGGTCGGCGATCTTCTTCTGTCCACTGCAGCTCCTGAACCTCATCTCTCTGAGCATGGCCTGGACCTCGTTCATCATCTTCTCCCTGTCCCCTTCATCCTGGTCCTCGTCTGTGGAGTTCAGCGAGCGGTTTGCCATCAAGAGAAGGTCTGTGCAACAAAGGGAAAATACAACAGTTAGAAGATGTTTGTAACAGCGACACAGTAATGGTTGGGATGAAGCATTTGACATGGAAATATATTAAACGAATGAGAAGTTTTGAAAGGAGTCATTCCCAAGAACAAAGTTTGAACCTCAAGCCTTAAATTTGGTGGACATGTTCAACCACTGAGTCTTTTTTTTTTTTTCAAATAATTCTTTATTTAAAGGAGTACTGTGTAACTTTTCAGGTCAGAGGTCAGCTACCATGGAGATGCTATTGCTTTGTCTGTAGTGTTTCACAATATGGTATTAAACATTCATGAGATGCATTTCGATTATGGGTGCTTTAATTTTTCAGAAATAACTGTGAGTGGGGTCATCTTTTATTCCTTCTGCCATAAACCTTTTAAATGGAAAGTAAATTTACTATTGTGTCCCCTGATGCACTGAGGTTTGAATGTATGGCGTGTGTTGTATGTATTTGTTTTTCTTTTTATTTTATTATTTATGGAATGTGCATGACCAGAGATGTGCGAACTGAATTACTCTTTGGGATCAATAAAGTTGTTGATTGATTCTATAAATTGCCCTGGTGGCGCCTCCTGCTTATCTCTGGAGAGTGAAAAGTTTAATCCCATACTTTGGAATATTGGAGGTAAAGCAATAACATCTCCATTGAGACAAAGTTAAACAGTTCACCTTTAACCAGAAACGTCCCACTGAGATTTGGACGCTCTTTCAGGGGAGTGCGGTGTCCAAAATGTGGCCTATATTGTGTATTATTTATGGTTAGGGATGTAACAAAAACTGAAATATCGTGATATCGTATCGTCAAAAGTCTCACAATAATATCGTGAGCTGTCACAATATATCGAATTACAAGTTCCTTTGCTTAAATGCAAATGTTTTATAGTAGCAACAGTTTATAAACATCAGAAACTACATCCCATGATTCATTTCAGTGCAGACAACATGAATAAATATGTTTTTTACTTGAATTCTTGGGATTATGATGGAAATAATTCTCATTACATCCCTTTTTATTGTGTGTTATATATAGTGAAAGGGGAGACCTGACAAGTTAAATTACCATTAATGTCCATGGTCATGTTGTTGATAAAAGACAGTAAGTCCTCTGCTCTCTGGTGAGTGGAGTTTGAACTGTCCCCAAGGTTTCCAGCGCGCTGACTCAGCGCTGATGCCTGCAACACATTTTAAACAAGAATTCATCATTAAAGGTGCATTGTGTAATTTGTCTGGTGGAGGATCCATCAAATGCTGTCAGAATGCAATTTTTTCTAGGTATTTTTGAGCAGTAAAACCACCCGTAATAAAAAAAAAGTAAAGTAGAGCTGTTTAATGTCACACTGTGGAACATTCGACCTTAGAATCAAACAGGTCCCGAAACCAAACAGCTACACAGTGCACTTTTAAATGTTTTAAATATTTTCAGATATTATGAATTTTCACATGTACTGAGTAAAGACCGTACCTTGTTCTGTAGTTCATCAATGTCAGAGTTTACATTGTCCACTTCAGCCTCCAACATTTCAGCTTTGTCTCTACTGCTGTCCAGAGTGCTGTTGTAGTTTTCAATGGAGTGCTGGAAAGAAAAGAGAAAAAAATAAGAAATAAGAAAACATGGAGACAAAGTTTTGCCCATAGCCAATATTAGCTACAGTAATAATATGTCCTATATCTTTACAACAATATAGCAGTGTTTATTCTAGCTCATATTGGTACTTTGCATTTATATCATGCTGGGGGTGTATTTCTATATATTTCTGTGGTGAAATGTTCATCAGTTACCATGGTGACACAATACACAAATTAGCAGTGACTACCAAAATAGTTTTTAGACTGCCTGAAAACTAGGACTGGGTATCATTAAGAAGTTGCCGATATGATACAAACCTCAATACAGTGAGCTTTCAATTTGATACTATTTTATATAATATATTTCAAATCGATTCGATACGGTTCAATAAATAATAAAGGCTGTGATACTAAAAGTCTTTGTTAAACCACTTCTTGTGCAAAGTGAATATGAAACACAAACAAAACAGTAAAAATGTCAAATGTGTTGCATAAACTAGTTTCCTTTCTCTGAACAAGCAACAACTGTAGCGCTGTAACAAAATTATTTTGTAAAATATGCTAAAAAATATAATATATCGATACAGCAGCCCACGATATCGATACTGTATCATCACATTAAACAATATAATATATCGATATTTCAATATTTTTGCACACCTGTACTGAAAACTCAAAAAAAAAAAAAACAAAAAAAAAACAAAACAACAAAAACAAAAAATTGATTTAAACAACACACCTTCAAGAGCCTGTAAAAAATAAGAGCATTCATGGTCCTGTTTAAGTGTTAGATTTTTTGATTTTCAGCAAAAAGGTGAAAGTGACAGACTAATTCTAGCGAGGTTGTGATTAGAATTTTATGTGTGTGAGACTTTTTCAAACACCCAAATCTGTTCAATTGTTGTAGTTCCAATTAAATCAGCTCTTTATGGTCAGATTGTGTTAAAATAAAGCTCAGATTTAACTCGAGTGACAGAGCGTCAGACAGAGCAGTTGATACTCACAGCGATGTCGTCCATGGTCTTGTTGAGGTTGTCCAGTTGGGCCCACGCGATGGAGCTGGCGTTCAGGTTCCTGAGCTGACCGGCCACAGACGTGAAGTTCTCGTTCATTTTGTCCAAATCCTCCAATAACACGATCACACAGCTGTCACAGGCTGGGGACAAAGAACAGCTCTGTTAAAAGGACTGGTGTTTTACTGGCTGTGTTTCTGTTTTTGATTTTAATAGTGATTATTAATAGTGATGAAAAAGGGATGAAAATAGCTTTAAAGGTACCATCAAAGTTACACAATGCAGCTTTAATGAATATGAGACGTCATTTTCTGATAGTGTTTTTATGTACACTATTACACACATAAACACAAAAAACAAGTGCATTTCTGTCAAATCAGGTGAGTTTTATAATTTATGCTTTTCATGTTTTCAAAAGTTACGTCTATATTAGTGCTGTGCAAATACTCTACTTTAAATACCTGTAAACCATTTTTGTAGTCTCAAATGAACTCCAAATATTACCAAATTTTGATTTAGTGAAAAACCCACTTTAGTTAAAATTAGGGCTATGATAAAAATTATGAAGCTACTTTTGTTTAATTTAAATAAACCCAATAATAAATGAGTTCATATTAACCATAAACCAAAACAGATGCTTTTGGATTTTTCCACCGATTCTGTCATAGAACTGTTCTCAATTGAAAATACAGTCTCTTTACAATGTTTTAATATGGCACAAATGTATATATCTATGTATGTATGAAATATTATTATGATTTAGATATTAGTTTTCTTTGCAGACAAGAGACAAAACCAAAAATACCATATAAAATGAGTTCATAAACAGTGAGTCTTACTTTCACAGTGCATGGAGTGCTGGTGCTCCACTGGGACACTGTACTGGTTCGTGCAGGTGTCACACTGTTTCCCCGTCATCCCGTCCGGACAGCGACACTCTCCGGTCCTGGGGTCACAGCGCCCCCCTCTGCAGTTACACTCTGCACAGGGACAAAGCACGGGTCAGGGAGGGTCAGCTGGGGGTTTGTCTCCATAGAGTTGCTGTATATTCTTTCTCTAAGCTCCCCTGTTCTTGTAAATTGTTTAGTTTATCTTTTCGATTTCCTTTATTTTTTTGTTATATACCAAATTTGGAGAGATCACATCTGAACTGGAAATCTGTAATAGGTAAATATTTTCTCTTCCCAAAAAACTAACAAACAAACAAAAAAAAAACCCTAAACAATCAAACAAACAAACAAAAATTATGGTTTAATCTGAATGGTTTTGTTTCATTTAACTGTGTTATATACTGGTAGGTGTATATTGTGATCCCAACATAAGATTAATGACTAAATAAGTAAGAAATGTCTTGTCTTTGCCTTTGCGCTAATATTAAATTTAATTAAACATAATATTCTACTTATAATAATAACATAATATATCTACATAATATTCTACTATTTGTAAAGGCTCTCTTAGTAACATGTTTAATGTACGCTAATGTAACCTTATTAAATACATGAATAAAACAAGTAAACATCAAGACTAAAGCTGAGAATTATTTATTTTAAGGTGCACTATGTAATGTCTTTGGACCCCCAAATCTGCCATCTGCTTTTTCCCATGGTAATGTTTTCACTTTTGCTGGAATGTTTCACAGTATGGCATTAAACTATGTTGCATTTTTTCAATAACAAAATTTATTTTTAATGCTATGTTTACTGACATATTGTAGAAAATTCCAGATCTCCATACTGCACTGCACTGTTGCACTGTATCAAGGGCAGTCACTGCCAGCTCAATCCTTGCCTTCTTGGCCTACATTACCAGAGGTATAATACTCCCTACAATGGAAGGATAGAAACACTAGACAGGATTAATATAAATAATTTCAGCTGTGGGCCACAACCTCCCTCCTCTTCTTAATCTACAATGCAACAGCAAAACCATCAGCCTCCTCAGCCATCACATGACAGTAACAATCTGCCAGACAATATGGAGACTCACTCTTGCATCCGTCAGGTCCGTAGTCCCAGAATCCAGGGGCGCACTGTTTGCAGTTGGGTCCGTTGACTCCGGGCTGACAGGAGCAGGCACCTGTCAGAGGGTCGCAGGGCTGGAGCAGAGCAGCAGACGCCTCGCAGTCACAGGCACGGCAGCCCAAGCACGAGTCAAACCCAAACATACCATCCTGAAAGAGAAGGACAAAAGAGGAGAATATAAACAGTGTGTTTTGAGAGAAGAATTCAGCCAAAATACGCTAGGTATTTGTGTTAAACATATCTAAATGAAACAAAACAAAACTCCAGGTATGTTTTTGATGAGGAAACAATATTATAACATAGATCAGAAAATAATGCAAGATTTTGTTCAGCATAGTAGAATAATATCTAAACATCTCTAGTAAATATAAGACCGCTGTGTGCTGTCTGTTTCTGTGAGATGACCCTCAAAATTTCTCTTACCTCACAACGGTCACAGAGAGGACCTGTGACTCCTGGTTTGCAGCGACACTGTCCGGTGTGGGGGTCACATGACTCAGTGCCACAAGGAGAACAGCTGCATTCTGGGAAAATAAAATACATTTACCTAGTCATGAAATGGATTTAATCAAGTGGGAATGAAACAAAACTACAGCACAAGGTAAGTTTTTGAGGTTGATATGCTGTTATTGTATCTATTCAATTCAGTGCAATATGGGAATAATTTTGAAAATTTGTAATGTAGATTTTGTTTTTTCAGGGCTTAACCCTTGCTTACTAGCAAAGGAGAAATTCAATTTGTCAACTGCATAATCATTCAGGTCCATAATGGGTGCTTTCACTAGTCAGGCTGGTGCCACCTAGTGCTTCTGCTCAATTTTGTTTCTCTCTTCCTTCACACCTCTGGAACTGAAAGCACCTAATATAGGCCTGAATGATTCTGCTAATATGGCCCCATACTCAGTGCAGTTCAACAGGCCTAGCTAACAAACAGAAACTATAAACAAGTAGATGTGTTAGTTTCAGAGTAGTTTCAGTGTATTTAGCTCCTCCCTTCAGACAGATATAAGGCAGTGTCCACCAGTGATTGACCAGAAGCTGATGAAGCAGCTTGGATGAGATGCAAAATGAATTTGACCAAAATGAACTTTTGTCCAGCTGACAAATTGGGGGTTTTACACACCTTTGCTTACTGGCCACTGTGGCTAGTCCCCATTTAGTTCAATCATTCACTGTTAGCCAGATTTCAATTGTAACATAGCTTATGTCCTCATCTCAATCCACATTTAATTGTATTTATTTATTTGTTTTATTACATTTCACATTTCTTTTAATGTTCTATATGTAAAGACCAATTGACCAGTGGCTATTAAGGCTAAATAAGTCACCTAACCACATTTGGCTAGTTGGCTGATATTTACAACCAACCTCTGGTACCTGGCCACATAAAATAATCCACATTGGCCATAGTTTTATCTGTGGACTCACTGGTGCAGTTCTGTGCGTGAATGGCATCTCCATAGTAACCCTGGGCACACAGTTCACAGTGGGGGCCTGCGGTGTTGTGCATGCAGCCCAGACACTCTCCGGTCAGAGGGTGGCAGTCTGTGAACAACATGTTACTGTCTGTGTTCCCGTTACATTGGCACGGCTCGCACCTGCTGCCAATCACCATGGGGTTTCCGTAGTAACCGGGGGCACACCTGCCAACACAGAGGAGACAGGAGTAAAAGGGTTAAAGCTTTCTCACTATTAGGGTGGGCACTGCAGAAGTAATAGTAGTAATAGTTGGTAATAGAATAAAGTAGCAGTAGTAGCAGTAGTTATTTAGTTACGACTTCCTAAACCTTTTAACTCGGGCTACACTTTTGGAAAAATAATCAAAAGTTATTATTAATAGCATTATTAATAAATAAAATATAGAAGAGAATATCAACACCTCAAACAACAACAAGGCCTAATGTACTGGTCTAAACTGCCTTGGAAGTATTATCAGAACAATTTGATTCTGGTAAAAATTACATAAAAGTACATTTTAGTGTTATATAAATGAAAGTAATGTTTGACGTGAAATACATGTGACCAACAATTTAAAATATACTATAATAAAGTCATAATGTGGAGCTTTACCGTTCACAGTGGGGTCCTGCGTATCCGGGCATACACAGACACTGCATCCTGTCAGTCTTCTGCACACAGCCCTCTGCAAAGCTGCAAACACAGGAGGTCATTCAGATGAGCTCTGAGGTTAAATGTCTATAACACAGACACAGGGACATGTACTGACTTATTAGAGGACACGCTGAGCGGGCACGGGCAGCTAGGAGCAGGACACAGCCTGACCGTCCAGAGTGTTGTTGCCCATGAAGCCACCCTGGCACTTCTCACAGTGATCGCCTGCTGTATTGTGACGACAGTTCTGAGGAAAACACGTGATATGTATTATTAATCTCTGATCTTTCTTATCTTACTTATGATAAGTAATTTTTTTTTTGGACTATAAGTCACAAATTTTTTCATGGTTTGGGTGGTCCTGTGACTTATACTTTGGTGCGATTTATATATATTAAAATTTTCACACTGACAGTCGCGAGAGGGCGCTCTAGGCTTGTGTGTCAGTATTTGCTGCTCCTGTCACACCTGTACCACTGTGACTTCACTCTACTGCACATGTCTCCTGCAGAAAGACTCGCTGTCCTGTCTGGGATCATGTCAGTCGATCACACCATTACTTCTATACCACTGAAAATTTGAAAATGAAAGTGACATGGAATAATTCTAACTGGAACTGATACTGAGTCTGACGACAGCTACGCAGAAGAGGGAGCGGCACTCCATTTACCTCAGGAGGTCGTGAAGTTGCTCAGAAGTGATACCGAGGATGAAGAATTCAATGGATTTAGTGACTTGGAGCGAAATCGAGAGTTTTATGTTCTGTTGTTTATGGTTTAATTATCAGAATAACTGTTAATATGTTACATTAACAGCCTGTTGTTCTCTGTTCTATTGTTATTGCTATAAGTTGGTCCTGTCTCCCCCAAAAAAGTGCAACATATAGTCCAGTGCAATTTATATATGTTTTTTTCCTCTTCATTACTCTACATTTTGGCAGGTGCGACTTATACTCCGGAGCAACTTATAGTCCGAAAAATATGGAAATATGAGAGAACAGAACTATAATGACCCCAGTATGAATAAAACAGGAGTATATCTCACCATGCAGATGCCAGACCCGTCCAGACACTGATCTGAGTGTCCGTTACAGTTACAGGGGACACATTTACCCAGGAACAGACCAATGGTGACTCTGTAGTACCCAGGAGCACATTTCTGTGGAATGTAAAGAAAGTTCTTAAATTACAGATCCAAGGGAGGAGAGATTAAGTAAGATTACATGACTGAATACATGAAAAAGGGTGTCGAGTGATTTTGGGCAGTGCTGCTGCTTAGATATGAGTCAATGTGCTGACTCAAGCAAACCTGCACATTGTAAATTATAATTCTATTTACTCACGTTGGCCCAACACTATTGAAACAGGTCTGAGTCATATGATACCCAGTCCTGTCCTCTCCCTCACCCCTCACCTGGCACGAGTCTCCCTGGTAGTTGGCGGGGCACATGCAGATCTCCACATTATTCGCATGTCGTCCAGCGGGCAGAGTCTCCGCCCCCTCCAGCACGGCCCCTCGGATGGACACAGAGTGGGCCGACTGTGAGTGAAGAGCCCTGATCTGCATAGACTCCAGAGACACCAGCACCATCATCAGCTCTTCTCGAGACACCGCGTTACCAGTCTGAGCGTGACGGAAACTGCCCTGGAACCACACACACGCAGACACATAATCAGACTTCTCCTTTCCTGCTGTACTGTTTTAAAAAGAATCAAAAAAAATAATGTAGGATATTAAGGAAGACTAAATTAACGTTCTCGATTTACAATCAGACCCACTGGAATGACACAGAGAACAACAGATAATCATTTCATTGTCACTGGGCCAGGGCATTAAACTATGGAGAATGTACTGGTGTATATGAAAACCAGTGTGACAGTTGCATAATGTTTTGATAAAATTGGGTCGGCTTAAGCATATTACACGTTTTCTAGTAATACTACAGGTATTGACTTACCTCCACAATGTGCACTATTCCACTGTGAGGGTCTTCAGCTGAGGGGTACTCTCTTTCCATGAACACAAGCGTCATTTTGTTTCCCTGTACGATGATAAAAGTACTACAGTCAGTATACTATAGTTCAAAAGTATCTGTGTACATTTAATAATAATAAAACACTTGTGTAGTGCTTTTTAAGGTACTCAAAGACGCTTTACATGAGGAGATAAACAAAGGCAAACAAGAGAAAGAGATGGGTTTTCAGGACTTTTTTTAAACATGGGGAGTGTGAGTTTTGCTTTTCTACTACCAAGTAAATTGTGAAAAGTATCATTAACGGATAATAAATAGCATTGTAGGTGGCAGTTGTCCTGTACCTTGAGGATGACATCGGGTCTGGAGGACTCGGCCGGCAGCAGAGCGTCTCCTCTCATGGTCTGAGTGTGGAGTCTGTATCTGAGGGAGCCGCCATAAGATGACACCTGTAAAAATAATAATGCATTAGTCTTATATTGCGCTTTTCCAGATGCTCAAAGCCACTTTCGCTGCAATTTGGTGCATTATTCATTCACTACACATTTAGTGGTGGAGGCTTGGGCAGTAGCATGAAATAATTATGCAAGAATAGTTTAGATCAGTGTTTCCCAAACTTTTTTTCTGGGGACCCATATTTTAAAAGTCACAAACCTTCGCGATCCAAGTCAATAGACATTATTCGTAAATCACAAAATAAAGTTGGATGTGACCATATTGAACATTAATGAGGATATTTTATTGTTGACTGACTGATCGTGTGTCTCTGAACAATTAGTATTACTCAAGTTTTAAACAATGAAAAACAGTAATTGAACCAGCAATAAAAGGATCCATGAGACACTAAATTCTTTTTCTTTTCAACATTCAACATAAATAGACTATAAAATAATTACAAAAAGATTAGAAATGATACAAAACATGTCTTAACATTTCAACATTTCTAATGAGATACGTGGGCCTGTCTGTGTTTTTGTAACGTGTTCCAGTCCGGTTTGCAGGAGGAGAGCGCAGCAGCAGATCAGGAGCAGCGTTCAGTCTGTTTCTGTGCTTTGTCTTCATTTTTGTGAGCACAGAAAATCCCAATTCAAACAAATATGTAGGAGTGAAAGGAATAAGCACAGAAACACAAATTCAGGGCAGGCAGATAGGATTCTCTGACTCACTCGCTCTCTCATGTGTCAGAACTGTATATTGCCGACCTACGTGCAGATCGTGACAAGGCGACCCAAAAAAAATCTCTTGCGACCCACCTGAGGATCTGACCCAGTTTTTGGGAAATAATGGTTTAGATCTGTGGTCAGTGTCTTGCCCAAGGATAGAGTGACAGTATGCACAGGTGAGAGCTGGGATTGCCACACTTTTTATTAATGGACAAAAGCTACTCCCACCCTTCATAAACAGTACAATTCTTCCTACACTGCCCCTTTAAACAGAAGACAGGAAAGGCAGCTTTACTGTATTAAATCCAGACAACACTGGACCAGACAAGCACAAGATTCAACACGACGATCTCCCCTTTACTGTACACACTGTCTACGTCTCCACTCAAAGATACTAGTCTAATCTGAGGGATCTGAGTGTTCTGGAGGAGAAGCAGGTTGTGAGCCACATAAAAGCTTTGTTTCAGGCCATAGACCCAACATCGATGGAGATCTGTGGACTTCAAAGGCCTTTGTATAAGCGTGTTTGGACTGGTTTCGCTCACACACGGATGAGGAGTAAACAGCTGGAGGAGTACTGAGACAGACAAGAATGGTTTCTGAAGTTAAAGGTGAAATGCACAAGTTACCATGTAGATGGTATTGCTTTGCCTGGAATAGTCCATGGAATCATATTAAACATTTCCATCTACAATTTATACATTACAGGTGTTTTTAATGCTCAAAAATACAATTTCTTCTATTTATTTATTTGTTTATTTATTTGAGACAGGGACAGAGCGCAATTTTGACATTGACCTTATCAGGAGAGATGCATTGTACCAGGTTGTAGCACCAGTGCTAATTTCTACTTGTAGTCCCTGGCAGGTTCATTGATTGATTTTATTTAACTGACCTTGGCTATCAACTGTTCTTCGTGGGGACCTATGTGCATGTTTTGGTTGAATTTCTGTGAATTAAAGTGAAAGAGCCAGCCAAGGGCGTAGGTTTGGTCTCAAGTTTGGGTCTGGGCAGGTCCAAAATAAGTGAGAAGTGGTTTAAATCTTTAGTTTGCAAAATGTACAGTTTGTGTCCATTGCCCTTCTGAGATTATTCTTTACCAGATAACAGCGATGTAGAAGTCTGTAGCAGATTTCCCTTTGCTTGTTGGTGATGAGATATTTGTGAGGTAATGTCCAGACATTTTTCCATTGAATATTGTCAGTAGAGTACGGCTGCTCACAGTGCACGAGTAGGGCTTCGTTTTGGAGGCACACTTATGGTGATAGTCGACTCATTATAAGGCAAGTTTAATTGAAGATGAAGCCAAGTAAGTTTGTTTTGAAAAGTTTTTCAAAGTTTGGTGTGCAGCGCCTTCACTCACACCTGCTCAAGTCACCATCTTTGGGTGCTGGCCCTGTCCTGCCGCTTCCCCAGTTTAGACTCCTGGCTCCACTAACGACATCACTCTGTTGCAGTCAATGAAATGGCGGCAGGAGTAACCCTGTCGACATATCACTGAATACATCTCAGAACATCTAATAAACCAAATGTAAACTAAAATGTGTTAAATTAATAATAATAATAATAATATAAATGAAAATGGCAAATACTGGTAGGGACTTGTCACCTAAATATTGATTGTGAAATGTCCCGAACGTCCCTATGCAAACCTACGTCCTTTGAGCCAGTTAAAATATTATGATGAAAATTTACAATTTGTGGTTTGGTTGTTTATTAGACCTTGCCATGATAAAGTATTATTTTTATATATTTCATTATTTCTTATAGACATATTCTTATAAATGTACCATATAAAATAAAAAGGAATAAAGGCCGGATATAAAGGAGGGACATCACTGCATGTTAGTCACAGGTATTATATTACAGAGCACAGAGCACTATCCTCTATGTTTAGTTATACAGACATAATAAACAAAATGTTGAATTCAAAATATGCAGTGGCTGAAAGAAAGACTTTACATAAATCTCTTTCATTACAAAACTTGGCCCGTAGCAACCGTCTGCCGTGGACCTTAACTGAATAAACTCAGGCTGGTGTGATTGGACAGATAAGATGAATTGCCTGTTGTTTTAAGGGCTCCTGTCTTCACACACGAGAGAGTACGATATGATAACACTGTGGAGATACCTGCACTGTACTGTAGGAGACACATACTTCTGTACAGTAGTTATGGCAGGTGTGCTTAATCTAGATAAAGTACACGACATTCTCTGGTGATTTATGCACTGTTGATCACTGCATTTCAACAGCAAGTCTAAAGTTATTCTTTACTAAAGCTATGGTATGCAACTAAAATATACTAGATTAAATGCATGTTTTTGACCTTTTAGTTGTGTTTATTGCACTGAAAAACATAGAAAAACATTTGTCCTCACTGTCATCACTTGTATCTCTACAATCCTTATTTGACTCTTATTTGCCTTGAGAAGGGCCTGGCTTTAATTTCCATTTCCACAGAATCACGCAAGTGACGTGCCACCTCCAGAAAGTTACATACCAGTTACATAAAACTTGGACTAAACTCAGATTAATTTTGAAACTAACCCAGGACTAGACTAGGACTAACCCCACACTAGACCAGGATAAATTCAGTACCATCAGTCTTTGTTTTTGCTTTATTAAGGTTACTAACTTGTTTAATTATGTGTGTTAGCATTTAGGGCTGTTGCGGTCAGGGAATTTCTCCTGCGGTGTGGTATAGCGGCTCAACAGCAAGGTATGCGGTGATATTGCACCCCCTCCTCCACCTCCCATTCCCCGGAGTTATAATATTTCCAGCGGCACAGGAAACTCTCTCCAATGATGCACTTGCTGCGCAGAAGCACATGTACCTTGGTTGTCGCGAGGATAAAGCCTGTGTAGGGTGGGAGAAGTAATATTTGGCTTTGGAACAAGTGCCGCTGCATCTCTCCAGCTCTCTTTGGCAGCTCAGCTCAGAGTCCCGCACCGGCTCGGGTACCCGCGAACTTAAGAGAGAGAGCCCCTAGCACGAGCACGCGGAGTAGGGTGTCCGCAAAGCACGATCGGGTGACGGCCGCATTTACCTCTGTGCAGCGTGGAGTTCTATGCTGGTCCTTTTGCCCTGGGTTAGTCCTGGGTTACCACGGGCACGGGTGCTAATGGGTGGAATGTTAATGGGTCTGGGGGGGGGTGCGGTTGTCTAAAAATGGACCCGTGCAGGACTCTGGGGCGGTGATGACGGTGGCCCAACACGCACCGCGGCGGGTCTCTTAGTACCACAGTGATTCATTTTTGCGGTTATTGCGACAGCCCTATTAGTTAGCATGTTGTATTGTCATAGAAAACAATGTCATGTAACAAAAATTACTATCAACTGGACTCTTTATTAAGAAGTGCAAGCTAAGATCTTAGCCTAATGTTGTGAAGCCATGTATACCACTTCAAGTATAAGTTCTTTTATGACAGTTACGGACTCACAATAAAGCCAAAGCTAGACACTGACCTTGTCTCCGAGGTAGGCTTTGGGGGCGTGCCAGTGAAGGTCCTGGTAAATATCAGGCACATCTGTGAGATCGGCCTCCACCAGGTCCTGTCCTGGGTACACGCTCACGGGCACCTCCTGTCTGTCAGCTCCTAGCAGCACCCAGCCCTCCATGTCCATGATCTGGGACCAAACAAGGGCATTATTACAAAACTAAAACTGAATTGTGCAGCCCAAGTCGAACTATAATACAAATAATAAAAGTCCCACCTCAAAGCGTCGCTTGTCTGAGCTGCGGCAGCGGTCAGTGGCTCCGAAGCAGAAGCAGCTGGTGCAGCCTTTGGGGTTGGTGGGGTCCAGGTGGAAGGTGCCCACTCTGCACTGGTCACAGCGGGGGCCCTGCACGTTCTCCTGCACACAGCAAGACCACGGGTTAGGGCAGGGGAAGGAAAGATATGCAACTTTTATTTCATCAACTTTTATGACAAAGAGTATCCCACTACTCTAGTATGAATGTTTTTCAAGGTATTTAAAACTATAAAAATAACAGCAAGTGAGATCAGCATTTCCAGAGACTAGCAGGTGGCCCTCCAACAGAAAAGTTACAAAGTGTGTAATCTTTAAATACGTGTATTGACTGATTCTTCCATTACTGCATCTGAACTGATCAAATGCGACATGCAAACTAAAAAATAATCTCAATTTCATTTTTTTCCCTTCAGTCCAGGAGTGTTGAAGCTAACCTTGCAGACACACTGTCCGGTGAAGGAGTTGCACACTTCCTCCTCTGTTCCTGCATCGTTACAGTCGCACGGTCTGCAGTTTGGGTAACCATAGAAACCAGGGGCACAGCGGTCACACTGGCGACCCACGACATTGTCCTTACACCTATAAAAGACACAACATTAGTCAGTAAAGATCCCAAAATAACCCCACCCCTGATTTATAAAACTTTTACAGCCTTTAGTTTCTACCTGCACTGCCCGCTGAGGTGGTCACAGCTGGCCTCGGGGGAGAGGATGCCCGCCCTGGAGCAGTTGCAGATCTCACAGCCGACCACCGGGTGGCAGCCAAAGGTCTGGGGCTCACACTGGGTGCACTCAGGCAGCAGGGTGCGGGGAGGGCAGATACAGTCTCCAGTCACAGGCTCACAGAGTCTGGTGCCACAGTTACAGGCTGAGGAGAGAGGGCACAGAAGGGAGGATGGGTAAGAGAAATACTGCAGGACTTTAGACTGGTGGTACCTCTTACCCTGGCTTGTACCCACTCTAAAAAGGAAGTAGATTTGTGACAGTTGCATTTAATTAAGAGTGCTTTAATTAATAGTAAAATGCACATGTTTTGTAAAAGATATTGCTATAAAAAGCTGATAAATATAAAACATAATATAATATAAAACACTGTCAGTTGAGTTAAGTCATATTTTTAAACAGTTTGGATTTCTCAAAAACTTAAATGTATTTTTTTGGAACTTCTGGGGGCCCCCATAGTACCCTTAAGGAACCTGATAGGGACCCTGGATGCCACTACAGTGATATTTGGCAGTATAGTATAAAGACTATATCAATGAAACAGGAGCTAGAATTGCTAAATCAACTATCCAAAAGCTAATTCCAGTGTAGTAGTGTAGAAATGTATTATTTACTAGCGACAAGGGCCATTATCCTGTTATGTTTATTAATTTGAAAAATCTGCATGAACAAGAGTATTTTTCTAATATACAGTCAAATGTTTGGACTCACCCTCTCATTCAATGTTTTTTTCTATATGTTTACTATTTTTAGATACATTTTTATTTAAGATACATACAGAAGACATATATCAGATATATGAAGCAAGATATATGGAATCATGTAGCAAAGAATAAAAATTAAATAACTCTCTCGGCTGGCCTGGGAATGCCTCAGGATCACCGTGGAGGAGCTGGAGGAAGTGTTTGGGGTGAGGGAAGTCTGGGAGTCTCTGCTTAGACTGCTGCCCCCGTGATCCGGTCCCAGATAAGAGGAAGAAAATGGATGGATAGAAAATTTAATATTCAAATCCTCAAATTAGCCACCCTTTGCTTCGTTCAAAAATATTTAATATAATTCCATATATCTTGCTTAATATATCTGAAGTCTTCTGTACATATAACAAATGTAGAAAGTGGTAAGAAAAAAAACAAAACTAAACATCATATCAGAGGGTAAGTCCAGACTGTCGGGTAGAGCATGTTTAAACAGCACCAGTCAAAAGTATGGACACACTATAGCACATCGTCTGAACTCAGTTGACTGCTCCTTACGTCTGCAGTTAGGGAACCCCCAGAAGCCGGTGGCGCACATGGAGCAGTCTCGCCCGATCACGTTGGGTCTGCAGAGGCACTGCCCTCCAAACGGCTCACACGAGTCGCTCTCTGCCCCCACCTCATGGCACCCACAGGGCATCGCTCCGTTATTAAAGAAGGCCGAGAGGGAGACCGCCGAACTCAGGCAGAACGGAGACGCTGTGGTCGGGCTGCGGAGGAGAATATAAGATGTCATATTGAGATGTTAGAGCTTTTATGAATCATCTTTCATAAGGTTTTGACTAAATTGATTTTTCTGGATAATTATTTTTTATAATGTATCCCACTACATCTACAATCAATAAATAAACGTATCAAATAAGATGACACTGTTATAACTGTATTTTTAAATCACATACCTTTAAAGGATCACTGCCTGTAAAATTTGTGCTATTTGGAATTAATCTGAACTCTTGATTTATTGTTAAAGCACTGATACAAAAAGTACATTTGCTTATAAAGCTTTGTGACTGTTTTCTTAGTCAGAAACTAAATAAACTATATGCAAATAGATGTTTTAATTATCTATACTGACTTTTACATAATATAAAGATGTGAATATTACTAAATGAAAAGTATAAAATCAAATCTCTTCATATTTGATACACTTATTTGATGTAGAAGCTGTTATTGGGGCTAAGAACTGATTACATGCAACTGAGTTATATAAAGAAACAAACAAAAAACAAAAAAAATGTATACAAATGTATGTTTTAACTATAATCTACTGGATAAACTAGATCTAGATTTTCCACAATAAAAAAACTGCAGGAGTAAAAAAAAAAACATTGTTGCAGGGGTATGAATATATGTGAATACCGTTAAATTAAAAGTCTCAAAGTATAAAATCAAATGTCTTCATATCTGATAAACTTACTTGATGTAGAAGCTGTTCTGTCCACAGTTGGTGATAAAGTCATAGGATTTGTCCAGTGGTTCCTCGTTCAGATAACTGGAGCTGTAGGACGACTCAGGCACCACAAGCACATAATCCTGCAAGAAATAACAAAACATTAGAGTTGATTTACAAATTTATAAACAAAATAAGATAGATGATATGTTAAATTTCATACCAGCCACAGTGTTTTTCCTGCCGGGATCTGAACAGTGAGGAAGACTTCATGATCGGTGACGTCTAAAATGATCTGATTCTCTGCCACAAGGACGTTACGGCAGCCGAACGCGTGAGGGCAGTACGAGGCGTTAGTCTGACCTGTGGGAGGCAAAGAATAAAATAAAGATACTGGACGATTAAAATCCACTCATTGTAAACAGTATTAAAGGTGCATCGTGTAACTTTTCTGGCGTCACTTTTTTTTCACATGCTTTTGTCCATGGAGATGTTATTGCTTTGCCTGGAATGTTTCAAAACTTTCTATCTCCATCTATCTCAGAATACTTGTCAGAATACTTGTTTTTCTAGGTATTTTTGAGTTACAGTCATTACAATGAATAAATGTAAGGTTGAGCTGTTTACTGTGGAACATTACAGACACTGACATTTCCATAGAAACAAGCAGGTGACGGACCCACAACCAAAAAGTTACATAGTGCACCTTTAAACAACAAAATATAGTATGGTTGGTGTGAGTATGTACTGTACATACTGAAGATTTGGCACCATTACTTATCAGTTTCAACACTACAAGGAACAAAAACTGTATACAATAATTGGCTTAAAAATATTTGTTTTATGAATATTGATCTCAAAGCCCCAGTATGTAACATTTTAGCCAAAAAAAGACAAAAATTAAAGCATATTTTTTCAGTCTGGTTGTGTTTGTTGCACTGAAAAACTGAAAAACAGTGTGAGCAGGCTTACATCTCCACAAACCTGACTCTTACTTGGCCTCTTTCTACTTGTTTTCATGGAAACGGTTTTCCTTTGGATATAATATTCCACAGTATGGCATAAAACGTATATCTATCTCTATCTAAAATGTTCTGAAGTATGCTTTTCACTTTCTATTTCCACAGAATCATGCAAGTGACGAGACACCTCCACAAACTTATATATACTGTACCTTTAATTCTAGATGCATGTGTTTATTTACTTGGATTGTTTGACTTGTTTCAGTACATTTTGTCATTTAAGAAATAAAATCATAATGGTGCATGTAAATCACTTTTATTGTCACCCATTTACTTATTGTGATATTAAGCAAAAATTGAGGTCATATGTAATTAAAAACTAGTGAAAAAATGCTCAAATAAAGATAAACATTTCAAGTCCATTTAAAATAGGGTGCCTATTTATTCTTTGCAGCGAAACTCGTGCTGTCGCCATATTTAAGTTTCACAAATAATAAATCACATTGTCTTGACAGTTGGCATGCACAACACTGTTATCTATAAAGGAAAGGATGAAAGATAAAAACAAGCGGAGTACGGACCCTGCCAGATGCGTCCCCCGTTGATGTAGACCTGCAGAGGGTAGGAGGGGTGCTGGGGCTGGTGGTAATGGAGGATGAACACGTATCTGCCCAGTGTGTGCACACGGGTGGAGTACACAGCGGCATTCTGGGTAAAAAGACAGTTAACAAAGACAAGACAAGTTTTTAGCTCGTTTAAAAATATTGTGAAATTGAATTACTATTTGTGACATACAACTTAAATCTCAAAATTCAAATAATCTTGGATGTTTTAGCATGTTATAAACTAAAAGGACCTGTACAGAAGTTGTCCTCATGTATCTAAGCAAAACTTGCCCTGCCCCAGTACAGATATATTATACAAGCAGCTCTTGAGGTCAAAATAAGCCAACCTATATTTTCCGATCATCAGGAAGTGCAAAATTCCGCACTGGTCTCTGAGACTTGTGAAAAGTGCTCATAAACTCATCGTGGTGAATGATTATGATGCTAGGAATGCATAAGGTAAGTGAGGAATAACTTTGGACCACTGCAAACCGTATAAAAATTAACTAGACTTCACGTAAAAATCAGGTACAGTGCTTTTTACCATGCAAATTTTGAGACACATTCACAGTTTTGTGCGAGCCTGAATGTGATTTTCAGCTCTGATAATTTCCTGAATGTCTCTCCCCACTTTTCACCAACATACAAGCTCAAATGAAGATTCATACTTTGTATTTAAAGGTTCACTGTGTAACGTTTTGGTCACGGGTCCGTCACCTGCTTGTTTCTGTGGATATGTCATTGCTTTTTCTGGAATGTTTCACAGTATGATATTAAACAAATTAAACATTACATTAATTCAATTAAATGTAAGGTGGTTTAATTGCTCTAAAATACCAAGAAAAACAGGAATTCTGACTGTGAGTGGGGTTGCCTCTCCACAGATCTGACCTGTAACTTGGTCTGGTTTGGTCTTTGTGATGATAAAATGGTTTAATACCACACTGTGAAAAATTTCAGACAAAAGAATAACATCTCCATAGAGAAAAGCATTTTACAGACCCTCCACCAAAAAGGTTTCACATTACAATATTAAGTTACTCTACACCAGGCTACATATTTATTCTTTGCAGTGAAACTTCAGCTGTTGCCAAATTTAAGTTTCTAAAATAATAAATCGCAATCTGTACTTTTTTTATTTCTTGCCTTAAGACCCACTTCTACTCTCTGTTCTCTATGTTTTTAATTTATTTGATTTATTTAGTGCTATTTTATGATTTTTATAGTTTTGCTTTTATTTTATTTTTACTGGTTTTATTGTTTTAGGACCGATATGATACATTTTTTAGCCGTTTACCTTTTGTTGTCTTTTTTCTGCTCTCTGTGTAGCACTTTGGAAACTGGTTTGTTTGTAAAATGTGCTTTGTATATAAATTATGTCGATTTGGATTTGAACATTTCCTTGTGTTACCTGCACAGAGTCGAGCCTGATGTGGTCTGCATTGTCTGCACCCAGGGGTGGTCTCTCTCCCCCGATGGCGCTCCAGGACGCGTCTGCCTGTGGTGAGCCATGTGGAGGGGGCAGGGGCACGGCCTCAGCGGGCGATGCCAGGACGGGCTCCTGCATCGATGAGCTCTGGCCCTCCTTCAGCACCAGGGAGTTAGAGGGAGTCTGGAAACGGGACGGGACGCAGGACGTGCTGTGGAGAGAGATGTTTCTATTTGAAATAGCGTTGAATGAGAAAGTTAAAATTACAGAAAGGTAAATGAATCTTACGTGTCAGGAGCGAACTGTCCGTGCGTGCTGATGCAGTGGATTTTAGGCTCAACATACTCCATGGTGAACTGGTCCTTGGGCACCAGGTAAACTTTGTGCTATAGACAGAACACAGGAAAACAAAAAAAAAAAAAAAAATATATAATTTAGCAATAAACCACTACTCAAATACAAACTCAAAACAGTATAAATGTGTCCCTCAAAATTCCCTGTATTAAATTACCACTAGCTGCTTTAGCAAACAATTTCAATAATTTGAAGATAATACTCACTGCCATATTATTTAACAACTTATCTATACTAGAATATATATATATATATTTACATATATTAAAACAATGTTTAGCCATAATTTGTTTACTGTATTATGATTGAGTAATCCTCTATTGCCTCGCATTGGAGGTTGTAATGCTCAGAAATGTTTAGTTTTCACCTACACTTTATCTCTGCCCACACCTCTGTATTTACTTGCTATTATTAAAGAAATTCAGAGTCTGGATCATAAAGGGTTAAAAATGCCACATAGCATAGCATATTAAACAATAAAACCACACATGGGGTTGTTTGTTTTTTTTCTAACCCCCCTCTCCTCATGTTATCCTGTATTGTTTTTTCTTAAAGGTGCACCTGAGATGGCAGCAATACCTGAATTTCCTTCTGGGAATCAATAAATTATCTATATTTATATATTTATCTATAAACATAAATAGCTGCTTGCTACTGTGAAATTACCCTATTAGGCCTTTCAGTTCTGCTAGTTTGAACAGGAAGTCAAAGGACATCATTTGACATTTATTTAGTAAGCCTTCAGCTGGAGCATCTCATTTTCAAGGGGATCCTCACAAAAAAACTTTAGTATAACTGATGTTGAAACTCTCTCTTCTTTATCCCTTATAATTTTAGTTCTAAACAGTCATTATTGTTGTACGTGTGGACATTTTTCTCACCAGGAAGAAGCTGGCCCTCTCGGCGTTGAGCAGCACCTCTGCGTCGGTGGGCAGCGAGAAAACGGACACGCGGTTCTGATCGTCCACGGCAACAGCTCGGCACAGGAAGCTGCCACACACACGCAAAGGTACACACACATGCACATACACACACGCACAGACGCACACACACATTATAGGACAGGTTTAATGTACAGGCTGCAGACAGTGACAGCAGAGTGAGAAGCAGCTGTGTCCACATCAACTGAAACAATTCCAAATGTGTCAGTCAGACTTCAGCAAACAGCCTCAGCCCACACCAGCTCATTACATTTACACCTGGAGTTTCCGTTTGCAATATTTTACAGGTGACTGTGTTGATTTGTAGTTAGTAGATTATATAACGATGATGATCAGTGACATACATCGCATCTAGAGGCGTTATGTGACAACACAACAGCGCCGGGTTAGACAGTGGAATTACAGATGGTAGCTTTAAAGAGGCCGATATTCAGTTTGGACTCACTACCTGCCTAAAAATATGTAAAAAGCTTCATGTTAGTGCAAAGAACAGCACAAAATATGACTATACTGCTCTCTTAGCCAGTTTATATTTAAACAGGTTTGTGGATGATATTGTAATTACACTTATATAGTCTGCAGAAAATGAAGAAAATCTGCCCTACATATTACCAATTTTTTAAAACTGATAACAGCATCAGTCATAAAAATTTGTCTACTTGTTTCTGTATTGTTAGACCCTTAATAATCTGGTTATAATTAAGAGCAGGGTTCATCAAACTAAGGCCTGCGGGCCGACTCCAGCCATCCACACCCCTTTGACCGGCCCCCCAGCCCCTCTGTCCCCCACCACTTGAACTGGCCCTATGAGGCAATCCTCAAAAGGCGTCATGGCCTATTTTTTTACTTTACTTTATTTTTTGACAAATAATAACACGTCTGCATCTTGTATGTTGTAGATTTTTTCAATAAAAAATTATATTTATATGGAGTATTTATATTTATATAATTCTATGAGGTATTTACATTCACCACCGAATTTTCGTCACCTGACAAGCTCGAGATCAAACAGTGAGAGTAATACACGTGCAGAGTTCTGTAGTGCAGTTAAGGACAGCAAAATGGCCAGTGTTAAAGTACTTGACAGAGAGTGCCGAGTTTTCAAAAAACAGTGACGACTGATTATTTTTTTGTTCAGTGTAAGCACCATGCAGTTTGAAAGTGTGGCGGTTTTCAAAGAATATAATCTGCGTTGTCAGGGTTATACAATTCTGTTATACGGCCGACCCGACCCCGGCCCTCATCACAGTCAAGAGCAATAATGTGGCCCCCAGAGAAAAAAGTTTGGTGACCCCTGATTAAGAGGAACCCTGATGCTAAAATGTAAACAAATAAACATGTTTACAATTGGTCAATAAGTATTTACATTTTACCTGATCATAAATGCATATGTAAAATCAGTTGTATAAGTTGTATTATAGTGTGTATAGGTCCCACCTGTATTTGCAGTGCAGCAGGGTGAGGGTGCTGGTGTGCGCTCGGCCTCTGGGCTCGTTCACAGACACAGAAAGAGTTTGGGGCAGTTCCTCTTCACTGGAAAACTCCACCACCAGAACAAACTCTCCAGGAGCTGGCACACGGCCGCGCAGCTCAATGCTAATCTGAAGACCAGAAAAAGGAATATTATTATTATCATCTTAAAGCTCCTATATGACACAAAATTGACTCTTGAGAGCTTTAAGCAATGTTATGATGATTTTATCTCCTCAAAAACATAACCTGAATTGTGTTTTGTTTCATTCTGACATGTTTATTAACAGCTACCTTTTACCTTTAGTTCAGTAGAGATTGGCAATTCCAGGTCTGAAATTATCCAAATGAATAGTAAAGGTGTATGAGGTTTAAAAACACAATGGAGCTCTTCCTGTATTACCACTTGGCATCATAAGGTGTGTGTTAAACATGTGTGAGTGAAACAAAACACAACTCCAGGTCTGTTTGTGATGAGGAAACAACATTATAACATCAAAATATTAATAGCGCAATATGGGCCCTTTAAAGCATTCATTATTCTGATTACAAAATTTGTCAAATGGAACAGAAAACACACACCAATATTCCTGTAGACGTGCAAATGCAACAGACAGCAATCAAAAGTGAAAATAAAATACATAGCAAACTCAGACGGTCGATGTCCAAAAGCTTTATCTAATTTTTCAATTACGTTTCGGCCAAACAGGCTTCATTAGATCACCCTTAATGCCTTGGGCCACAGCATACCAAGGCAAAAAGGGTGATCTGATGAAGCCTGTTTGGCCGAAACATAATTGAAAAATAAAAAAAATCTTTTGGACATCGGCTGTCTGAGTGTGCTAAACATGTGTGTATGTCAAAACATACACACACACAAATTTACAAAACACAGTCCCTATATAAGCCCAGAATAAACACACGTACATCAAACCCGCTGCAGACCGCCATGTCCGGGTGCCGTGGGGTGACCTTCTCCGTGGGGCAGGGGCGGGGGAGGTGGTTATCGTTTCTACAGCTTGCATCGTTACCGGAGATGGAGGGGAAAGAGTCCAGGGACAGGTACGTGTACTGCAGACAGCTACATGGAAGGAAAACAATTATGAGAACAGCTGATATGTGTAAGCCTGTCACGATTAGGGATGTGATGATTTCCAAATTTCTCAGTACAATATTTTCACGATATGCATCTCATGGTACGATATTTATTGAAATATTTTGTAGAAGCTAACAAAATAGCGAATATGCTACTTTTTCCTCGACAAGCCTTTGATTCTGTAATAAACCAAAGAGTTACAGTTATTTAATCATGTAAATTGTACTGGAACAGAGCAGAGGATCATGGTCTATGTAGTTCCCTCTGTTACTTTTAGCCATTTCTGAACCATAACTATGAATTTAAGCAAAGAAACTTGTAATTCGATATATTGTGATGGTCCTCGATAGTATTGAAAGACTTTTGACGATATGATTTCTGTTATTTTTATATCTCTAGTCACAATAACACACTTTGAAGTACGATATATCACTGAAGAAAATATAGAAGATACTGAATAATAATACTGAAACTAATTTATGACAATGACACAATAATTCTAAAGGATTATCCCCCAAAAAACTATTGAAAATGTATATCATTTGGTTAGGAAGCATGAACTGCACTAAATAAACAGTAGAATGAAACACTTTGGTAGTTAGTATCTGTAATGTCCATCACTATCCTGATTAAATAAAGGTCAATAAAAATAAAATAAAGAAGTTATTTATTCGACCCTCTACAGCTCAAATCAAATGGTAGAAGAGAAAAATGACAAAAAGTTCCCCACTAGTGTAAAGAAGAACTCCCCACAATAAATAAACACTAAAAATACAATAAAATCCCCAAAGTGATTGCTCCATCTAGCATATATTAAACAATAACTCAATATAGTAATTATCGTGACAGGTCTGGATACATGAGGAACAAAATTTGCCGAGCTGTGAAATAAAAATTCTTACTTTTGGCTGACATCTGGGACAGGGCCATAGGTGCACGGTTCAGTGACTTTGATTTGTAGAATAGGAGCTTCGTAATAAGCACTAGGCAGCAGCACCAGGTAGTCCTAAAGTAAATAATGAAACAGTTAAATCCAGAAAGTATTGCCAAACTGCATAATGTATGAGATATCAATATTCACAAGCTCAGGTGAAGTGCATTGTAGATTCAATGACCTTTTTCACAACCTTTTTTTATCATAACATCACCAAACCATTTCCATACTTCTATTCTGCCAAAAAGCCTATCAAAATAGTTGGATCTGTAATGGGTCTACAATTATATATAGTTTCCTCAGCTCAAATCTAATTATAATACAGAAAAAAATAACAAAAAGTTCCACTAGTACAAAGAAAAAAGGTGATTGTGTATGTAGTAAGTGTTTCTAACCAGCAGGATGCCCTCGGCCTCGATGACCACGGTCCAGGTGCCCGGGTTCAGGACAAACGGCTCCACAAAGTTGTTCTGAGGGACGTTCACGAATGTGGGCTCAGCGCTGGGGGCAAAGACGATCTGTTTGGACTGTTCAGAGCCTGCAACACACACGACAAGACTAATATTATTTAATGTTAAGCACACAGTGTAACTGCAATATGCAGTAGCTTTTAGTTTTTACACATTGTGAAAATGTAATGGTGATCAAGTGGACATTTTGTCACTCCACACAAAGCTCCCTGTAATATGTATTATTTTTTATTACATAAAAACATTGAGGGTAATCAAGGACACATTGAGCACAAAGGGAATTTAAAGCAACAGTATGTAATTTTCTGGAGGTGGCACATCACCTGCATGACTCCATGGAAATACAACATGGAGGTAGATATGTGTGATGCCACATTGTGAAATATTACAGTCAAAGGTACATTTCCATGGAAACAAGCAGGAGGAGAACCTCCTCTAGGCAGAATAAGAGTCACGTCTGTGGAGATGCAAGCCCGATTACAGTAAGGACACATCAGAGGTGGGACCAAGTCGTTGTTCTGCAAGTCTCAAGTAAGTCTCAAATGTTTGACCTCACATTCGAGTCCAGTCCCGTCAAATACAGGCAAGTCCAAGTCGAGTTTCGAGTCACTGGCCCATAACTCCAAGTCAAGTTCAAGTCGTCTGCTTTGAGCTTCAAGTAATTTCAAGTCTTTAAACCAAAGAATTAAATATAGCTTAGATTTTTGCAATTTATATTAATTTTAAACTAAATTGTACTTAAAAAATCATGGTATATGAGTATTTATATATGTGTTGTAGAAATGTTATTTTTTCCTTTTTAAATGTCTTAACAAGAGTACAAATTATTACGGTCAGAATAGAAAGAATTAAGATTTAAGAGTGCTTAATAACAGCAAATGTGTCAACTAGTCTAAGCATCAAGTATTCTCAAGTCACATGCCTCAAGTCCGAGTCAAGTCCCAAGTCACTGCCCTTCAAGTCCAAGGCAAGTCTACTTTACCAAGTCAAGTCTCAAGTCAAAAAAGTAGTGACTCAAGTCTGACTTAAGTCCAAGTTACAACTTGCAAGTCCCCAATTCTGCTTGCTATACATGCCTTTATTTTAGAATTTTTTTGGGCTAAAAAGTTACACACTGTGGCTTTAAATGAATAGGAGATTTGCAATCCTTATAATAGTGATAAGAAGTATAACATTTTGGATGTTGAAATAAAAAATAGAGATGTAGAAGTAGAAATAGATTTAAAAGTGTGTTTCAGGCAATGTTTTCACAACTGAAATTTTCAACTTTTTATCCAACGTGGTGACTACAGCACAAACTGGGAATTTCTTAGACTGCACAAGGAAATTATTACTTATTATTAAATCATTACTTTAGGTGAAAAGATCATTACTTATGAATCAGTTATTATCTTCACATAAAGCAGATTGTACTAATTAAACCCTTAAACTGTGGAGTTCAGACGTACCTTTGCGGTTGACCTGATAGGCCGTTATTTTACCGTTGGCGGTGGCGGACTCAGTGTTTACGTATCTGAGGATGAAGCGAGTGAGATACACGTCTGCCTCACTCACATACACCTGCAGCTGCACCGTGGGCTACACAACATTTAGGGAAAAATATCGTAAATAAGGGAGCTTTTAAAATCATAACCGGTACTGTCTGTGGCCCGAGGAGGAAGACGCAAGGACGCACCACCGAGATGTTTGTCACCACCAACAATTAAAAAAGAAAGGAAAAATGTATTATTCACCAGATCCAAACAGAATGCAAGAGAAGGAGTTTTTGAATGTAACCATATTTTCATGGTTTATGTCAGAAGTGAAACACAGATTTACACAATGGTCTTTGACAATAATGTAATTAATATAGAATTATAAAGCCAGTGTTTGGTAATATGAGATAGGTTATTGTGTAAGACCATGGTGTAATATAAGATAATCCTTTATATGATTTACATTACTGTTAGCCCGGCCAGGCACTGCATTTGTATTGGTATGTCAAGATACTTTAAAATACTTTAAGATCTGAGATATATTTCTGAGTCAGTGAGTCAATTTGTAAATATCTGTCTTTATTTATTTGTATCTTTTATTTATTTATCTTTATTATTCAGTACAGTGGGTTTATAAGCCCTTTTCATAACTTTCAGAGGCCAAAGTGGAGTTTTGCTGTCACAGTGATGTGAACAACAACTAGCATGCTAACAGCGCACTTCTTGGTTCACAGATTTTTGCGTTACAATTAGATGTAGTACATAGCAGTCTCCTTTTGACTCTTAGAGCTGCTTTTACAATATATCTGTACTGGCTGGGGCAAAACAAATACTTTATTACATTATCCCCCCTTTAAGAGTCTTGCTCAAGGGCACAATCATTTATATCGTTTGCCTCCAACCATAGTATCCCTTGTGACTCTAGTCATTCATTTCATACCTTAGAGAAAATCCTGGTGCACCATTAACTTTTCGAGTGGAGGGTTTTCTTGTCTCCATGGACATATTACAGTTTTGCATTTATTATTCCACAGTATGGAAATAAACTTGGTAATCGCAGTGGGGGACAGGTCAATGGTCAGATCTATGGAGACTCAAGCCTGCACATAGTAAGAATTCATGTTTTTTTTATGGTATTTTTGACCTTTAAAACACATGCAATAGACAGGGTTCCCACTCTTTTTCACTGACAAAATTTCAAAAACTTTTCCATGACTTTTTCATGACCTAAAGTGAATTTTCTATGACTTTACAGCACTGTACATGTGTAGACTTGATCATACTTCTAGGGCTAAATATGAAACGTTAACCCTTTCCACTCACATTATGGTTTGGTATTACAGTTTTTTAACATTCAAAATACTGTCAGTGCATTTATCGTCTCTTTTAAATAAAAGGCGTATATGTTTGGAAATAATCATAATAGCCTAATGAAAATCTAACAGAACTGCAGATGCGTCCAAGAGATACTAAAATTCCATGACTTTTCCAAATCTTTCATTAAATTAACAAAATTCCATGACTTTTCCAGGCCTGAAAAATGACAATTTCAATTTCCATGACTTTTCCAGGATTTCCATGGCTGTGGGAACCCTGAATAGAGAAAATGTAAGAGAGATGTTTAACTTTACAGCGGAATATTTTAGGCAAAGAAGTACGATCTCCATGGAGAAAAGCAAGTAGAAAACCCTCCCCGTTTTAAGTTATTTAATGTGCTTTTAAGGAATAAGAGACCCAAATTGTGAGTGCGTCGCTCTGGCCGGGCTAACAGCGCAAACTCCGCCCCCACGAGCTGCACTTACAGTGGTGGCAGTAGTAGTGCCACGCCTCCTCCAGGATGGTGACCCTGCCCCACACCGGAGTGCCCCCCCTGTTTATGAACCTCAGCAGGACTCTGAACAGGTCCGGAGAGCTCACCGTGACCTGCGCCACCACACGCGACTGCACCACACACAGAACACAAGGCAAAGGAAAGGAGAGAGGAGAGATAGGCACGAGGGAGTAGGAAAGATGGGTTAGGAGGTAGAGGAAGGGTACAAGAAAATCACCAAAAATGAACTTATACCATGACATGCAATCGGATTACATTTTGTTGAAGTTAAAGCAAGAAATTCAAGACACTCGTGCTAAAATTTGATATAAAGACAGGGGCGTCAGACTGAGGGGGGTAAATGGTACTGTTTACCTGGGGCCCAGCGAAAGAAGGGGGCCCCCACAAAGTCTTATTATATGCATTTTTCATTTGACAACATGTAGTGTGGGCCCACCAAGTAAAATAAATAAATGAAATCTATGACTGTGGGTGTCCAAATATCCTGCTTTAACTTGTTTGAGAAGAAATATTGTATATCCAAAATCAAAAAGTTTTCACCACCACCACCGTCAAAGAAAACAACAACAATATTTCATGCATAAAGTCCAAATTTCAAGGGCCACAGTACTTTTTAAAATACAAAATGTTACAATAAAGCAATAATTTTAGAGGTTTTTATATACTTAAAAAAAAATTACAAGTAAAGACAACTCAGTATTTCTGTATACGTTTTAAGCAATATAGTGTATATAGCGTGATAAACAAAAAATATACTACTACTACTACTACTACTACTACTACTACTACTACTACTACTACTACTACTACTACTACTACTACTACTACTACTACTACTACTACTGCTACTACTACTACTACTACTACTACTACTACTACTGTACACTACTACTACTACTACTACTGCCACTACTACTACTACTACTACTACTACTACTACTACTACTACTACTACTACTACTGTCACTACTACTTCTACTACTACTACTACTACTACTACTACTACTATTACTACTACTACTACTGCTACTAGTACTGCTACTACTACTACTATTGCTACTAGTACTACTACTGCTACTACTGCTACTTCTGCTGCTGAAGCTACAACTACTACTACCGCTACTACTACTACTACTGCTATTACTACTGCTACGGCTACTACTGCCACTACTACTGCCACTACTACTACTACTACTACTACTACTACTACTACTACTACTACTACTACTACTACTGCTACTACTGCTGCTACTAGTACTACTATTACTATAGATAAATACTACTTCAGAGCCTGTGTGTAGTGCGTACCTGAATGGGGCTCATCTGGGCGTACCCTCTCCAGCTGAAGTCCCTGAACTCCACAGGGTTGTACCCAAAGCGCACAGGTCTGCCGTCCAGCATGGTGCCCTCCTCGATCTCAAACTTCAGGTGGTGCAGATCGGGGAAGAAGTGGTCAGGACGAGGACTGAAAATGACAAGAACGTGATTGATGAGAAATAAATAATACAATTTTACAGGGCCAATATTAAGCTATTTTCTGATCTATGTTTTAATATAGATATTTGTTTTGTTTCATTCACACATGTTAAACACACAAACCCGGCATATTTACGCTGAGTGCTTCATCAAACAGCAAACACTCAATACAGGAAGTGCTCCACTGTGTTTTCAAACTCCATACACCTTCACTAGAATAATTTGGATAATTTCAGTCTCTAATGAACAAAAGGTAGCTGTTAATTAGCATTTTGAGCTTTGGAGATGTAGAGTAGGGATGTAATGATATCCAAGTCTCACGATACGATTTCGTCACGGTACGATATAACTTCATGGTACGATATTTGTTGCAATATCGTTGGAAAGCTCACAATATGGTGGAGAGGCTCACGATTAAGGATGTAAAAATATATAAATCTCTCGGTATGATATTTTCACGATATACATCTCAAGGTACGATATTTATTGAGATATTTTGTGGAGGCTTACAAAACTGAATATGCTACTTTTTCCTCTTAAAGTGCCTTGACAAGACGTAATCCAAAGAACTAAGACTTAAAAGTGCTTAGAACTGTTATTTCTTCTTGTAGTCTGCACTGAAATGGAGCAAAGGATCATGATATATGTAGTTCTCTGTCTTTTTTAGCTATTGCTGCACCATAACTCTTAATTTAAGCAAAGAAACTTGTAATTCAATATATTGTGATGGTCCACGATATTATTGTGAGAACTTTGACGATACGATATCACGATATTTCGGTTACTGTTACATCCTTAATGTAGACAGATTCATAATAATGTGTGAATGAAACAAAATACAACTGCAGGTGTGTTTTTGAGGAGGTAACAACATTCTAACATGGCTTAAAATTCACAAGAGTCAGTTTTGTGTAATGACCTTTTATAATGTCTTCCACAGACTTTATAAACTGACCTGCTCACACATGAAGCACGTATGAAGCACTTCAAATATCTGTAAAATCACCTGTCGCAGGCTCATTGTGAGAAGGGAAAACCCAATTTTGTCCCAGTTGTTGCACAGTTGTCGATCACGCTCATCAGAACTGGGAGATAAGACCAGGGCCCTGACCCCACTTTGAACTTTGTACAAGGAAAAGCTTTTAACCTTGGTTGGCCAGGCTACACTTACTAACTCTGATACGACTACCACTACTACTGTGGACACACTGCACGAAGTAGAATATTTTAGTAACTTAAAGCAAAATGTGAAGACCACAGGAGTCACAGATACTCACAGGTTACACTTGGGTCCCTCCACATTGGGTCTGCAGCGGCATCGTCCATTTCTCTCTCCACACGACTGACCAGCTGCTCCTCCAATGTCACACTGACAGCCTAAACACACACACACAAGCATATACAGTACACACATTACAAACTTAATTATGGCGTTATGTATTTATATTTATGTTTTGAATATTGTTCAGACTGAGATCAGACCTTGGCATCCAAAGTAGTTGTACTCCTGCAGGTCGTAGTATCCGTCTTTACACGTGGAGCAGGTCCCACTGCACACGTTTGGTTTGCAGTGACACTGGCCACTTTCCTGGAAGGTAAGACGCATTTATTACAGCTGCTAACTGTTATTTTAGTAGTCCACTAGTCAGCCATTACTGTTGAATTAGTCGATAGGTCAAAGCATTTTTCCTTTTGAACATTGAGACGCAGACTGTCACAAATATGCGTCAAATCCTTTGGTTAAGATATATGCCGAGATAGCATATGCTGTTTAGTGCAAACGCAGGACCTTCCTAGGAAACTTTCGGCAAGTTTCTAGTTGTCGCAAATTTGCAACATACCCAAATTTCTATATATATATATATTTTTTGCTATAGTCAATTTAATAATCTCAATTTAATTTAACATCTTAATTTTAACATCTACTTTAATCTACCAAAAACACACACAAACTTTTTTTTTTTTTTTTTATAAAAATCTATATAAATTCAGGCATTAAGGGGTTAAATACTTTTTTGGTGACTGAAAGCTTCCAGAAAATATTTATAAACAGAGTATTATTCATGCAAATCTTAAATTTATATTATTTTTGACATTTTAATTATGAATGACACTGTCTATGTTATACAGTGTTTTTCCATGTGTTTTAGAGTATATGGAATAGTGTAAATTTGTAAAATTTATGATGATGACATGAAAAAATATTTTAGAATTAGAGTTTAGAGAATGATATCAAGATCAGCTACAACTTTGATTATTATTATTATTTTTTTTTTTAAGTATGATATGATTTACCTGTGCACACTCAGCTACTCCACTCACAGTACCAGCTACGTTGCATTCACAGCCTGTGGGACAGACCATTGTAATATTACAAATGTTGAGTTTAACATTACACATAAGTATTTATGTTTTGTATCTCACTGGAGCAGCCATCAGGAGTATCAGGAGACAGGTTCCAGAACAGAGGCTTGCACTGGTCACACGCTGGACCTTCAACGTTATGACGACATTCACACTCACCCTAAGAAAAGTTTTGTAAAAAATAAAAAAATTAAAATCTTAGCGAAGTTTAAAAATATCACCCAAAATTTTGAAACAAATTTAAGATCCAAAACTGACCACTGGAGGTGGCACCACGTACTGCACTGAGCCAGCAGGATGACAGGTGCCAGCTGTAAGAGAGAAAACACACATCATAAAAATCATACTTTCCACTTAATATTTTCTATAAGTGAGCTGATATAAAACATATTATTGAAACTATTTTATGGTACTGATCCAATTAAAATAAAGTAATATAATCCCGATAAAACTAGTTTTAAATAGACCTGAGCTGCAACAAATAAACAGTAAAATTAAGCAATAATTGGCCATAGAAATGTCTTATTCAACCCTCTACAGCTCAAATCTTATCGTATTACAACAAAAAAAAAAAAAACCTCCATAATTTTGCAAAAAAAATTTACACATGATAAATACTGAGCTTCAAAACATATTGTTCAAGCTTTGAACAATAAGTTGATATAGTAATTATCTTGACAGACCAAACCAGCGGTGTGCATAGGAAAAGAGTGAGTAGCTTCAACAACCTCGCTCCTGATTGGCTCTTTAGTTGTTATAACGATCCAAACTTAGACTTATATTTTATTGATCCTTAAGGGAAATGACATAGTAGCTCACACTTCAGGTCAAACGCTTTAGAACACCACATTTTTTCCAGTTTTTTACTGTTTACTGTTGACCAAAACCTTTGATTCATGAAAGTGTCCACCTTTGGCAGATATAGCAGCTGAACACACTCGTGGCTCGTTCTTTTTACAATAGAAATCAAATATTCTTCAGAAAGTTCTTCCCAGGTCTGTTGCAGAAGTTCCCATAAATGTGTGGCACTTGTAGGTTGCTTGGCTTTCACTCTTCTGTCCAGTTCATCCAAAACCAGCTCGATGGAGTTTAAGTCTGGAGACTGTACTGGACACTCCATGTTTTCAAGCTCACCATCTTGTTCTTTTTTCCTGAGGTACTTTTGGCAGAGCTTAGACTTGTGTTTTGTTATCTTTCATCTTTTATTTTAACCTCTGGCTATTCAGTTCTTACCTTTGTACCATTTCAAACTATTCATTAGACTTGCACGACTTGAATTGCAATAAATAACTGGAAAAAATTAGGGTGTTCTAAAACTTTTGACCTGTAGTGTACATAATAATAACAAAGAGAAATGGTAATAATAAATTCTAAATAAGAAGCAAAAAAAATGTATATACAGTGGGTCTTACATTGGCAGTTTGGGAATCCGTACGCCCCGTGAGCACAGCTGTCGCACTTCTGTCCCACCACATGGGGTAAACACGAGCACTGGCCACTCTCCTGGTCACAGCTGCTGTAGCGGGAGCCTTCAGCGGAGCACTGGCAAGCTGTAATAACATGTAATATTAGAAAAAAGTGCTGTATGACTCCCATTAGGTGTCACGTTGATACTGGTGAATGAATGAGGCTTACGGGAGCAGCTGGGGTAGCCGTAGAACCCGGGGGCACACTGTTCACAGGAGGGTCCGCTGTAGTTTGGGCGACAGTGACAGTGTCCAGAAGAGGAGCAGGTGGTGTCCAGGGCGGTGCGGGGGTCACATGTGCAAACTGGAGAGAGAAGGGGTACAGCATAAGAAAGGTTTTTTGCTCTGTACTCTTCTCTTTTCTCTTTTAATGTTAATTTTATGATGATTCTTTATGCTTTGATTTGTTTGTGTTGTGATTTTAATGTCTGTCTTATTCTGTAAAGCACTTTGAATTACTTAAAGATGTACTTGGTTTTCATTTTTGTCAAATCATTTTAAATTAGGAATACAGGATTAATCACAATCAAATCGAAATCGCAATTTAGGGAGTTTTAGTTGTATTTATTTTTATTGTTAACTAAAAAAAACAAACAAAATACAGTCTAGGAACACCCAGGTCAAGCAGCAATATGATACAAATATTCATGAGGTGGATTAGTCTGGGACTTCTGAAATACTTTATGAGGATGTGAGTTTGTTCACTATGAGTCTCCTTGTTTTCAAATTAATGTGACTGACAGGTTGATTAGCCAATCAAGCACAAGCATGTCTGTCCGTATTGGTTAAAAAAGGAAAAAAATATCACAGGGGACTGAAAAATATGGAGGATTTCTGCAGAATCAATAAGGGAACCTGTGTGTTAATCTGAAGTGAGATAAATGATGATTTTATTTGTAAATAAAAAGTGGCAGATGAACTCCTTTGTTTCATATGTGCCACTGAAAAAAGCAAATCTGATTGGATGACCAAGTTTGGCCCGGCTTTAGACGTGAGGGAGTGCGTGGGGACCAGACTCATAGTATCTATGTCTATGAAAAATACAGAGAGATTATTCTGGATTTGCCAGGTAAGAGGTGGATTATAGATTTCTAACCCTGTAGTTTAGATTTGTACAAACATGCTCTGAAATATGAATCTCGTATTAGTTTGTCACTTCAGATCATTCAGTCTTTTTGTCATTTTTCTGGGCATGTTTAAAATGTGAACTTTGAACAGAATTACTTAAACATACAGTAAATCCCCAAATAAATATTTTCCCCAAATTGTCCAGCCCTAGTTGAAAAGAGTTAATAATAAGATTAACTGTAATCATGAGGTAATGTTTGTATGTTGTCCTTCAGGCATGTTTTATTCATCGTGTGGGTTTTGGGACTATGGGACTAAGGTTGGAAACTAGTTAATTTACAGGTACACAGCAAAAACTGGAGGGTTCAGTTTTCAGGGTAAAATATTTTAGAGTTGTTTTAACACAAAAACTGTTATTTTAACTATTTGAAAGTTAAATGGGGGCTCGAGTTGGGGTTATTTGCCAGAGTTGATATGGTTGAAGTTAATTTAACTTAATCTGGCACCTCCCACCCACCACTTCAAACTCCCGTGAGAGAAGATCACTTTGAACCAGTTTTGTTAATAATTTAATTTAATCTTTTACAATGTTTTTTACAGTGTACCTTAATTTACTTTACAGTGTGTGTAGTTACTACTCCCCAAAATGTTAAATTAACAAAAATAAAGACATCTCTGTATGTTGTTTAGCTAAATCAGGATAAAACTCTTGATTTCCGGGTTAAACAGGAACTTTGGTCCAGTGTTACTTAATTAACATTTCCAAAAATGTTAAATTAACTCTGGAACAGACTGGACTCATAGAAACCCTGAGAAAATGTTGAAATTGTTTCTGTGAGAGTCATTTTTAACACTCCACTTTTTGCTGTGTATATGTTTTTGTATTGTCTTGTTTTTAAGATGCATTGTTCCCCAAAAAATAAATACAAATACAAAAAATATGACATAGTGCACCCATAGACAAAGAAGTAGCCTATGACAAAATTAAGATAAAGAAGCAATGGTATTTCACATTACTGGAAGAAGACCAGCAGCGTGTTCTTGTTGCAAAGTTTAAAAGGTACACGGTGTAACTTTTCTGACAGCTGATGAGGGTTCACCATCAGCTTCTCTCCATGGGGATGTGATTGTTTTGCCTTGAATGTTCCACAGTATGGTATTAAACTTATTTGTTTTGCATTTATTCCATTACAATAGTTTTTATCGATTCAAAATACCATGAAAAACAAGCATTCTTACAACACAATGAGGCACCTCTTTATAGATCTGACCTGTTTCTTGGCATTTTTGCTTATCTTGATGGAGATAGATTAGTTTAATGCTTCACTGTGGAACATTGCAGGCAAAGCAATAAAAGCTCCATGGGGACAAGCAGACCCTCCACAAGAAAAGTTACACAGTGCACCTTTAAAACTGGTTGAACAGTAGCAGTTGCTTTACTATAACAAACTGTAAGATAACTAAATGTTGGGTAATATGACAACAAATTAAAATTTCTAGGTTTCAGGTTTGATTTTCTGTACCATTTTCACCCCATTCACGCACGGTAAGACAAAAATATGCAAACACTCAATGCAAGGAGGGAGAAGTGTCTTGCTCAAGAACACAGCAACAGTATGCAATGGTCACAGCGTATTTCTATTCTATCACAAAAAACATGAACTAAGTGAAAACACATGGCTTAAGAGAATGAATTGTCAAACACAATATTACTTCACCTGACATCAACATTTATTAAACCTTTTATTTATTCAAACAATTGCCCATAGACCACTTAGTCACATTTAATAGTAGATCCATTCATCTTGCGCAGGTGGAGCCACAATAACGGACCATAAAAGTTTTACAGGCTAATATAACACTTCATGAGGAGGTGAAGTGTTCCCAGATGTGCTTTAAGCTTTAAGAGGGAGAAGGCTACATAGAAATATATAGTAAAAATGCTGGGACTTGTGTGAGTGTCGTACCTTCACAGTTTGGATAGGAGTGGAATCCAGATCTGCACTGTTCACATCTGGGTCCAGTGAACTCAGGTTTACAGAGACATCGGCCGGAGACATCACAGACCTCAGGGACAGAACCAATGCTGCTGCAGCCACACACTGAAAAATAAAAAGTTGTCTTTTAATGTTAAATTTAAGATTAAAATGTCTTACATCAGTTAAATTAATTCATTAATCATTGCAGTACATCATGGTTTTCCAAAGACTGGGTCACAACCTTCAGGTGGATCGCAAGAGAGTTTTTTGGGTCGCCTTGTTACGATCTGCATGTTGGTCTGCAGTATACAGTTCTGACACTGACATGCGTGTGATGCTCTCCTCCTGCACCCTGGACTAGAATGCGCTACCAAAACACAGATAGGCCCATCTATCTCATTACAAATGGTAATGTTAAGATATGTATAATTTTTTTTTTATTGAATTATTTTATTGACTATTTTGTTCCAATATTGCTGGTTCAATTGAATGTTAAGAAGAAAAAGAAATGTTCTACATTTAATGTCCAAATAGTCGACTTAAGGATCCCTTTTATTGCTGCTTCAATTAATGTTTTTCATTGTTTAAAGCTTGAATAATACTTGTTCAGAGAGACACGATCACTCAGTCAACAATAAAATATCCTCATTAATGTTCAGTAATGGTCAAATCCACCTTTACTTTGTGATTTGTGTATAATGTCTATTAACTTGAGTCGCAAAGGTTTGTGTCTTTTAAAATATGAGTCCCCAGAAAAAAAGTTTGGGAAACACTGCAGTACATTATTCCCATTAATCATTCACTCCTCACTCAGTGGTAGTAAACTGCTATTGTAGCCACAGCTGCCCTGGAGAAGACTGACAGAAGCAAGGCTGCCAATCTCCGACCACCACCAGCACTCAAGCACACACCACTTTCTTACGAGGCAGTGTGGGTGAAGTGTCTTGCCTAATGACACAACAAATAATGACACAATGGGAGTATTGTTAAAAATATGCTTGATACTAGGTTTGACAGTAGCCACTTTAAACCACAATACAACATTAATTAAGTTGTTTTGAATGATGGACCGAAATGTTGCTTGCAGAAAATCCAAACTAACACAAACTAAACTTTAACCAATCATTTTTGTGTGTTCATTCATATTTCACTCTTTTATCCAGACCACATCATGTAAACGTTTTCACAGACATCTGCAGCCTGGATCCTTTTCCATGATATAAAAAGGTAAAAAGTATATCACAGTACAGTTGAGTAGCTGTATCGCTGACTGTATAAAGACTCACGTTGGCAGAGGGGGTAGTTGAAGTACCCGGGGGCACAGCGGTCACACTCGTATCCTTGGAACCCACTGCGGCAGACCCCGTGTCCAGTCACTGAGTCACATGACCCATCCAGGCAGCCCGGACTGGAACACTGGCAAGCTGAGGACACAAACACACACATTAAATACACACATAATGATTATATATTTGAATCCAGCATTGTGTATTTGGGGATAAAATTATTTGTTTCTGATGCTAAAAATATACATATGTTTATTTTAATAGTAATTATTTAGAAATGAAATCTCCATGCAAGTATTTATGGTTTGTTTGCCATGTTTTTACCTTGTTTCATGAATCTATGCTAAAATATTTACCTGTGGATTGAGGTAATTAATAAAATAACTAATAAGAAAAAAAATTACAACCTAATTTCTACTATTTTAATTAAAAAACAGATCTAAAATGAATAATAGCCAAATGCAACTACTACAAAATAAAATTTTAATTATATTTTGTAAAACAAGTTGTAACATTAAACAGTCTATCCATGGGTTTCAGAATGATGAAAAATTTAGACTGTTGCTGCAGTAATTTAAATTCATTTAAAACAAAATATTATATCTTTTGAATGGGGAAAAAAAAAATTCTCAAAATGTTGCATATAACTGATATAACAGCTGAAACCTATGCATACAACACTGTATTTTTTTTTTTAATAAATTAAGGAGTAAGTTTCAAAAAAAAAGAAAAAAAAGAAGGTAATATATATTTTTTTCTTCTTTGTTCTTAACACAGCTACACTGTCCACAGTAATCCTGTGGGAAACCTGCTTTAGTTGTACACAGATTTTAAGAGTTGACTTTGTTTTTTGGCTCCCAGACTGAATCAGAGGTGTAAAGGTCCAAAGACGTTACAGAGCTTAGTGTCCTGCTGAGGAATGCTGTTCATTTGGGGTTAGTCTGTCAGTGTGTCCGGGCCAGAGCGTGCCGTGTGCAGACAAACAAACAAACCAATAAATCAAATGCTTTAAGTTCCTGTCTCAGTTTCGAGGTGGTGCAAAAACAATGAAAGTAAAAACGGATTGAATAAAACATTTAGTGGAAGCACCTGTTAGTGAGTGTTTGTAAGGTCAGTTTTTCATTTATTTGAGCAAAATTTCTGTTCCCGCAGTACATATGTGCTGTATATGCAGCTGTGTACTGTACGCATCTAGTTATAAAGATTTTTCTTGTTTGACAATCAAGAAGTGAGCAGTCAGCATGCTAGTTGTTCTGCTCTGGCCTCTGAAAGTCGAAAAACTCATAGTAGTGAATAATTAGGATGGTTGGCCATGGATTTTTTTTACATCAATTACCGTATTTTTAGGACTATAACTCGCACTTTTTTCATGGTTTGGGTGGGCCTCTGTGTGTGACTTATATATTAATGTTTTCACACTGACAGTCGCGAGAGGCTCTAGACTTGTGTGTCAGTATCTGCTGCTCCTATTACTCCTGTACCACTGTCACTTCAATCTACTTCGCATGTCTCCTGCAGAAAGAGCAGCTGTCCTGTCTGGGATCATGCTGATCACACCATTACTTCTGTATCACTGAAAATTTAAGTGACCTCAGTGACAACGGAAACCATCCTGTCGGGATTCAGAAAGGCCCAAATAATTCTAACTGGAACTGATGTTAAGTCTGACGACAGCTACAGAGAAGAGGAAGTGGCGCTCTGTTTACCTCCGGATGTCACGACGTTGCTCAGAAGTGACACGGAGGATGAAGAATTCAGTGGAAAAAATGCAATTTATAGTCCGGTGCGATTTATAATATGTTTTTTCTTCTTCTTTATGCATTTTTTGGTTGGAGTGACTTATACTCCGGAGCGACTTAGAGTGCGAAAAATACAGTAATAATAGCTTTTGTGCTTGACATACCTATTGACTCTCTTTAGACTACTGTTGTTTCTATGCTCTACATAATTCAGTAGATTACAGACTTGATGTCTCTCTCACCCTGACAGTTGAGCCCGTGGAAGCCTGGAGCGCAGGTGTCACAGTGGTCTCCGGTGAAGCCTGGTTTACACACACAGGTCCTGGTCCTGGGGTCTGGTCTGCACGAGTTATCCACTGTACCTGCAGCGCTGCACTCACAATCTGCACACACAAATTTATTTTAAAGTTACATTTGTTCTGTAAAATGTGTTTAGTTCAAGCAGAGATACACTGTGAAAGCAGCTCTTAGACTGAAAATGTGCTGTCTGCATTTAATTATAGAGCATTTTTAATCGTCCACAAACCAGTAAGTGATGCCAATGTGCTGTTATTGTTCTAGTTGTTACCACAGCTCTAAAATATTTGCTCTGGCCTCTTATGGTAGTAAAATCTTAAATAATCAAAATGTAAATAACTTGAACGTTTGAACTAGATCTGTGTATAAATACTACAAATGAATATATTTCTTCTGTTTTGCTACCATTTAATTACAACAATCAATGCACAATTTTGCAATCAAATGCAACTCTTTCACATTAATCACAAGCAAACGTAACATTAACTGTAAGTTACATCTTATTACCCATATTGCACATATTGCACAAGACACAGAGCTGAGTTTTGCCTTCAAAAGTAAAGCTATCAACAGCTAGCATGCCAACAGTGCACTTCCTGATCCTCAGACAACAACACGCTTTATAATTAGATGCAGACAGGAGACAGTGGATTTTGGGTTTTCATTATCAATCACCACAATGTCAAGAAATAAAGGACAGAAAGCTTCACTGTTATGAGTTATGAGTCTATATGATATACAGGTTTGTCTTTCTCAAATCTGTAACAAAAATATTTAACTTTTCATGATATTCTTTTTTTTTAATGGACTAGTATGGAAAAGGCTCCTTAAACTGTATCAGCAAACACAGCAGAATAAACAACACTTAAAATAAATAAAAGTCTTACTGATAATCTCTCCAGCTGGTTTGGCCTCTCCGTTGTTGTTGTTGGTTGGATATGTGGGAATGGCTACAGGAAACAGCACACATAGTTGGTAAATAGTCATATATCTGAGTGAGAATAAACACGTTTTCTAAATAATTTCTCTGTAACTCACGGTAACACTCGGGGAAGTTGATGAAGCCGCTGGCGCAGGAGTCACAGTTCTCTCCGGTGTAGTTTGGTTTACAGAAACATTGACCAGTAAAATCCTCACATGTGCCGTCTGTGAACTCTGAACGGCAGTCACACTCTGAAAATATAAAACGAGAAAAACTATTAGATTGTAAATTAACATATAATTAACTGTAACTATACCGTAACAATTGACAGAAGGCCACATCAGAGAAGATTAATTCAAGTTTAGACTTACTTATTGGAATTTTTCAGGACAATTTTTATTTTCATTCCAGGCAATGCAATTTTACTTACTAGTCGACAGTGCAAAAAGTTCTCTGTCCGTGCCCTCAGCCATTTCAAGCTATTTCTGTCAGTGTTCTCAGTACTGACAAATCATATTTGCTGATCTAAACTAAAACAAGAGACTAAACAATCCAGAATGTGTGACTATAGGGATGTAACGATATCCAAATCTCTCGGTACGATATTATCAGGACATGCATCTCACAGTACGATATTTATTGTAATATTTTGGAAAGGCTTATATAATTGTAGATAGGATGTGTTTCTGCTTTTAATATACCTTGACAAGATTTTGGTGTGAATTATTTCCATCATAATTCCAAACAAAAAGTAAATTAAAAAACTTATATCTTCATGTTGTCTGCACTGAAATGAATCATGGGATATGTAGTTTCTGATGTTCATAAGCTGTTGCTCCTATAAACCCATGCATTTAAAGCAAAGGAACTTGTAATTCAATATACTGTGACAACCCAGGATATTATTGTGAGACTTTTGACAATACAATATCACAATATTTCGGTTATTGTTACATCCCTAGTGACCCATTATCTATAAGAGTTTGTTTTCACCTACTCGTTGGTGAAAATAAGACTCTGATAACACAGCAATAATGAATGAAAAGAGTTTCCTTTATCCTCTAAGTAAATAATTTGATTTCAGTAGCTTGAAATAAGAACAATCTATGCCAAAGTACACCTAAACCAGGGCTCTCCAACCTTTTTCCTCAGAAAACGAAACAAAAATGCCAGAGAGCCACTCATTTTAAAGAAACTGAGAAAGCAGAAGAGCTATGACAAACATTAGACAGGGTACAGGGAGATGCCTATTAAACATAAAACATTATCCATTTATTACTGTACAAGTTAGGAATCAAAATGACACATATACAAAGGTAATTAATCAGATTTTAGTTATTAAGTGCAATACATAATTCAGAAATCTTTTGGCGAGCTACTTGGAAGGGGGTGGAGAGCTACTGGTAGCTGCCAAACTGCAGGTTGGAGACCCCTGATCTAAACTAACCAAAAACTGCCCAAATCAAAATTGCATTTCAATTTTTTATACTAGGAATATGAAATTTCCCTTTATCTAAACTATATTCGGCCAGTTTAGAAGAGCCTTGTCTGAACGCAGCATGTATGTAAATAGTTTATGGATGTGGTGACTGAGATCAAATGGGACAATAGTTTTACTTAATGATTGACTGGATGAATAATTGCATTAATAGACACTGTATTCTATTGGCAAGTACAAAATTTATGACATCAGCCTGTCCAGAGACTGAAGATGGAAATGATCGACTTTACTGAAACCTAGTACAAACATATCACCTCTTTGTGTAGGTAAGTGCTTTTTAAGTGCATTGTCCCTGATAAATAAACAAATAAACTAAACTACTCACGTGAACAGGCCAGTGGAGACTCGATGCTGTGGTCCGGAGATCTGTAGTAGGTCGGGATACAGCGCTCACAGTTCACTCCAGTCGTATGATGCTAAGTTGGAAAAATAACAATGTATTTTCATTTACGTGTCAAATTCTCACTCTTATAAAATGTAAAAACATCTAACTATAAACTAGATTTGCGTAATACCTGGCAGTTGAGACAGACCCCTCCTCCTCTGTAGTGTCCGTGTGCATCCAGACTTTCTCTCCTGTGCTCCACCTCGGGGTCGTAGTAACAGTCAAACGAATGGCGGTGACAATTACAGGCTAAATACAAAAATGGAAAACCCAGTTAGGTAAAATTTGTGTTTTTTATTCTTCAGATTTGTCAAGGCTCTAGATTTCAAATAAAATATTGGGTGTATGTCTGCACGGATGTTCATTTATGCAGCAGATTAAAGAAGGGTCAGGTAACAGTATCATTACCTAAACCACATCAAGTTTAGGCTGAGTTTGATCTAAAAAGTTTATGTTTCTAATCATAGCAGATAATTAGAGACTGTGAACACACCGTAGTTTACTGTAATAATTGCTACAAAAGCACTTTGAACTGGCTCGTATGGTGTCTTGAATGGTTGCAGGGCACAATTTAATTTTAATTTTGTTTTGTAAATAAGGTCAGATTTTGAAGGAAAACTTGTGATGCTTCATTAAAAGAATATAATTACAGGGACCATAATTATAAACCATAAACAATTACAGTTTTTTCATTCATTTTAGCACATTTTTTGAAACTTGGCTCAGTTTGATTATTTGATTCAAGCGTGTATCTGAATATGGGCACATGTCTTCAAATCATTTGGGACATTTCTCATCAGCTCTCTCAGTTCTCAGGGTCTTTCTCAGAGCTCTGGCCACAGCTCTCATTAATAAACACATGATCAGTGAATTCTCCTTATTTTTTCAACACTACAGGTCTGTTCTTATGTGCTAAAGAACAGGCCCAAACTTGCTGTCACTTTCAATATAGAAAATCAAACATAACGGCAAAAAACTCAAATCTAACAGGAAAGGATTTTGCACATGAGTCAAACAGAGAAGGGGCTCAGCACTGAGCGTCCACATTAAGTAGGCTACATGTACAGACCACCTACAGAGTACATACAGTTCTTGATTGATTTTCAAGAACACATCAAATATTACAGTACAAAAGTAGTGTAGTGCCTAATAGGATTAGGCATTAAGTACTTTTATTTCAGCCTAAACCCTTACAGTCATGATCCATGGGGTTGTACTCTATGTTTTGTTTTGTTTTGTCATTCTGCAGAATGACCAAATAAACTACTACTTAAAAAAAAAAAAAAAAAAAAAAAAAAGTGTTGATGTACTGTTTTTGCTCTTCCGACATCTTTCAATTTTCTTCTGCATAAATATTTTTGATATTGCAAATACCGCTACATTAGCTTTGCAATTTGGTAATGCACTTTTATATTTTACATAATACAGTACAGACAGATTTTAGACAAAAACAGCAAAGCTTTTCCAGTCCAAAATTCATCTGTGTAAAGTGTGAACCCCAGTGTCAGACTGCATTAAACCAGTGATTCTCTGTGGTTCCTGAGAGCAGGACAAAAACTTCTGAGTTGCAGAGTCAAATGAATGAAAGAGAAAAGAAAACCACACAACAGAGAGTTTTGATGGTAAAACTTGCTTTTGGGATTCATGTTTGGGATAAATGAAAAACTGCCTTTTGCTCAGATTAAATTTTGTTTAGGAAAACTAAAATTATGTTTAGGTTTTCAATTTTAGTGGACAGATGTGCCAAAGCACACTTTTTTCCCCACAAAATTGTTACTTATAATATTCCCTTTCACCAGTGCCACTTTTAGGTTCCTACCATCAGCTGAGAAGCGCTCCTTTTAACTTAATCCTTGTCCCTATCTGGTTGTGTTGGAGATAAAGCTTAAGTCCAGACCAGTGTTTCCTCTTCACTCAGAGACAGCAGACTCAGGGTCTTATCTGCCCCTCAGCACCTGGGACGTGCTCACTCAATAAACAAGCGCTCCCCTATCTGCAGCTGTGACATGTGACTGATAGGGCTACGGTCAAGACTGAAAAAACTAAAATGAGGAATGGTTGTCCAGGCAATTGTGTGAGAAATGATCAAACTACTCAAATAAAGGAAAAAGGAAGAAAAACACACAGGCTTACTAACTTAAAGGGCACATACTATGCTATTTTTTAATCTATGTTTGATATAATGTTTCCTCATCACAAACAGACCTGGAGTTGTGTTTTGTTTCATTCACATGTTTAACACACAAACCCTGCATATTTAGGCTGAGTTCTTCTCTCAAACTGAAAACATGCTGGTTCACCTTGTGATGTCATGTGATAATGCAAGAATTGCTCCATTGTGTTCTTAAACTCACCTTCACTCGAATCATTTGGATAATTTCAACCCTAAAATTACCAATCTCTTCTGAACGAAACATAAAAGGTAGCTGTTAACTTGAAAACTGCCACTACATGACATCACAAGGTGGAACAGAGCATTCTGAGGTCTGGAGAAGTAGACAGACTAAAGATAAAGGATTACTCAGGCATGAATGAAACAAAACACAACTCCAGGCATGTTTTTAATGATTAACCTAAGTTATGAGTTAAAAATTTCAATTGGCTTTAGTATTTTGCCAACATAGAAAGCTGCTGGAGCGTAAGGACCTATTTCAGAGTTCTATACTTGATCTAATTTAACTTTATTGTAGAAAGAATAAACAAGTTTTTCATTTCATAACTTGTGAAATGTGCTCTTATTTTCCATAACACCAGTCTCAATGGTGAAAAGGAATGCATTGTTTAACCCAGCTACTTCAAACTCTTGTAAAGTATTTTTTTAAAGGGCAAATACCACGCTATTTTCTGATCTATGTTATAATGTTGCTTCCTCATTATGTTTTTGAGGAGGTTACACAACAACAGTAAAGATGACTTAACACTCACAAGAGTTAATTTTGTGTAATATAAGACCTTTAATATGGTTTCATTTTTATTTGTCCCCATTGCATCTCAAATGTTGCTTGTTTTTGTAATCGGAAAGTGTCCATTTTGACTCTTTAGCCAAACTGTTAAGGTCCGTCTAATGTTTGTGAAAGTGTCTCAGGAGCCGCGTGAGTCAGTTTGGCTTCATTAACTTCTATTGTTGAACACACACATTCTTGGTCTGGGGTCAATGAACGACCTTTAGCTTTAGCCTTTAGCTTTTACTCACGTTCACACTCGTTGGCGCTGTAGGTCGTAGCCGGTTTCCATGGTAACTGGTTGTATCCGGGACAGCACAGGTCACATGACACGCCGCAAGTGTTGTGCTGACAGTCGCACTGGAGTCTACGGGAACACAACCACAACAACATTTTAATAATATTTTTTAATAAATGCATTCGAAAGTACAGGGTGTCCCAAAAAATTTACATAATTGACATAATTCTGGCAATTCCTGTTGAAATCACCTCAAATTTTCACAGAATGTATAAAAACAGATTTTATATTTAATGTTTTATTTTTGTTCTGTTTTCAGGTTGAGCCGTTCACTCCCCAAGACAAGTCATTTTGGGTACCCAGATTCCTAGAATGACGGTTTGGCGTACCAGACCCTTTAGCCCTACATAAGAAGTCTTCCTTTTTAAATTTTTGGTATCAAGTCCAAATATGTTTTTGCTAGTTGGTGAAGTTTTTCCAAATTTTGCATTGAAGGCTGCACAGACTTGGGTGACTTGTGTAAGCATATTTCAAGGCACAAAATGACTTCTCTTTGGGAGTGAACAGCTCAACCTGAAAACAGAACAAAAATAAAACAATAAATATAAAATCTTGATCTGTTTCTATACATTCTGTGAAAATTTGAGGTTATTTCAACAAGAACTGCAAAAATTATTGACCTGCAAAATTAAGTCACATTTTTTGGACCCCCTATATATAGGAAATATAAATACTCCAGTTGGTTTCCATTTCTCTTTACGTGAGGCAAAAGTTTAAGGAGTCCCAAAGTGATGGTGAGATTGTGTTCAAAAGTGTGTAAGAAATAGGAATGCTCCAGTTGTTTCCATTTCTCTTTATGTGAGGCAAAAGTTTAAAGTGTGTCAAGGCTATGATGACTGAAGTAGACCTACTCAGAATTGCAGTCTACACAATTGTAAATATGTAAATTATGTAACATTTAACATTAGAGCTGGGAATCACAGGGTCCCTCACGATTCGATATGATACAATACGATACGATATTATCACAATACGGTGATACATGCAAGAATTGATATATTGTACATGATACTCTGTTATATGTTGCTGTTTTTTAAGAACCAAATACATTTCAACAACAATATTTCTTTGTTAAATTACTACTGTGTGCAAAGGTAATATGAAATACATCTATTTTAATCATCAAAACAGTGAATACGTCAAGTGTATTGCATAAACAAGTGTTAGTAAACAAATAAGCAACAAAATGGTTGTGTACATTTATATTTTAAATAATACAGACAAAAAAGCAGAACAAAATTAATCTGCGTAAAAGTATGAACCCTAATCGAATCTGTGGTCACTGAGAGCAGGACTAAAACCTCTAAGCTGCAGTGTCAAATGAATAAAAGAGCACAAACGGGATGCTGAGATAAAATTTTGTTTGGGAAAAGTGATATTTTGTTTAGGAATTTGTGTGAGCTGTTTCTCAGAAGTCAATTTGTAACAGATAAATGTGCCAGAGCAAAAAAATTTTATTATTGCTTTATCACATTCTTGCTTGTAAAGCTGAACTATACACACAGCCCCATATAACCTTTGACTACCCCGTTCATCTACTACAGGGCTTTTACCTCGACAAAATCTTTATCAAAAACATCTGAAGCTTTATTAGATATCAAAATCTGCCCAAAATACTCTCAAAGTACATTTTTGAACGGGTACTTTTACTTCAGAACATTTTTCATGTGATACTTTTACTTTTACTTGAGGGATGTGATTGTTTTGTCAGGAATGTTCCACAGTACAGTATTAAACTTGTCTATTTTGCATTTATTCCATTACAGGTGTTTTTACTACTTAAAAATACCATCAAAAACTGTTATTTTTATATAAACTGAGACACCTCTCCGTAGATCTGACCTGTATCTATGCCTAGTTTCATTTCTGCTTATCTTCATGGCGATAGATGGGTTTAATGCTTCACTGTGGAACATTTCAGGCAGAAGACAAGCAGAAAACAAGCAGTAAGGCTGTGCAATTAATTGAATTCTGATCGCGATTTCAATTGGTGTCAAACAATTTCCAAACTCATATCATTGAATTGAAACGATAAAGCTTAACAAACTTTATTTTGGGATTTTTTTTATATAAATAAGTATATTTATTGATTTTTATATATATAAAGATTGTAGAACAGCTGGATATATAGTTTATTTTAGATACATTTAGGTTTTTCTATGCCTTAGTATATTTTATTCATTTTATGTTTAATACATCGCAAAACTGCTTCAAGGTTCATATTTGTTGCCTATATTTAATTTGAGTTTGAAAGTTTTGCATAAATTATCAGTAATAAAGTGTTTTTTTTTTGAGTGCTGAATAAATGCAATGTGTAACTAAAAACTAATCGTGATTTTAGTATTGACCAAAATAATGGTGACAATGATTTTTTCCATAATTGTGCAGCCCTAAGTTGGAGGGCCAGAAAAGTTACACAATGCAACATTAGTAAGTAAGTAACAAAAGTGAGCACTAATTCCACCACTGCCCATGAACCTGTTATATTTTCCATATTAACTCACTTTCACCTGCGTAGAACCCTGCCAGGAAGCCACTGGTGCTGGACTAACCACCGAGAACCAGGAAGCAGTGAATTTGGATGGAAGTTCTCTATTGAATTGCATTTCCTAAAATACTTGAGTTGAATGAATACAGCGTTTACAGTGTCATGGTCAGGGCTAGAAACAATACTTTGGCTGCGTTATCAGTGAACACACATTTAAAATCACTTATAAACGCAGTATTTGATGAGCCTTTCCTTCCTTCTCAGGCTCTCGACTTGCGCATTGTCACTTCGGCCTGGGTTCATAAACTAGAGAAAGAATCAGGTTAAGATGGCTCCTCCCTGCTGTGTTTTGGTCACTCTCCACAGGCAGGAGACTTGGACACTAATCCGATTAAAACCAATGTGAAAAGAGAAGGGAATTAACTCTTTCCTTATAGGAATGCTTTAGTTTAGTCGTGTTTCGAGGCAATTTGATAAGAAAAACCAAGGAAACCAAACAGCTAAAGCAAGCTAGTGAATGTGTTTATGATCTGACAATGGTGGTTGATAGTAATTAAACTTTTATAGCTTATTTTATTGATTTTTATAGGGTCTTATACCTTAGCCAGGCTGACACCACCTAGTGCCTCAACTCAATTTCATTTCTCTCCAGCAACTAGGTCAGGAATCGGAATAAACTAGACGGTTTGCAAGAACCCCGGAAGTTGTAGATCGTGCACCGGCCAATCAGTGAAGAGCTATGAAGCCATGACGTCAAACTCAAGCGCCTGTCTGGATCCCTTTTGTGGTCGAGCACAACAGTAAACAAAGCGGTCGAGATGGATGTAGACGAAGACAGACATTCTGTGTTGGCAACGATTCCCGAGATTGAGGATTTAAACCCGGAACAAAGACGATGTTTGGTGAATTTTACTAAGGGGAAAGACGTTATTGTCCTTCTTCCTACAGGATTTGGGAAAAGCTTAATTCACCAGTTAGCCCCATTAGTGGTGCATTACATACGTCACGACCAAATAGCAGCAACTGGTTAAATTAAAAAAGCACCCGCCTACCGTCAAGCGAACAAATCCTAATGCTGCGAGGACAGACTGTTTCCACGAAGTGAAACTGGCTGATGAATCAGGCTACTTATACCTGCATTTTTTTTCATGTATTTGAGCAAAAGCTATGCAATGTTTGGATCTAATTATAAAGCATTTACTGTCAGAGTATCAGGAAATGCGTGGTTAGCATGCTTTGATGGTAAAACTCATCATGGTGACTAATTGGGATGCTTGGAATGTATAAGGTAAAGTGGTTTAAAGGGCCTAGATTATGCAAAATTGACTCTTGAGAGCTTTAAGCCTTGTTAGAATGTTGTTCCCTCATCAAAAATAAACCTGGAGTTGTGTTTTGTTTCATTCAGACATGTTTGAGTAATCCGTTATTAAAAATGTATTAAAAACAATTAAAACTTGCATTATTTTGCTTTGGAATGTTTCACAGTATGCCATTAAACGTATCTATCTTGCATTTATACTAAAATACTACGAAAAACGTATAAAACCTCCTCTGATTTGACCTGTAACTTGGTTTGTTGGCATCACATGTTTATCTCCGTGGAAATAGCTGAGATGAGTTTAATCCCATACTGTGGAACATTCCATGAAAGCCCTCCGCCGGCAAACTTACACAGTGTACCTTCAAATATACAGAGTTTGTGTGTGTTAAACGTGTGAATGAAACAAAACACAACTCCGGGTCTGTTTGTGATGAGGAAACAACATTATAAATAAATAAAATAGAGTAACATGGGACCTTAAATTTCTGGTGTCTTTATCAGAGCGAGCCAACCATTGAGCTATTTACTGAATATAGTGCCCTATTCAAATGCACTTCTCCACATTCCTTCACTCTGACACAAACCACTGAGGTCATTCCAAGTTTAGGAAAATGGTTCAGCTCATGTCAATCAAACTTCAACACAAGTACTATCTAAAATGTCCTGTAGAGGTAATAGCCAGATCTAGGGGTACATTTTCATTTGTACTGATTAAAATAGAGGCAATTTGAGGCATTATATAATTAAAGTAGAAATTTCTTAACAGTAATTTTCTGAAAGAGACCTGCAAAGTTCATATGTTGTCCAGTGTTCAAACAGTTGTAGTAATTATAATTTTTCTTTTGGTACACGATGAGTCATGATTCAAGTAATGTCTGTCTCCTGAAGCTATGTCTGGGAGAATAAGCCAAAACTCGAAATTTATGAATGAAATCGAAAGTGTTTTTGAAATTAAACTGGGTAAAAGGTAAAATTTTGAGATATTTTTTGACACATTTCTTTTGTGTTTTTAGCAATTTGGCTTTAAAGGTGGGTCCCCTACTTGCTTGTCTCCATGGATATGTTATTTCTTTTCCTGGAATGTTCCACAGTTGGGCATCAAACGTATCTCACTTGCATTTTTTCAATTACTAGTGTTTTATAGCTCAAAAAACCCACAAAAAAACACAAATTCTTACATTGGCAGGCTTGCTTCTCCATAGCTCTGACCACTGACCTGTTTATTTCCATACTGTGGAATAATCAAGGCAAAACTGTAAC